TCCGCTCATAAATAAATTGATACATATTTAATTAGTTCTTCAATTAATTCTATTTCAATATGTAAAATCAGACCTCTTTCTCTTCAGTATTAGCTGGGATACGAGAGAGATAATGATGACAAGGGTTATCTTAGAATAATTGACGGATTAAATTTTTATTAAAATTTTGTAGTAATGTCGGCGAGAGAGGTTCGATTAAATTATCTTTTCTATCTGCTTAAACTTAAGGGCATGCCTGTTTTTGATTAACAATTTCTTTGGAAAAATAAATCTTTTATCTGTTGAACTTAAAAAGTGCAAAAGAAAAATGGATGTCCTTTCTTTATACACTTCTTTTGGGTATATATTGTCTGATTATGTTTTATAAACATTCTTCATTATATATCCCTTATTCTCGATTGTAATTTAAACTTTTGTATAAAAGTAGTTAAAAAAGTAAAATTTTTTTAGAAAATTTTTATTTTACCTTAACATCAGGGATTTGGTTGGATCTGGGGTTATCTGGGGAAAAAGTATCTGGAGGGGTTTTCTCTGAGCTGTGTCTCTAAAAATGATCTACAATGATGGTTAAGACAATTTTTGGAAAAATATGCCGAAAACAACCGGACCATGTGTTCTAAAACACAGACTCGAGTATTTATTGCCATTTAATCTCTCATTGAACATGCCACAGGCAAAATTGAGTGAAATTGAGGAAAAAAGACTTGCTGAACATTCTGTACAAAGATTGATTGATGATGGAAAAGGAAAAAGGGGCGTGGCTAAAAATCATACCTAAACCATAAAGTAAAGTTCCTTAATAGGAGGATTTGAACAGATGTAGGAGTGGGGGTCATTTTTTCATTTTTGGGGAAATTAGGTAATTTTTCGTTTAGTGTAGTGAAAATGGAGATATTTCGCTTTGTATGTTGACGAATTTTTTTCAATTTTGTTTCGTTGAGCTGCGTTACTAGAAAATATATTTTGCCAAAAATCCACGTATCATTTTCATTTTTCTCTAATTTTATTTTTGAAATGCACTATGTATGTTGCGATTAGAACCAATAACAAAATTAGTGTTTATGTTGATCTATTTATGTATGTTTAACAAGGAAAAATTAAGTTTTTTAAAGTAGGTTTAAAAGCCTTTTAATGTTAAACAAATAAAATTTGTTTATATTTGTTTGTTTATGTGGAAACTTTTCTTTTGAATCCGTGGCTTTTAGTTATTTTTTTAAAAATATTTTTAACGATGGCTATTTTTTATTTAAAAAGAAAATCAATAAAAAGCTATAAAAGCTAGCGCAAATCACCTCCCTCCATCACTATCCGCCCCACACGTCAATGCTGACCCGCGATTATATTTTATATATTTCTCTGCATCTCTAAGTCTATAGCATTTTTCATTTTACACATAGCATTGACCACGTCAGCACTATGAATTTATTTCACCTAAATAAAGCTGCGAAAAAGAATTAGTGAATTGTATTTGTTAGAAAATCTAGAATTTAAATTAAACCGTTTTAAGAATTGAAATTGTTTCTTTGAACCTTTAAAGAAGTTTCTTGGAGGGTTTTAAATTGTTTCGATTTAACTGATAAATTGTTACATAAATCCTTCTAGTAAATTAAATTCTTAACATCCTCAAAGCTCTTTAAAGATCTAAAGTTTATTTTCTTAAATTTTCAGGTAAATATATATTTTTATATAAAGACTTTATTTTATTAAAAACATATTGGAAAAGAAGCTGTGATGATCTCCTTTTCTGTTTTTAATATTTTGTTGATTATTAGCGGAAGTTTTTTGGTGAAGGCTGCTGTAAAGGATGGTTCTCCACCTTCTGAAAATTCTCTTGATGACCTTGTTCCAATTGAAGAAGAAGAGAATGTTTTGGTTTTGACTAAGGTTTTTATTTGGATTTGGATGATATTTATATTATTTTTTAGGATAATTTCAAATCTGCTATTGAAAAGAATGAATTTATTCTTGTAGAGTTTTATGCGCCGTGGTGTGGTTAGTAAATTTTGGTTATGGCTTTAGATTTTTTGAAATTTTTTAGGCCACTGTAAAGCTCTTGCACCCGAATATGCAAAGGCAGCTACTCAATTAAAGGATGAGAAGTCGCCAATCAAGCTTGGAAAAGTCGATGCTACAATTCATACAGAACTTGGTTCTACTTATGAAGTGCGTGGCTATCCGACATTGAAACTCTTCAGAAATGGTTTTTTTCATTTTGTCTGGCATTATTTATTTTACGGCTAGTTCTTGGGATTCCCGTTTCCCGGTACTAAACCGTTGATTTTAAGGGACAGTTTTAAGCACAAATTTAGCTAGATTGAACTCATAACGTCTATTCATAAATTTCATTTATTAGGTAAACCCAGCGAATACGGAGGAGGCCGTGATGCTGCTTCCATCGTTGCTTGGCTCAAGAAGAAGACTGGACCTCCGGCTAAGGAACTCACTTCTGCCGATGAGCTTAAAGAATTCCAGGATTCTGCCGAAGTTGCCGCTGTTGCTTACTTCAGTGTATGCACTTTTCAGCTTATACAATATCTACCAAAAAAATTTAGGATAAGGACTCAGCAGAAGCCAAAGTCTATATTGAACTTGCAAGCTCATTTGATGATGTTCCATTCGCGATTATTTACGATTCTGCTGTTGCTAAAGACGCTAGTATCAAGGACAAAGGAATTGTACTTTTCAAGAAGTTTGATGAGGGCAAAACAGACTTTGATGGAGAAAAGATTGAATTGGATATTCTCAAAAAATGGGTTCAATCTAATCGTATTCCTCTTGTCTCTGAATTTAGGTGTTTTTATATTTTAATGAAAATTTTGACTCGTCTATTTCAGCCAAGAAACCGCTGCAGTCATCTTTGGTGGGGAAATCAAGTCTCACATGCTTTTGTTTGTATCCAAGGAGTCTCCAGATTTCGAAAAGTTGGAGTCCGAATTCAAGGCAGCTGCAAAAGAATTCAAGGGCAAAGTAACGATTACTTTATCCAGTCTTCTCTAAATTTGTTTTATTTAGCTTCACTTTGTGTACATCAACACTGAAGTTGAGGACAATCAACGAATTATGGAGTTCTTTGGTTTGAAGAAGGAGGAGCTTCCAGCTGTTCGTCTCATCTCTTTGGAAGAGGACATGACCAAATACAAGCCAGATTGGACTGAAATCACTACAGAAAATGTTGTTAAATTCACTTCTGCCTATTTGGACGGAAAGTTGAAGCCACATTTGATGAGCGAGGAAATTCCAGAAGATTGGGACAAACAGCCAGTCAAGGTTCTCGTTGGCAAGAACTTTGAACAAGTTGCTAGAGATGAGAAAAAGAATGTGCTTGTCGAGTTTTATGCTCCATGGTGTGGTAAGTAGTTAAGGTTTTTGGTTAAATTTCAATTTTTAAATTTTGAGGTCATTGCAAACAGCTTGCTCCTATTTGGGATAAACTTGGCGAAAAATATCAAGATCGTGAAGATATTGTTATTGCAAAGATGGACGCCACCGCTAATGAAGTTGAAGATGTGAAGGTAATCTTTTAATGTATTTACTAACACAAATTATGTTGCTTTTTGTTTTTTAGGTTCAATCCTTCCCAACAATCAAATTCTTCCCTGCTGATTCTAAGAAGGTTATTGACTACACTGGAGAGCGTACTCTTGAAGGATTCTCGTAATTTCTTTAATTACTATTTAATTTGGGTATTTCGCCTCTATAGATTTGGAATACCGGGAATTATTCCAAAGAATATTCCAAACCTTTGGACAAAAAACATTTAAGAAATTCATTTAAAAATATTTTTTAAGTAAATTCCTCGATTCTGGCGGCAAAGAAGGTGCTGGACTTTCTGACACCGAAAAGGCTGAGAAGGAAGCTGAAGAAGAGGCAGAAGAACCAGAAGGTGAAGAAGATAAGGATGAGGGACACACTGAGCTTTGAGTTGGTTATGTAAAAAATGGTAGAAGCAACAACAAAAAATTGGGCGCTATTTTATTTTATATATTTTTTTTCTTTCCTCTCTTTTATTTAAAAAAACAAAACTTTTGTTGTCTTCTAGTTGTTGTTTTTGCTTATTATATATTATTTTTATGTTTTCTCCAAAGAAAATTCGAAAAAAGACACCCAAATGATGTTGCTGATTTAAAAATAGAAATTTTAAGAAAAGTGTGGTTTTTTGATAAAAATTAAAGGGAGGGAGTATTTAAAAATCAAAGAAAAATAAAATCAACAACATCATTTATATATTACCCATCACATTATTTATTTAAATGTTCCTTTGTCTTGTTTCTGTTTGGTGTTTTTTAAAAAAAGTTATTTAAATTCCTCTCGGGTTTTGACTGGAATGTTAAACGATTTTTTATATTTTTGTTTTCGATTTTTGACTTCAAAAAATCGTTTTACATTTTAAATTTAAATGGCTGTTTGACATTGTTTTTTTTATTTATCGTGTAAAACTTATTTTGGGTATTTTATTTTGTCTGTAGGCATTTTATTTATAGGAGAGAAAATCTTTTGATTTCTGGTCCATAGGTTTTAACCGTCGAAGTTGATTAACTTTTTTTTGGGGCTTTTTGTCTTAGGTTGAATGTTCCTTCAGAAAATCGCCCAGTATTTTATCTCGAAACTTCGTTGACAGAACTTAGAAGAAACTTGCTAACACTCGGATAGATTTTTAAAAAATTCAAAAATTATTTAGAAATTTCAAGGAATAAAAAATGAAAAAAACAACCCTTCAATGGTGTTGAAAACTAAATTTATTCTGTGTATTTTGGACATTTTGCCAGTGCCGGTCTTTTAATGCTCCGGTCTTCTGGAGGAATACGTTTTTTCTCTTTCCAAAATGTCCCGTTTAAATGTGTCCGCTCCATTAATACAGTATAAATACAGTATTAACCCCGACCCGGAAAGAGGGAGCTAAATATCAAAATTTTAATTGTCCACGCCCTTTTGAAATTTGTAGCAAGGAAATTTAAAACAAATAAAATTTAAAGTTTATGTCATCGGAGAATCTTTAACCATCTTTCGAGTACCATTTTGTAACATTTTGCCTTAGTTCCATTTTTTGCTTAACATTTTGTCTGGATATGCTTGCGGTCAATCGGGATTTTCTCGTCTTTTGTTGGGGTGGGTATATTGATTTTTTCGTTAATTTAGAGCGCATATACCTATATGTATTGTTGTTTTGAAGCTTATTGTTAGATTTAAATCGTTTTGAGAATATTTTACAATTGAATCATTTTATCTTAAATTTGCAGGAATATACCTAATTTTGTTATAAATTTTGGTTGTTCAATTATTGATTTTCCTCCGTTTTATTAAATAGTAAACAGATTTGTGATGCCAGGACATACAAAACAGGTTTTAATTAAAATTTTGATAATTTATTTGGTAATCTCTTGTGAATTTTTTCTAGTATCCGGAACAGTAAATTGCCCTTTTAAGTTTACTTATTGATAACTGAAATCCAAAACAATTTTTGTTTTATTTTTAGAGTCGGAAACGGCGGACTTATCGAGATTATTCTTATGAGGATGAAAAGCGTATACGTGAAGAGAATCGCAGCAAACTTAAATGTGATCGTGAGGAGCGCGCTAGACGACGATCACGCAACAGAAATGACCAATACTATCAGATGGATATTGAGAAGGCTTGTGACATATCAAAGGTTGTCATTTAAGAATTCTGATTATTTAGTTTCCTTTTGGCATTAACTGTCCATTCATATTTTTCGTTTATTTTTAAATTTCATAAAGAGTTGTCCACAGAAGAACAGCACTGCTTCCTCATCCAATGCCAGCAAACGGATATCTCCTCCTAAGAAAAAATCAAAAATAAGCAATCGAAATACAAAAACTAGCAATAGCCAACAACAATTGTCTACCGCTCAATCATCTTCAGTGGCCGTTGTTATTCCATCAACTGTTCATAGTAAACCACAACAAGTAGTAGTCCCGCAACCAATTATTCCGCCTCCAATACATGATGACAAAGAAGGGCATTTAATTTATTATAATGGACAAGTTATTGATTCTCGATGTGAGTTCTATAACCTTTGACAGACTGACCATTTTTACACATTTACCGAAAAATTGACTGGGGGGGGGGAAGTAAATAAGTACCAGTTTTTTTGGATTTTAATAAAAGATGAGGGAATTTTATTGCGCATAAACAATCTTTATAATATCTTAGTTTGACCCTCCCCTTTACATTACTCCTTACGATAAATTCCAACCCGTAAAATGTCCTTATATACTAGAGATTCCACTCTACATTTGTTTAATTTTCTTTTCCAGTTGAAATTGTTAAGACACTTGGGGAAGGAACATTTGGAAAGGTCGTACAAGTAAAAGACTTATGCCGTACTGATTCAGTTAAATCTGCACCAAAAGCTTTAAAAATCATCAAAAATGTTTCAAAATATAGAGATGCTGCTAGACTTGAAATTAATGTTCTTAGGAAGCTTAGAGAAAAAGACCCAGAGGGAAATCATTTGGTTATTCAATTACTCGACAGTTTTGATTATCATGGACATGTTTGTATTTTCTTTTAATTTTTAAAAATTAATTTTTAGATGTGTTTGTTGTTTGATTTGCTGGGACTGAGCGTTTTTGATTTTATGGTTTTTTAAAATTTGTTTTTTAATTTTTTTTTATTTTTTTAAAGAAAATGAATGATTATCGGCCATATCCTATGGACCAATCTAGATATATTGCTTATCAAGTAAAAATTTTTTTGATTCTTTTTTGATCTTTTTAGTTAATTCACGCTGTTAAATTTCTTCACGACAATCGATTAACACATACAGATTTAAAACCTGAGAATATTCTTTTCGTCTCTAGTGATTTTGTGACAATGGTAAATGGAGAAGATGGAAGGCGTACACGAAAACCTGTTCGAATGTTGAAGGTTTTTTTTAATTTTTTAAAATTAGAATTTATGTTAAGGATGCAACTGTTCGTCTAATTGATCTCGGCTCGGCAACATTTGATCACGAGCATCATTCAACAATTGTTTCTACTCGTCATTATAGAGCACCCGAAGTTATTTTAGGTAATGAAGAATTTGTTTTTAATTTAGTTTCTAATTAAAGAGCTTGGTTGGGCCCAACCTTGCGATGTTTGGTCAATAGGCTGTATTATGTTTGAGCTTTATACTGGACAGACACTTTTCCAAACACATGACAATCGGGAACATTTGGCTATGATGGAAAGAATTCTTGGGAAAATACCTTATAGAATGGGGCATAAAACAAAGTAAAGTTTAATTAAAGTTTTCTTTTAAATAATTTATTTAGAACAAAATATTTTTATCATGGCCGTTTAGAGTGGGATGATCGGACGTCGGGCGGCCAGTACGTGCGGGATCATTGCAAGCCTTTAATTGTAAGAATATTTTTTTAATATTTTTTTTTCTAATTTTAATTCTTTTTAGCGTTATATGCAATCTAATTCAGACGCTCATCAGCACTTGTTTAACTTGATTCATCGAATGTTTGTTTTCTTTAAATAATTTTTTGACTCAAAAAAATTCCTTTAGGCTCGAATATGAACCAAATTCTCGTATCCAATTAAGTGATGCTCTTCGCCATATTTATTTTAGCCGATTAGAACCAGCTCAACGTGCAAGTGTTGATGGGGGAAAGTTAAATGATTTTGTAAATGGTGATTTGTCTAGTAAAAGTGTTGCTTCTTCATCTTCAATACGAGATTGACTACTTCTTGTTTTGTTTATTGGATGGAAATTTTTGTTTTAATTTTTTGTGATTTTGGTGGTGGAAATATATATTTAATTTGTTAGGAGGGTAAAAGAAAAAAAAATTATTTTTAATTTAACTAAAAATTAATTCTTTCCAATTTTTGTCTTTTTGTCAACTTTTTTGGATAATTATTTTTTTGACAATTAAATTTTCTGACAAAAATCCAAAAAGCTTTTATTTTGTTACACACCAATTTTGTCTTTATCCTATATTTTGTTTTGTTTATTTTAAAAATTAATTATTCTTGTCACATATTTACTAATTACTTCCCTCCCCCTTCCCTCCATTTTTTGCTCATGTAATTTAAAAATGAGTTTACTCCTTTTTGTCTTTTTTAATTTACAATAAAATTTCCAAAAATAATTTCTTTTTTGATTTTGGGGGTAAATTTAAATAAAAATATTTTTTTATCTGCAACACTTTAAATGTCCTTTTTTTGTATTTTCTGTTTAAAATTTAAGTTTTTTTGAGAAAAATAAATAAATAAATAGTTTTTTTCTTTAAATAAAAATATTATTTTTTATTAAAAATAAATATTTACAATTATTTAAAAGATAAATTAAAATTTATTTTAAAAAATTAAATTTTTTTTCACAATAATAATTGTAGGGATCTATATGTTTTTCTCCAATACAAACAAATTTATTATCATATAAACATTCACATTTTCCATGTTCATAGTAAAACTAAGAAAAAAAAATAAAATTTAAATTAAAAATTAATTTTCCCTCTAATTAATTTCCCCTAAAAAATTAATTCCCTCCCTTCTCTCCCCTCAATTCCCCCACCCTTCCCCCCTTCCCCTCCCTCCCCCTCCTTCTACCTCTCCCAATTTTTTATTTATTCTAATCCAGCATTGAACTTCTTTTGTTTCTTTTTGTTTTTTCTTTTTTTGTTGTTTTTGTTTAAATGATCTAATTAATCGAAGTAATGGAGATTCGTCTTCATTTTCATCTAGTAATAATTCATTTTCTTCTTTTAATGTGCTAACAGGTTTTGGTGTTGTTGATGGTGTTTTTGGATATCTAAATATATTTAATTTAAATTAAATTTCTAAAAATTCCTCTACAAATTTACCTATTAAAATTTTGTTGAATTTTAATTCGTTTAGAAGAATTACAATTATTAATTATTAAAAAAATTAAAAAAATAATAAAAAATTTAAATAAAGAAGTGGACATTTTTTAAATCTAAAAAGAGAGAATAATTTATTTAATTATTTTTTCCTTTTAAATTTATACTCGGAAAAATAACATTTTTAAATAAATATTTAAATATCTATTTTTGTTTTTAAACTTAATTTTAATTAAATAATAAACAAATTACAAATATTTTTATATTTTCTTTTTACCCTTTTTTTAAAGTTTCCTTTCCTCAAAATTCCACCTTCATCCGGTTATATACATAATCGTGAGAATTTATACAAAAATAGTAAAATAAATATATAAAAATGTTAAATAAAATAATTTTTTATTTCCTTCTAAAATAAATTAAAAGGTTTTTTTGCGGCAATTTATGCAAAAATAGTACTTTAATTAAAAGAATTTTAATTGAAAATTTTATTATTTAAAAATAAAAATATTTAAAAATTTTTAAACATATTAAAGTACCTAGAACTAAAAAATATATTTATTTATTTTAAATCTGTTGTGTAAATATATAAAAGTACATTTTATTAAAAAAATTTTTTTTAATTAATTTATTAATTATAAATTTCCATTTATTTTAAAATAATTTTTAAGAAATTTAAATTCCATTAAAATCTTTTTTTTTTCACGTCATTCTGTTATAGATAATTTTTTCTTAGAAACAAATATGGGAATTGAGCATTTTATTATTTTAAGGGTGGTGAATAATAATAATTTTTATATATCCTATTAATTCCAAAACTTTTAAAAGACTACATCGACAACTGGCACGAATCCAACATTCACACGATCCAAAATTAGATTAAAGACTTATACGCAAATATATTTTAATGGTAAAAATTTCTCTTCGCGAAATAAACCCTCCGAGAACATTTAAACTAGTGTTAATATCTATTTATTTTCGTTCTATTTCACAATCTTTTAGAACAATCGTCAATCGAAATAATTAAAAAAGTGCAGAACAAGAAAAAAGAGCCCTCTAGATATTTTTCGGTAGTAGGGGACAGTTCTCATTTCGGATCTCGGACCACTATTTTTTTAGAGGAAACAGTAATAATTAAAAAAATAAAACAAATAATTTTAAAAATATTCTCCCCAACTTTACCAAAACAAACATATTACTTCAACCTTATATAAAATTCAAAATCTACCATAACATTTTCGTAGTTTTTATTTTTAAAAAAGTGCGAATTTTTAACAAAAAGACATATATTATAGTCTAAATAAATTTAAACAATTTAGAAATTAAATAGGATTGGGGACTTAATTAAAAATTTTGGGCTTTAACAATTGCTTTAGATGATTTTAAATGATCTAGTAAAACACCTTTCCCATTCCTTAACTTGTTTTTAAAATCCAATTTATATTAGATCATTAAATTCATCTATTATTAAATTTGGGACTTAGAATTATTTAACTTAAATTATCTTAAATGCATTAAATTAAGAAATAATTTTAAAAAATATCCTCTTGTCCTTAAGCATTCAACCGGTATTCAGAAATCCAGCACTCCGTCCCAGTACGTCCGTAAAAAGTGATGTCATCATTCAAGTTGGTATAGGTAATATCCGGATTTTTCTGCTTCAATTCGTCACTAAATTTCAAAATTGAGCATTTTACAGAAAAAAATTTCTTACAATAAAGAATTGTAAAGATTTCTTCCTCGTTTGGCATATTCTGAAGCAACTAAGACTGGTGCTGGCAAAGAAATTGGTGATGACACAATTTGATGTCCAAAACAAAGATCATAAGTGATACGTTCCAATTCATCCAAATCATGTTCGCAATCATCATATACTACCGTATATTTTGGAGTCCGAGCAGTTCCCTGAACAATTAAATTTATGTTTATCCATTATTCAAGAATAAAAATATACAAACTTGTAAAGCGCGATGTGAAGTCAAAAAGAATTCTGCAAATTCTGGATGCACCGCCGCTGTGTCAATAATTGTGCCAGGTTTCAGATTTTGATCTGGCGCCTTGGCATTTTGATTAATCTGCAAAAATATTTCTATTTTTTATAAAAATATTAACAGACATTTTTGTGGAAGAATCGAACGCTTTGAAGTTTATTGCAAACAATTAAAGTTAATTTTGGTTCCTGAATCCCTTCAACCTGCAATGCCTTTCGCAGAAGTGGAACTTCATACTTAAGAATCTGAAAAAAAAGAAGTTTTGGAAACGCGAGTATTAGACGACCTTTGGGTATAATCCTTCACTACATCCATTACGGAAAAGAATAACACGTTGAGGAAGACGTCCATCCCTTGTTGATTGAAAGAAAGCAACACATCGTTGAACAATCGACTCAATGACGTTAACTTTTTCCTCACGATATGCTTGCTGATAGAGAAAGTCACCAATAAAATCATATGGCATTTTCGTAGGACCAACATTTGCAGCAAACTGAAAAACCTCAGATAAAAACTAAATTATCAAAATTTAAAAAATATACCCCGACAGCTGTAGGTGGTCCACTAACAAAGGAAGGTGCTTTGTTTGGATCAGAAGCAGTGTCATCTACCGTACCAATACCACCACCAGGATGGTTTGCACTAAACCCAATAATTAACGTTGACGTGTCAGTAGCAATCCTGTTCAACGAAAATTAGTAGACCAAAATAAAAAATTTTGAATACGTTTTCCCTGCCTACAAGTAAACCAACGCACCAAGGGTACCCAGAGTGTCGGTTTCGGGAAGGCCATGAACAAATGCACACAACCCAATACAAAAATTTAAAAACAAAACCTTGAACGTGACAATGTATAGTTCACTCCACCCAACTTTACATTGGTTTTATTCAAAATGTTGTCAATTGTGAGTTTTTGACCCTTTTGTATAACATTCTTAACAGTCCCAGTTCTTACACATTGCGTAATTACAAAGAAACGCCTCTCATTTGCTTTAACCTCATGATGTACTTGTTCTGCATCACCACTATCTCCATGAAAACAAAGCAAAAAGGCAATGTCATTTTTTGAAGCCCAATCATAAAATTGAGCCATGTCATCCTTTAAATTCAAATATTAAATTTAAAACTGAATTAAAAAAAACCAATTTATTCAGCGTAACAATTTCCTTTCTTACAGGATCATTTAATCTAATGCCTCTGGAACTTGCTTGTTGTTGATAACGACGCAGAAAATCACTAAAAATGTTTTTTCAGTTTAAAACCTTTTAAATAAAAAATCACTCCATCTCATTTTGCGTTAAGCATCCATGCCCAGCATTTTTTGTCCAAAAAACAAAAGAAGCCCATCCATATTGCTTACCCACGAGTGCTTGGGGAGACAATACTTTATTCATCCTCCAACCAGCAGTATCTTTATTTGGAAAAACACTACCATCACCAGTTTGAAGTTCAGGATGATTAAGTTCATTCGCACGCTGAATAAATTTAACAAAATAAAAAAAAATTTCCAACCAATTCGAGAGGTTTATTAAGCACTTGAATTCTGGCAGCATTCAAATAATCACTGTCCCAGAGATGCAATGATTTTGCAACCTTTTCCATTTGCGCGCGTAAAATAGCTGGAGGAACAGCACACTTCTAAAATGAAAACGGTACTATTGGGAGAAAATGTTGTAGAAAAAACAAATGAACATATCTCTTCCCCATATAATGGGTATTAAGGACACGAGAATAAAAATAAAAATTAGACCCTAATTGCTAATTGAGTCATTTGCGAAGTCAATTGGTTAGTCTTAACACGTTGATTGTCACAAACTTGAAGAACTTCAATTGGGTAATAATTTTGTTGCTTCTTCCCATCCTTGTCAGTTGTACTGCTTATAACTAAAGGCAAATCCATTCGACTGAAAAATACATTATTACTAGTATCACTAAAAAGATCATGGTTGGTGTAATTGTGGGGAACAAATGCATCAATAAAATTCATCATAAATACCGAAACAAGTGTCACTCTAACAAGTCATTTTAAAAACGACCCGGAGCCAATACCGAAAACAACGAAAAAATATATAGTCTCACAGTACTTAAATATCTTCACTAAAACCCATTAAAATGAAAATCACCTGAGCGAAACCCCATATTTCTGGTTGAAATATGTAGCAACTGAAGTCGGTTGCCCATTAATTGATATTTCTTTTTGAGAGGCGCTTTCGCGTGCAAATCCTTTTATCAGTAAGTACTGCACATTATTCTTATTATGAGTAGTGCAAACCATTAGACCTTAAAGCGTATCTATTTATTAACTAGATTTGTGAAGCCGAAACCTTTGAGATATTTATCCAAATACGCCACTTTAGCATCAAATGATGCACGTTGCATTGAACGTAACATAGCATCCACTTTATTAACAAGAAGATCATCCGCATGGAATGGAGTTTTCTTTGCTGAAATAAAGTTTTAAAATAAAGAATATTTTGTCCCACGTTGAACAACAACTGATTGTAAGCCACCACTTCCAGGTTTGCCTCCTTGAACATTGTGAATTGCTTTGTCACACCCTATACCAAGATAGGTAAGGTTATCCTCAAAAGAAATAGTGTCATCAGATTTGAAACCAAACATCTCAGGACTATACATATAAGAATTAGATGTAGAGAAATGAACGTGCTCTCCTCTAAAATATTAAAATTTCCAACTTTTATCTTTAAGATGAACATACTCGCGAAAGAAAACATCTTGGCTGGTAGCAATGTCAAGAAATTGAGCAAGATCCTATTAACAAAAAACGACTTTAAGAAAATATATTTCCTCACTCTGTTCGCATAAACCAAATCCCGCTGTCCCTGTATCTGTTCTAAGCTCAATTGAAAAGGATTGGTAGGAGTAAACTCCAAAGTGATGCTGTCCAATTTGAAACGTCCAAACTCAGAGGCATTGTGAAGTTCAGAAGGAGAAAAATCAAATTTAATATGCTCCTTGAAAAAAAATTTAAGAAGTATAAATAAAAGAAAATAACTTGTTGAGACATAGGAGTCAAAGAATACATGATTGACTGGAGATCGTTGTAGATGCAACCAGCGGCTTTGGCCATATCCTTATGTTTATTCATAAAAGTAACAAGCACATCCCGCGTACGAAAGCGACGCTCAGTTTTGGTAAAACTGAAAGGCAAAACCATTAGTTGAAATTAAAAAAACAGGGTGTACAACAAATGCTATTTATTTGTCAACCCCTTTAATGTTAAAAAGACAAAAAAGATGTTCAAACAGTAGCTCATAAGGTCAAACCCATACGTTAACCCTCAGCAAATATCTAAAGTAAAACTCACTCGTCCTTGAACTTCTTAGTGAACTCTACGATCCGTCCGCTTCTCTTCGTTCCAGAAACTTTCACATTGTATCGACAAACACGAATGTTGCTTTGGAAAATCAGCGGATAGATATTTGTAGTCAAATCGACGTCTCCCTCACGAACTGGTCCTTTACGCTCAGCCATGATAGGTAAACCAAATTCAATCTTAATTGCAAAAAATGATTAAAAATGCAATAAAAAGGGGGGACAAATTCTTACCTCCTTTTCCTTGAGGTACTCGCGAGCTTGAATCTCTAACACATTTGCAGGACGAAGCGAGCTTAAAGCCGGCCCGGAAGCTATTGATTCATCACCGCCTTTAGACATTATTAAATAATTATAAATATACGAAATAGGTCTTTCGAAATTTCACTGAATAAAAAATTAGTAGAACAAATAAACGAAAGAATAACAATGGATTATAAGGTTAATTACAAATATAGTAATTTACTAATTACTCAAAGTACTTAAGAATTCACATTATTAACATATAAACCAATGTCATAGACAAAAAACTTAATAAAACCGAGAATTCCAAAAATATCACAAATGAAATAATAATGAAGGAATCAACTTAAATATTAACAAAAATGTAAAAAATTAAAAAACGCCAAAGATTTAGATTATGCCAAAAGGCGGTATTTCAAAAATATACATTAGAGTATACCGAGGACGTTTCATTCCATGAGACTATTATTGACAAGTTTAATTCCTTGCCGGTTTTCTATCATAAACATATTTTTTTAATTTCAGGCTAATTATAAATTGATAGATTTTTCAGACCAAAATATAATAAATGACCGACGCAAAATATTTTACAACAACAAAGAAAGGTTCAAAATTTTAATAAAGTATTATAAAATTTTAATAAAGTATTATTTTTACTGAAAAATTATTTTAGGTGAAATATTTGAATTGAAGAATGAACTAAATTCCGACAAAAAAGAGAAGAAACGGGAAGCCGTCAAAAAAGTTATTGCAAGTATGACTGTTGGGAAAGATGTTAGGTTTGTTTTTATTTTATATTTTATTTAAAAAATAATTTTAAAGCGCTCTTTTCCCTGATGTTGTTAATTGTATGCAGACAGATAATGTAGAATTAAAGAAATTAGTTTACCTTTATTTAATGAATTATGCAAAAAGTCAACCAGAATTGGCTATTATGGCTGTAAATACTTTTGTTAAGGATTGTGAAGATCCTAATCCATTAATTAGAGCATTAGCTGTTCGAACTATGGGTTTTTAAATATAATTTTTTACAAATAATTTTTGTTAAAAAGGATGTATTCGAGTTGACAAAATTACTGAATATTTGTGTGAACCACTCAGAAAATGTATGAAAGATGAAGACCCTTATGTGAGAAAAACTGCAGCAATATGTGTTGCTAAATTACATGATATTAACGCACAAATGGTTGTTGATCAAGGTTTTGTTGAAATGCTGACTGATTTGTTGAGTGATGCTAATCCAATGGTTTGTTTTTAATTTAAAGGCTTTTTATTGGAAAAATATTTCTTTTATAAAATATGCTTTTCTTAATTATTATTGTTCTACATATTTATTTGTTTTTTTAGGTTGTTGCAAATGCTGTTGCTGCTATAACAGAAATAAATGAGTCTCATACTCTTATTGAGATAAATGCTCAAACTGTTAATAAATTACTAACTGCTTTGAGTGAGTTTTGATTATAAAAATAAAAAATTTTTTTAATTTTTTAAGACGAATGTACCGAATGGGGTCAAGTATTTATTTTGGATGCACTTGCAAATTATCAGCCAAAAGATGAACGGGAAGCACAAAAGTTTAAATTTTGATTTTTATATAGAAAGAATTTTTTAAAGTATTTGTGAAAGAATAAGTCCAAGACTTGCTCATGCGAATGCAGCTGTTGTACTTTCTACTGTCAAAGTTTTGATGAAATTGTTGAATATGCTCTCCGAAAATTCTGATTTTTCTACTCAATTGATTAAAAAATTAGCACCTCCAATGGTTACTTTATTGTCTGCTGAGCCAGAAATTCAATATGTTGCACTTAGAAATATTAATTTAATTGTTCAAAAAAGGTTCTCTTTCTTTAATTAAAAAATTGTCTCTTTAAATTAATTTTAAATTTCAGACCAGACATTTTAAAACAAGAAATGAAAGTTTTTTTCGTTAAATACAATGATCCAATTTATGTAAAAATGGAGAAATTAGATATAATGATTCGTTTATCCCAGCAAAGTAATATTGCACAAGTACTTTCTGAATTAAAAGAATATGCAGCTGAAGTAGATGTTGATTTTGTGTTTGTTTTTTTTTTGAATTATTTTTAAAAAAGTGAAAATTTTAGTCGAAAAGCTGTTAGAGCAATTGGTCGTTGTGCAATTAAAGTAGAACAAAGTGCTGAAAGATGTGTAAATACTCTTTTAGAATTAATCCAAACAAAAGTTAATTATGTAGTACAGGAAGCTGTTGTTGTTATAAAAGTATTGAAATAATTTATCTTTTTAACATTTTCTTTGGTATGACAAAAAATTCTTTTAATATTTTAGGATATTTTTCGAAAATACCCAAATCGTTATGAAGGCATAATTTCAACGCTTTGTGAAAATTTGGATACACTTGATGAACCTGAAGCTAGAGCTTCTATGATGTAAAATTTATTTTTATATTTTCCCTATATTTTAAAAAAATTTTAGATGGATTGTTGGTGAATATGCTGAACGTATTGATAATGCTGATGAATTATTAGAATCTTTTGTTGATGGTTTTCATGATGAAAATACCCAAGTTCAATTACAATTACTAACTGCTGTTGTTAAATTATTCCTGAAAAGACCAAATGATACACAACAATTGGTACAAAAAGTGTTGACTTTGGCTACACAGGTTTCATTAAAAATTAAAAAATAATCCTTTTGTCTAAAGGATAGTGATAATCCAGATTTACGTGATCGTGGATACATTTATTGGCGTTTATTGAGTGCTGACCCTCAAGCAGCAAAGGAAGTAGTTTTGGCTGAAAAACCATTAATTTCTGAGGAAACAGATTTACTTGAACCTTCGCTTTTGAATCAATTGGTTTGTTTTTTTTAATTAAAATTATTTTTTTTAAAGGTTTGTCATATTGGTTCTCTTGCTTCTGTCTATCATCGACCTCCGTCGTCATTTATCGATCCAATTCGGCATCCTGTAAAGACAGCGTCATTACCTGGAAGGTAAAAAAATTAAAATTTATTTTTTAATAATAAAATTAACATTAGCAATCAACAAGAACAACAAATTGTTTCGCCTGCTGAAAATGTTCAAAAACAACCAACTGTAATTCAACCACCACAAGATTCAATTATTGCTGATCTTCTTTCATTAGATTTATCTGTTCCTTCTGCACCTGGTTTTTTTTTGTAAATTTTGTTTTTAAAGAAATTTTAAGCTCCAGCAACACAACAACCTTCAACATCCGCTTTGATTAGTGACATTTTCGGTTCGCCACAACCCGTTGCTCCTCCAACTGTGCAACCAGCATTGGCTAGTATTTTTGATACGCCCCCGCCACCACCACCTCCTGCTGCGGCACCAACGTCTACATCTATTTTTGGTTAATTGATTGACTATTTGAATATTTAAATTATTTTTAAAAAGATACTACTTCCCCATCAATATTTGCACCTCCAGCTGCGCCAACATCATCTCCTTTAGATCTTCTTGGTAGTGGAATTGGAGGAACAATTCCAACTCAACCGCCACAACCGTTATCGTCTACTGATATTTTTGGTTTAAGTTTTGGTGGAAGTAGTGCTGGAGATTTAACTTCTTTAATGGGTGTTGGAACGACACAATCATCAAATGTTGGTCCATATATTCCTCCATACCAGGCAAATTTAAAGAAAAATTTTTTTTAAATTTTAATTATTCAGATTTGGTTAGATGCTTCAAAAAGTAAAGGACTTCAATTGGAGGGACGATGGTTACGCCGTAATGGACAAATTGTTGCTGAAATGAATTTAACAAATCGAGCACTTCAACCATTAGACGGATTTGCTATTCAATTTAATTCTAATTCGTAAAATATTTTTTTATTTTTTAAATTTATTTTCTCAAATAGTTTTGGTCTTATTCCTTCGTCACAATTTAATCCTGGAACTATATTTCCTAATCAAACAATTTCAACAACACTTAATTGTTCAACTAATGGACCTGTCCAAAAAATGGAACCATTAAGCAATCTTCAAGTTGCAATTAAAAATAATATTGGTAAAATTTGGAATAAATAAATATAAATATTTTTTAAAAAGATGTTTTTTATTTTGCTGTTGTTCTTCCATTAAATGTTTATTTTGACGAAAGTGGACAAATGGACAAAAGAGATTTTCTTCAATTATGGAAAGATATTCCTGAACAAAATGAAATTCAATTTACAATTCAAAACACAAAAGGACTTAGTGCTGATGATATTTGCTCTGTTTTGCAACAAAATAATGTTTTTACTGTAGCTAGACGAACTGTTGATGGACAAGAATTATTATATCATTCAATTAAATATACCAATCAAGTATTTATTTTATCGGAATTGAAAATGCAACGACAAAATGCAACATTGACTGTAAATTAAAATCCTCTTTATTTTTTTAAAATTTTTCTAGTTATCTCTAAAATCACGTCATCTTAGTGCAATTGCCAATTTAAGTGAACATTATCAATTATTATTGGACTCGGCTATGCCTGCTAAACTTATGTAGATTTACAATTTGAAAGGGAGGTTTTGGGAAAATTATAATGTGAATTTTAGAATAAATTAATTAAAGATTGATTTTAAAAATAAAAATAAAATATTTTGTTAATTGACATTTAATGAATTTATTAATTTTTAAGTAATAAATATTTTTGTGATTTTATTTAGTTTAAATTAAATTTTTTATTTAAAAAATTTTTTTAAATTATTTTTAAATGTTTTTTATTAATTTCAATAATTTTTATTTTTCTGTTAATATTTTTATTGGTTTATTTGGATTAGTTGACATACAATTAATGAATTCTAAAATGGCAACAGCTTTATATAAAGTTTAATAAATATTTTTTCTAAAAACTTTTTTTTATTTAAAGGTTGTTTATGTAACAGTTCCATCGACAGAAGTTGGTAAAAATATAGCAAAAGAAATTATTCAAAAAAGGTTAGCTGCTTGTGTAAATATTGTTCCACATTTAACAAGCATTTATGAATGGAAAGGCAAAATTGAGGAAGAAAATGAATCGTTATTAATTATTAAAACGGAAGCAGATCGTTTAACTCAATTGGAAGAAATTGTGAATAAAATACATCCGTAAATTTAGAAAAGGAAATTTTTAAAAAATAATTTTTATTTAAAGTTATGATGTGCCTGAATTTATTGTTTTACCTATTGAAAAAGGGAGTGAGCAATATTTAAAATGGATATATGAACAAACGAGAAATGAAATTAAAAATGTTGAAGACAAATAATTTAGTTTATTTTTTTAAATAAAGTTTATATTTTTATTAAAATTTATTTAAATTTAGTTTGATCTTGCATTTTATTTTAAAAATTAATTTTAAAAAGGTTTAATAATAATTAATATTTTTTGCAGATTTTAAAACAAAAATGATTTTTAAATGAGAATAGCTTTAATAAAAAATTATGCAGGTATTTTCTAATTAAATTTTTTTCTAATTTTATTTTTCAGTATCTGTTTGTCGACTTACCTTCATTAAACTCCGTTCCTTCCTTCCTGCTGCTCTTCTCTCAATTCCTCTAACTTTGACATTATTTTGGATTACTGGACTTTCAGATTATTTTTTTGAAATAAATTTTGATGATTTTAAATGGCCTCCATTTGTTGATGTCCAAAAACAGGTAAAATTAATTTCCAATTATTTCCCCTCACAGAATAATTTTAATTATTTAAAGGTTTCATTAGAATTACTTGGTTATTCAACAGAAACACCTCCAATTAATATTTTGACACAATTTCAATTTCTTCATCGTCCAACTTGTAAAAACAATAGATTAACTCGAAAACGTTCAATTCTTGTTATTGTAAAAAGTGCTCCTGAAAGAATTGAGGTTTAATTTTCTTTAAATAAAAATAATTAGTATTTAAAAAAAAAGAACAGAGAATCAATTCGTTCAACTTTTGGTTCTTCTTTAGAAAATGACAATTTAACTGGCGGTTTTCGTTTTAGAATTATTTTTGTTTTTGGAAAGCCTGTTGATTCTGTAATGGATAATTTAGAATTAGAAAATAAAAAATATGAAGATTTAATTATTGGAGATTTTATTGACAATTATTTTAATAATACTTTAAAAGTAAATATTTTTAAAATTAAATAATTTTTAATTTAAAGTTTATATATTCAATTAAATTTGCCCATAATTATTGTAATGGGGGAACTGTTCCTTTTGTTTTATTATTGGATGATGATTATTTACTTTTGCCTTGGAATTTAGCTGCTGAAGTTGAAAAACATGTTGCCCATGAAAGGTTATATATGGGTTGGCGTTATGATACATCCCCCTTTCGATTGAGATGGAGAAAATTTAGAGTAAAAATTTATTCTTTTTCAACTAAATTATTAAAAATAATTCTAGGTAAGTATATCAGAATATCCTTTCAATGCCTATCCACCATACATTACAGCTGGTGCTGTTCTACTTTCTGGTCAGACTATTAATGAATTTTATATTGCCATTCAACACACTGCTATTTTTATATTTGATGATATTTATACAGGTTTTTTCTGATAAGTCTATTCTAAAATAAAAATAATTTTTTAGGTATTCTTTCCTATTTATTAGCAATTCAACCACAACATAGTCCAAACTTTTCTCCATTCCCTCATGTTGATAGTACAGACTGGTGGAAAACTTTAATTGCAGAACATGGGTATTCCCCTACTTTACTTAATTCTACTTATAATGAATTATTGAAAATAAGAAAAGAAGAACGTTTAAAAAATTAACAAAAAAATTATAGAAAAAATATTTAAATGTTCTCCGGTTCCAAAAATGTCTGTCCCTTGTATTCGTTCAGGTAAGCTGGGCTCCTCGAAAAAAGACTGGTTCTTGGTTAAACAGGTTCCTCCTCCTAATTTTTTTCATTTTTAACCGGAACAAGATTACTATTGATCTCAAAACAAAAATAAAATAAAGAAAATTAGTGTTCGGCATTTGCGATTTTTCGAGATCGAGATCGAGATTATCGAAAAATCTCGATCTCGAAAAAATCTCGGTTTTTTTAAAAATTGATCGAGACGAGATCGAGATCGATAATCTCGAAAAATCTCGATCTCGAAAAATCTCGGTCCAAAATTTTCGAGATTATCGCGAGATTTCGAGATTTTTTATAATCCCTTAGAATTGAATAAAAATTTATTTCAATCAATATAATTATGATCTAAATGTGAATTTAATATTTGTAATGAATCAATGGAAGGGTTTGGTTAAGGAATATCAACATTTCAGCTTTTTCTGGACTCAAAAGTGAGCGACGATAATCGAAAACGTCTCTTGCAATTGAAAAAACTCTTTCACTATCTACTGAAGTAGCTTTGGCAGAAAATCCTGAAATCCTGCCAATCCTGTCATTTTTTTCCAGGATCCTGTCCAGGATTTCGGGATTTTAAAAAATATGTAGTGGCCTCCACAAATTTCAAAAAATTTTCGCCTGCGGTGCTGAAAAACGAGGGAGGTATCTAATTTTTGCGGAGGTATCAACCCGACAAGTAAAGTCATTCAAGTTAGAGCGATTAGAATTCATTTAAATATATTCGGGGGATTAACAAGATCTAGTGGGCAAAGAAGGCTACTGGTGGAATAAGAGAAACATCTAGCGCTAAGAGGATTGGAGGTGATTCAAAGGATTTGGGATTATAAGAGGAATTAAAAGCGAACGGAAGCAAGCAGCCTTAAAACATGCGAGCATAACCTTTGATAACTCTTCTCTTATATCACATACTTCTTCACTTTTCTGCGCCGCAGGCAAAAATTTTGAAATTTTTGGAAGACTCGAAGCCAGATTTCTTCCAAAAAGTCAATCTTTAGGAGTCCTGAACAGTGAAAATTATTCAGGACGGGTCCTGTATCAGGATTGGGTTTTAAAATTTCATACAGGACAGAATCCTGCAGGATTAATCCTGAAAATCCTGGAATCCTGACAATCCTGAAAACTGAAAAAAAGGCAGAATTTCGGGGGACGAACCCAAAGTGGGACGAAACAAAAGGGGACGAAACAAGTTTTTTACATTGGGACGAAACAAAAGTTTTGTTCAGGGGGACGAAACAAAAGGGAACGAAACCAAAGCGCGCCAATTGAAACAAATAATAATTAACAAAACGCCAAAATTTATAAATACTGATTACGAAAAATCTTTTTTAAAAATATCGAAATATCGAAAAATCTCGCGATATTTCTGACTTGACCGAGACGAGATCGAGATCGATAATCTCGAAAAATCTCGATATCGAAAAATCTCGATTTTTTAAAAAATTGATCGAGACGAGATCGAGATCGATAATCTCGAAAAAAATCTCGCGATATCTCGAAAAATATCGTCGATATATCGTCTCGTGCCGAACACTAAAGAAAATAAAGACAAAAGAATTCCCCTTTAATCTATATTCATTTTTATAATTTTGTCTGAAAAAATTAGTGCTTTTGAGTAAAATTAAAATAATTTTGTCCAATTTATTCATACATAAACATTAATAATTTGTGAAATTAAATTAAAAAATTTTACCCGCCGAAATGCTTTCTCCAAACAAATTTTGGTAATATATAACTACAGTCGTGGAAAAAAGTATGGAAGCGCTAGAAAATTTTTTCTTAATTCTTAATTTTTCATTCAAAAAATACGTTCTATATACCAATCGAAAGCTCTATTCATATCTCAGTTGACATGTTTCTGCATTTTTCATGAAAATGAAAATTGGCCTAGATAATCCGGATCTACCGGATATACCAAATCCCACTTTTTCGGAAAAATTTTTCGGAACAAATTTAACAAACCCAAATGATAAAGCATATTTTTCTGAGTATTTTCCACAAAGCCGCTTAGAAATATCTTTTTTCGGAGCAGAGATATAATTTTTTGAAAATCGCATTTTTCGTCTATTTTTGCAAAAAATTCAATTTTTAAGGGAAAAATGCGATTTTCAAAAAATCATATCTCTGGTCCGGAGAAAGATATTTCTAAGCGGTTTTGTGGAAAATACTCAGAAAAATATGCTTTATCATTTGGGTTTGTTAAATTTGTTCCGAAAAAATTTTCCGAAAAAATGGGATTTGGTATATCCGGTAGATCCGGATTATCTCGGCCAATTTTCATTTTCATGAAAAATGCAGAAACATGTCAACTGAGATACGAATAGAGCTTTCGATTGGTATATAGAACGTATTTTTTGAATGAAAAATTAAGAATTAAGAAAAAATTTTCTAGCGCTTCCATACTTTTTTCCACGACTGTATATAAAGTTTCTGCTATTCCAAACTCATTGTCAGCATTTTGTTGGGCCGAGTTCTTTCCTGCGCCGGCTAATTTTGTCCAAAAATTGAATTTTGTTAAAAAAATTTTTTATAAAATGCCAAATTATTTATACATTTTGTTAACAAAAAGATAATTTTCATTTTACCAATTATTTCAACGAAATTTATTTAAATAATTGCTGATTAATTATTTTTTAATTGTTTTGTTTAACTTTTAATTTATTTTTAATAGAAAATAAAAAATATGGAAAACGTGCAAGGGAAAATGAGTAATGTTCAAGAACAAGTTTCAAATGCTATGGAACGTATGGGGGAAGCAGCACAGAGTGTTGGACAAAAAGTTTCTGATTTCTTTCAAGGAAATCCTTTTGACACTCCTGTTGGAAGGAAAATAGGTTTATTCTTTCCCAAAAAATTTTTTAATAAAAATTAAAATTCAGAACTTGCAACAGATGCAACAAGACTTGCTACAGAAAATTGGGGGTTAAATATGGAAATTTGTGATTTTATAAATTCAACGAATGAAGGGTATTTTTTTAATTAAAGAATTTATTATTATTAATTTATTTATAGACCTAGAGATGCTGTTAAAGCTATTAAAAAGAGACTACAAACACAAATGGGAAAGAATAACGCAACGTATATATTTTTTAACTTTTAATTAAATTTAAATTTCTGTTTTTTACTATTATGAATACCTATAATATTGTTTTGTTACCCGTTTCCGCGTTAAAATAAATTAATAGTTTAACCAAAAAATATCCAAAAAAGAGCAACATTGGATTTTTAAAATAAGATAATTTATTTTTTAGTGTAATGTATACTTTAACTGTTTTGGAGACTTGTGTTAAAAATTGTGATGAGCGTTTTACGACTTTGGTTTGCCATAAAGAATTTGTTGCTGATATGATTCGATTAATTAGTGTTAAATATGATGCACCCCAAATTGTGCAGGAACGTGTTTTGGCGCTTGTACAGGTTTTTCTTTTAAAATTATTCTTAACAAACAAAAATTTTTTAAAGTCATGGGCTGATGCTTTTCGTGACAATCCTAATTTTTCTGGTGTTGTTGAAATGTATGATGAGCTAAAAAGTAAGGGAGTGGAATTTCCTGCAACAAATTTGGATTCAATGGCGCCAATTATAACTCCAAAACAGGTAAAATCTTTTAAATAATTCAAAAATCAACTCTGACCCTCTAATTTTTTAATTATTATTTTTTAGACAGTATTTGTTCCATCTTCCCAAACAGCCCCTCCACAACAACAACAATTCCCTAATTACCCAATTTCTTCCTCTACTAATTCCTCTCAGCCAACACTTCAATTATTAGTACAAGATCAAATGGCAAAATTACGTTCAGAATTGGATTTAGTTCATGTTAATATGACTGTACTTCGTGAATTAATTGCACAAATGAAACCTGGAAATAATGGAAAAGAACCTCCAGAAGATTTTTATTTTATTAATGTAAGAGGGGAGGGGAATATTTTATTAAATTAACTAATGTATCCCCCTCCATACTTAATGTGTAAAAAATATTTTTTAAATTTTTTAGGAATTATATTCAACATGTAAAGAAATGCAAAAACGAGTACTTGAATTAATTCCAGTTGTTGCAAATGAAGAAGTTACATGTAAATTAATTATTTAATTTTTGTTATTACTTTTCTAGATGAATTACTTTCAATAAATGATGAATTTAATGCAACATTTGAGAAATATGAGCGTTGTATGGCTAATTTTAATGCTAATGGTATTGACCTTACAATGGTTGAAAGTGGAAGTAAAATAAATATTAATAATGAAGAAAAATTAAAAGAAAGTGGAGGAGGGGGAAATGATTTGATTGATTTTGGTGATGGAAAAGGAAAAAATGAAAAAATTGGTTTTTTTAATTTAAAGAATTTTCAAAAAAATTTTTATTTAAAGATTTTAATTCTGGAAAGGATTTTGAGTTTAACAAAAATAAAGAGTAAGAAGTTTTTAAATATTTTTTAAATTAAATTTTAGAGGTATTGATGCCGACCAAATTGAGGGTGTTGGAATTAGAACAATTGCTTTTAATAAACTAGATGGACAAATTGGACAGGAAGGAAACAAAAAAGAAGGTAAAATAAATTCGAAATTATTTTTTTGAAAATATTTTTATAATAGAAGAAAATGTTAAAAAGCCTGTGGATGATGGACTTTAATTAATTTTTTGGAGAAAAATTTTTTTCGAAGAGAACGAATGCTTAAAATAATTTTTAAATTGCTTTGTATTTGCTATTTTTGAATGGAATTACTATTTTATTTTTTTAGATTTTGATTTGCTTCATAAATTAATTCCATTCAAAAATTCTTTTATTGGCATTGCTCTAATTGAAAAGAGCGCACTTCAGCTAAGTTTTTTTTGATATTCCTTCCATAGATATTTTAAATAATTTTGACATATTTTTACCTAAAAAATGAATGAATATTTTTAAAGTTTTCTTTTAAAGTAATGAATAAATATGTAGTTATTAGAATAATCAAAAGAATTCTGACATCAATTCGCATGTTGTTCCCGAGTAATCCTCTCTCCTGCCCCCCCCCCTCTCCTCCCCAATACAAAAATTATAAAAGCATTTTTATAACCTTTCTCATTTTCTATTCCTCCATTCATTCATTCTAGTTATCACAACAATCTTAGGGTAATGCCAATGTTTTGGGGGCTGACATTAGGATTTTTACCATTCTTTTACTTCATCGTTAACATGTTTGTGTTTGTTGCTCTGCAATGCTGTTGCAAAAAGGTTTGGGACATCTTAAAATAATTTCTTTTATCATTTTATTTTTACAGAAGAAAGTCAAAAAGGTGGTAAAGATGAGAGGAATTTCAGCAAATGAGAAACAAAAAGTAGAAGTCAAGAAGGGCAGCAAGAAGAAGAAAAAGAATGGTCCCAAAGGAAAGGCCCAAAAGCCATCAACGTTGACCAAGTCAAAAGAGAATAATAAAGATGAAAGTAAAAAATATTTTTGTTACAATTTTATAAAATTTTATTTTTTTAAGAAGAAATGCCAACAGCTATTTCTTCGGAACATCAATCTGACAATGAAAAGAAGTCATTAAAGTCAAAGACAAAAACAAAGACTGGAGTATTCACCGGTTCTGTAGATACTTCAACACCAACAGCATTAGCGCCGATGATTGGAGAAATTGGTGGAGAGAAGAAAGTTTCGGCTGTTTTAACAGCGTTTGCGGAAAAGGAAAAAAGTGAGGAAAAATAATTTATTTTGAAGAATTTTTAAATTTTTCAGAAGAGGCAGAAAAGAAGTTTCCAATGGAGGAAGATATTGATGACCATCCTGACTATGATACGTTACAATTTGCTGACAAAAAGGACGTATTCAAGACAGGATTCACGTCAAAAGGAGTGCGAATTGAAAAGGAGGCGCCACAGAAAAAACGTAAAAAAGATTTTTAAAAATTTTTTTGAAATTTTTTATTTTTAAAGTCAGGCCTGGTGATTCCGCCTATATGGATGATGGAGTTGTCTGATGGCCCATAAATGCTGGGTGAAGAAAGGAATATGTTGGATGATATATAATATATTTGTTTATCTAATAGTTATTGTGAATATTCGTGGGTATATTGTATTTGGAATAATTGTTAAAAATATTTTATCCCCATAAAAACAATTAAAATGGAGGTACAATTTCCCCTTGTTCTCTACGTTCAAAATATCTCAATCTAGCTACTGCCACCGCATTTTCATCATTACGACGTCGTAAAATTTGTCTTATTTTTTCCATTCGGCGTATTTCTTCGTTCATTTCATCATCAATTGAAGGAATAAAGGAAGGTAATGATCTCTCATTCTTTTCACTTTTAGAATCGTCAGATATTCTTTTAAATTTTTTAGGACTATTACTTCGCCCTCTTCTTCCTCTTTCATATTTATCTTCATTTTCTCGGTAATTTTCTTTAATTTTTCCTTCTTTCCCCGTCTCTTCAATAATTTCTTCTTTAATAATTTCTTCATTTTCTTTTTTATTTTTAATTAATATTTTTTCTTCATTTTCTTCCTCTTTTATATTATTTTCCTCTTTTTGTGAAGTATCTGGAAATACTCTTGCCCTATCTTCAAGTATTTTTCTATGAAATGCTTGTTGCCACAATTTTTGATTTTTTACATCTCTAATTTCTAAACAAAAAAATAAAAAGAATAATTTTAAATTTATTTATTTTTTACCATCCATTTTGTCCAATTCCTCCAATTCTTTTCTAAAACTTTCCCTTTCTTCAATTTGTTTTCTATATTCTCCTGTTATAAAAACTTCTTTATCATCAAATTCACCAGCCTCCTTTTCACGTTCCTTTTTATAAGTCCGTTCATCATGTAAAGTTTAAGAGATTAAAAAAAATGGAAATTGATGGAAAAATGTCTACAAATAAAATTTCTGCAAAACGGACAGCAACAGAGGCCAATTTTTCGCCTCTCTCCAATAATAGCAACAACAACGAAAATCCAAATTCTCTTAATTTTCTTATTGATTGTCAAGTCAATTTGGTGAAAACAACACTAACAACAATCAATACTTTTATTCCGTCTATGACAACAGAGCAAACTCCGATTTTATTAAACTTTATTAAAACTCTGACTGAACAATTTAACCTTCTTAGTAAATCAATCGATTCACTTAAAGAAAAACAACAAGAAAAACCTTATGGATATTTTTCAGGAACAACAAAATTAAACACTATTTCAGCAGAGGAGCTAGAGCGCGAAAGAAGTGTTGTTGTGACTGGTTTGACGGAATCTACAAAAAAACTTCCATCAGAGAAAATGGCGGATGACTCCAAAACAATAACAAGTTTACTCGACTCGGTGGGGGTTGAGTGCGCACCCAGGTTTTTTTACCGTATGGGACGTCAGTCTAACCCACCCAATAATGGTCATGCCCGTCTTTTAAAGATTGTTTTACCATCCAGAAAATTTCAGCGTGAACTTCTCAACAAATGGAAAACAAATGGCAAGAAATCTTTCCCCCAAGTCAATATGCGTGCTTCAATGACACCAGAACAATTACAGCGACGAAGGGAACTAATTGAAGAGTGCAAAAAGAAGAGAATGGAGAACCCTCAATTGGACTGGATAGTTTATGGAGAAGCAGTAATTCTAAGATCGGAGGTTCACATTTTTAGAAAAAATAAAAAAATCTGACTTCAAAAAAATAATCTAAATAGATTAAATACTATTAATTTTTTATATTTTAATTCAAGAAGTTTAAAAAACAAATTGTCAAATTTACACTTTCTGTTATTAGAAAACCGTTATAAGTTAATAGGGGTTACTGAATCATGGTTGACTGATATAGTTGATGATAATCTTTTACTACATGGTACCCCATATAATATTATCAGAACTGATAGGGCCAATGGTAGGGGTGGAGGAACTTGCTTATTTATATCAAATAAAATACCATTTATTAAAATAGAAATCCCCCAAACTTTATCAGAGATATCTTGTATAGATTTATTAACCCCAGATGAAAAAATTCGTATTATTTTGATTTATAGATCAATCACTAAAGAAACCATTAAGGATTTTAAATCTATCTTGCAAATCTTGTATGATATATCGGCTGTATCCTACCCACTTATCTTATTAGGAGACTTTAACCTACCCAATATCGATTGGGAAAATTATAGTACTCAAACCAAAAATACCAAAGAAACATTATTTTTAGAATATATTCAAAGTTTAGGACTAAAACAAAAAATTGATAAACCCACTAGAGGAGTAAATATATTAGACTTACTATTAACTAATGAGGATGAATTAATAAAGGCTATAACAATCAATCCGCCTATAAGTAAATCTGACCATAATACAATAGAATTTGAAATATCTTCTACTAACAATTACCAAGATAATAATTATACATATCCAAATTTTCGTAAAGCTAACTATGAAATAATTAATGCACATTTCTCAACAATAAACTGGAATCTAGTATTCACACAATGCTCTGATATAAATCAACTATATTTCACTTTCCAATCGATTATACATAATGTTATTTGTTCCTTTGTTCCCGAATCTAAAGTAAAATCTAACAATCTCAAAAAACCCGAACACATTGAAAAAATGACATTATATCTAAAAAATCTGTGGAAACAAAAATCCACGCCAGAGCTAACACGTAAAATCTCATATGTATCAAAAAGAATAGATTCTGAAACTAACAAATTTTTAAAAAATAGAGAAAAGCATAAAACACAAACTATCAGTCAAAAATTCTCATACATCTCTTCATTTCTTAAATCCAAAAACAGGAAAATAACTTCAATTTTGGATAAAAATAATCAATTAGTATACGCTGATAATAAAATAGCACAAATTCTAAGTACCCAATTTAGTTCTGTATTTAATAAAAATTCATTAGACAATGCAGATCTAAACTCTATAACAAATCAAAATACATGTCAATCCGTAATCATAAATGAACTTCAAATCTTTGATCTTCTTTCTAAGCTACCTGAAAAAACTAACTCTTCTTATGACTCAATACCATGTATATTCCTTAAAAAATGCGCTAAAAGTCTTTATTATCCTTTATATTATATTTTTTCTTATTCATTAATGACTTCAACACTTCCTGAAATATGGAAGCAAAGTATAATAATACCAATACCAAAAACATTAAAGATACCCAAAATAGAAGAATTTCGCCCAATTTCATTACTATGTTCAATCACAAAAGTAATTGAACAAATTATTGCAAACCATATATCAATTTATGTTGAACAAAATGGTATATTACCAGATTGTCAACATGGATTCAGACCAAACAAATCCGTCACTACCCAACTAATTGAGGTTCAAGATGATATATCATTTGCATTGGATAATAAAAATTTAATAAACATAGTTTATTTCGATCTAGCTAAAGCCTTTGATTCTATACCCCATGAACGTCTTTTAACAAAACTAAAAGTAATAGGAATTGAAAAATCACTCTTAAAATGGATCTCTAATTACTTACACAACAGAAAATCTGTTGTTAAAATAGGAAATGAATATTCTGAACAATTCTCTATTACTAGTGGAGTTCCGCAAGGATCTATCTTAGGCCCGCTCCTTTTTAATATATACTTATCGGACTTACCAACATTCTGTTACACTCCTGAAATAAAAATAAAATTATTTGCCGATGACATCAAAGCCTATCAAATTCTAAAAAAAACCGATTTATCTAACAATTCTTTACAATTATTTATTAATAAATTCATTCAATATTGTAACACCAATGGTCTCAACATATCATTAAATAAATGCTCAGTATTATATATAGGTAAATCAAACCCTAAATTACAATACTCAATAGGAAACCACAAAATATTCCAAATTAGTAATGAAGACAAGAATAGGGATCTCGGAATTTTCTTCACTTCTAAATTCAAGTTTAATAAACATATTCAAACAATATCTCTAAGGGCCAATAGAAACTGCTATGCATTAATTAAATCTCTAAAATCACAAGATCCTAAAATTCTTATAGAAGCATTTAATATATACGTAAGGTCAATTATAGAATTTGGGTCACCGGTTTGGAATTCTTTAACTAAGAAAAACATTAAATTAATAGAAAACATACAAAAACGATATTTAAGATTTGTTTACAAAAGAATCACAAAGGTAAAAATAGAAGATATTCCACCATACAAAACACTTTTACAACATTTCAAAGTAGAATCCCTTGAAAGTCGAAGACTTAAAGCTGATTTAAAGCTATTTCATCAAAATATATTTGGGAAAATTAAAATTAACCATAATAATTCCTATATCATAAAACAAACAAAAACTAGGGGCGAAAAATATAAAATACAACCAACACGTTGTTCAACCATGATTCGGTACAACTCCTTTTTTGTTCGAACTGCTAGAATTTATTCACTAATTCCTATAGAAATTAAAAAAAATACACCCAAAATGTTTTCTAAACTTCTTGAACAGTTGGATATTTCCAATATCTTAAATGACAAATGAGATAATTTTATTTGCTAAGCTGCTTTGATTTTTATTTTAAGGACATTTTTTATTAGCATTTTTATTTTTCGTAATTTCACTTTAAATTGTTTTATTTTTGACTGTCACACCCTAGTGGTGTAAATAAATAAAAAAAAAAAATAAATAAATATTTTTGTTACAATTTTATAAAATTTTATTTTTTTAAGAAGAAATGCCAACAGCTATTTCTTCGGAACATCAATCTGACAATGAAAAGAAGTCATTAAAGTCAAAGACAAAAACAAAGACTGGAGTATTCACCGGTTCTGTAGATACTTCAACACCAACAGCATTAGCGCCGATGATTGGAGAAATTGGTGGAGAGAAGAAAGTTTCGGCTGTTTTAACAGCGTTTGCGGAAAAGGAAAAAAGTGAGGAAAAATAATTTATTTTGAAGAATTTTTAAATTTTTCAGAAGAGGCAGAAAAGAAGTTTCCAATGGAGGAAGATATTGATGACCATCCTGACTATGATACGTTACAATTTGCTGACAAAAAGGACGTATTCAAGACAGGATTCACGTCAAAAGGAGTGCGAATTGAAAAGGAGGCGCCACAGAAAAAACGTAAAAAAGATTTTTAAAAATTTTTTTGAAATTTTTTATTTTTAAAGTCAGGCCTGGTGATTCCGCCTATATGGATGATGGAGTTGTCTGATGGCCCATAAATGCTGGGTGAAGAAAGGAATATGTTGGATGATATATAATATATTTGTTTATCTAATAGTTATTGTGAATATTCGTGGGTATATTGTATTTGGAATAATTGTTAAAAATATTTTATCCCCATAAAAACAATTAAAATGGAGGTACAATTTCCCCTTGTTCTCTACGTTCAAAATATCTCAATCTAGCTACTGCCACCGCATTTTCATCATTACGACGTCGTAAAATTTGTCTTATTTTTTCCATTCGGCGTATTTCTTCGTTCATTTCATCATCAATTGAAGGAATAAAGGAAGGTAATGATCTCTCATTCTTTTCACTTTTAGAATCGTCAGATATTCTTTTAAATTTTTTAGGACTATTACTTCGCCCTCTTCTTCCTCTTTCATATTTATCTTCATTTTCTCGGTAATTTTCTTTAATTTTTCCTTCTTTCCCCGTCTCTTCAATAATTTCTTCTTTAATAATTTCTTCATTTTCTTTTTTATTTTTAATTAATATTTTTTCTTCATTTTCTTCCTCTTTTATATTATTTTCCTCTTTTTGTGAAGTATCTGGAAATACTCTTGCCCTATCTTCAAGTATTTTTCTATGAAATGCTTGTTGCCACAATTTTTGATTTTTTACATCTCTAATTTCTAAACAAAAAAATAAAAAGAATAATTTTAAATTTATTTATTTTTTACCATCCATTTTGTCCAATTCCTCCAATTCTTTTCTAAAACTTTCCCTTTCTTCAATTTGTTTTCTATATTCTCCTGTTATAAAAACTTCTTTATCATCAAATTCACCAGCCTCCTTTTCACGTTCCTTTTTATAAGTCCGTTCATCATGTAAAAGTTTTTCAAGTTCTCTTCGTTTGTGTGTTTCAATTAATTTATGGGCATATTTTGGCTAAACAAATAATTTTTTAAAATTTAAATATTCTTTTACCTTTTTCTCTTTGTCCGCTTCTTTTTGTTCAATTATTTTTTGATCACGGACCTTCTGCATTTCCTCGTATTGGCTGTCATAATCAAAGATTGTTGGGTCTTCTGCTATTGCCTTTTCCAATATTTTTTTGTCTTTTCTAAAAATTTTTATGTTTATCAAACAACAACCCCCACCCTGTCATAACCTACAATTTTGTCGGTACTGCATATTTTCTTTGAAATTTTTCATCATTTGTTTCCTTTTCATCGTTATCATCATCAGAATTTGTATCAAAAACTGATGAAGGTTTTAATGTTTGTTTGTCCTCTTCTGGTTTCTTTTGTATTGTTAAACCAAATTTGTTGCCTTTCATTTTAATTAAACACTTTTAATTTTAAATTAATGAACAAAAAACATTATTTTAAAAGATATTAACGAATTAACGTCAATAATTTAAAATTATTTCCTTTTTAATTTTTATCAAGTAAAAATATACAAACAAACAAAAAGACCCGTATTTCGGCAGTGTAATTTAATTCCAAAAAAAGCTTTCCATCATCTTTCAAAAACTACTTTCATTTGACTTCTTTTATAACCTTTTCTTTTTGTTTCTGCTGCACATTCACTTATCATTCGACTTGTTATCTAATTGTAAATATTTTTATAAAAATTTTTATTAAAAATCTTTCCCTACTCTTGTTCTCATTTTTAATTCTTGTTTTCGTAATATTCTTTGACGTATTTCTTCTTCCATTGGAAGTCCTTGTTCACGAACAAAGGCAGATGCTAATTCATGAATTGGTGCTTCTAAAGCTTTTTGTTCCTCTAAACGTTGTTTTTCTAATTGTTGTTTTTCCTTAAAATTAAAAATTAATAAATATAAAAATAATTTAAGTACTCTATAAATTTCCGCAATATGTCGAAGAAGTGCTTTTGCTCCTTTTTGACGTTCCTTCCAAATCTTTTCCAATTTATGAGTGAGTCGATGTTTTAATTTTTTCCGCAGTAATTGTTCAAAATCTCGTTTCTCTCTCTGAAAGTCGAATTAAGAAGTACTTTAAATTCAAATTAAATTAATACCATTCGTTGTCTTCTCTCAGCCCTAAGTAAGGCACGCATAACACGTTCACGTTCGTCTCTATCTCGTTTTTCTTTCTCTTCTCTAATCATTTCCTCTAGCCTTTTGCTTTCATCCATTTTCTTTTGTTCTTGCTTATCTCGCTCATATTCAAGGCACATTCGACGTAACTTTCGTTGTGTAATCTTTCTAATACTCAAATGAGATGTCCGATCAAAATCGACCTTTAAATAATTTTATTAAGAAAAATAATTTAAAATTAAACGCTACCCTAATTTTAGCTTCTCGAATTTCTCCATTAGGATTTTTCTGAACCAAATTTTTACCTCCAAGAAAAGCCATAGCTTGTGCAAAACTAACGTATTCTCGAAATTGAATATAGACTTCAAAGAATGGATCCTATCAAAAATAGAAATTAGTATATATTTTAAAAAGTTTTTTAGAGTTCTAAATTTTTTGGCTTAAATTTAAACTTAAACCAAAAATTTTCTACTCATCTGTATTTTGTCAATTCACTTGTCCAAGTAGCCAAGAAGAAAGTTGAATCCCTGAAATTTCCTGGTCCATCTCCTTTCGTATTGGATCGCATTGAGGAATGTCCACACAAATAACTTCTCCATATTCAGCAAAAATATGTTTGAAAGTGTTTTCAGTAGAGCCTTCAATTGGGTCCTAAAAGAGATAAGAAGTGATTAAAATTTTAATTTATCTTAAAAGAATAAAGGCAATTCTAAAATAACCTTGAACCAGTCGAATGGCAATCCACTTATGTAAACTGTATCTGGCCGTTCTCCTGGTTCTTTTTCGTCCAAATTTTTGTTTGACGCAAAAAACGCATCCCAATCAATGCGTGTTGGAAAATCGGGTTTGGCACATTCTGCTTTAACTGATAGTGGCTCTGTGAAGCCAATAGCTCGGAAGGTAATGCCATTCAAAAGACTAATTGCCTGCAAAAAATTTTGAACTTTTAATATTTTTAATAACGCATCAAAGAAATTTTTTAATACTAACAGTTTTTGCGTTGATGCCAGTATTAACAGTAGCAACAAAGACCACTTCTTCCAGAGTACTTTCTTGCACTTTGAAATCGGATAACTAAATTGATAGTATAAACAAAACTGACTTTTTACACAATTTATTATAAAATCTACCTCAACTTTTCCAAGCATTTTCTTTAATCGTTCTCTAATTTCCCAATTAGAAATTGATTGTCCCAACTGTCGTAGCTTAGGAAGATCCACCTGTATTCTAACTTTATGAATTGGACGAAGATATAAATCCCTGTATGTGTAAAAAGGAAGTAGCTCATCAGAGTCACAAACAAATTCATCATCAACTTCTTCTGTTGGGCCTTTCTTTTCTGTACCGCTAACATCATTTCCTAGAGGCATTCGACGTTATTATATTATATTTCTAAATTTGTATTAAAATAAAAAAAACTTAAATGTGAAAAATTGTAAAATATTAGCAATAAGATTGTAATTAATTAATTTCAAAATAAATAAATTCTAATATTTATTAGGACTAGTCAAATAGACTTGATATGGATAAAAATATAAACAACCATTGGAATAATTCAAAAATTAAATAAGGAAGATTACTGGCAGAAATAATTGGAATGATGTTCAATGTGAGAGAATCAGTTTAATAATATTTTTAAGAGATAAAAATGAAGTATGTACTAATATATAAATGTCAATATTCTGTGTCAAAAGAAAATAAAACTAATCTTATAAATTCAAAAATAAAGATTTCTACAAGTTTCAAAATAAAAGGGGCAAGAATAAATATAATATGTAAATGCCTAAAAACCGAGGTTTATTTAGACTAGTGATGGCAAGTATAATTAAAGAAAAGATTTGAACAAAAATAGTCTCATTGATTTCGCGCAATGCCCGGCGGTTTTTGTAATTGAAAATCAAAAGTCAAAATAGGTTTACGTTTGTTTGTTGTAAGAATATCTGAAAAACATGCACATCAAAATTGTAAAAAATATTATAAAGTTAACCATCGAGTATAGAAGGCCAAGGCAAATTAATGTAAGTCAGGAAAGCTTGTAACTGCTCAGGCTGTTCATTCTTTTCTTTTAACATTTGCAGTGTATTCCCAATCTGTCGCATAGACCAACTATTTCTGTTGACCAAAGACGCCATATTCCCAGCCAAACTTCGAGTATCTTTAAAAAGTAAAATTAAATATTAACCAAACAATCCCATTTTACCATTCGCTTCTACAATATCCGCCCCTTCATCATCAGTATTATGTTCACCTTCTGGAAACCAACGACTTGAAGCACGTTGACCAACTGCATAAATTGTAGGTGTTGCTGAAGGAGGTGCTTGCCCTCCAGGAGTACGACCACCAAAGACTGAATTTCTTGTGCCACCGCCAGCAATTAGACGAGAGAAAAACCCTCCACCTGTATCTGAGAGTCGACGCTTAAAAATGGACTTACAATTTAAAAAAATTGCCAGCTTTACATCATATCCTCCCAATCCTCTGCCTCCACTAAAATCAAAACCATTTTCACTCATTGGAGTATCAAATCCACATCCAGCAACTTTTGTCACAGCCATTTCAGCAAAACCTTTCCCTCGTGGTCCACGCATTTTTACAAATTCATGGCGTTGCTTTCCTACATTCATCCAGCGTTGTGCCCAATTCCAAGTTCCAGAATTCTAATTTTGTTTTTAAATTTATTTATATAATTTAAATTCAGATACTCTCGAATCATAAAGCTTCTTCAAAATATCATAGCGAATAGAACCAAGAAAAATAACGGCTTCAACATTTCTGTTCCGATCTCTAGCAATAAGTTCAACACAAATACATTCACCTTCCCCAATAATCATATCATTAAAAACCTTTCAAAATTCCAAATAAGAATTCAAAATCAATTAAAAATATTTAATTTACTTCATCAAAACTGTCGATAGCAAAGTAAATTTTTGGATAAGTTATTTCTTCACATTCTCCTTTTGCATCCATTCTGCGGCGACTCGGAGATGGGTAAACACGCTAACATAAATATAAAATTTAGAGAAGAAAAGGAAAATTGGAACCTGAAAGTTTTTCCGATGAATTTGCATATTAGTTGGCGAATTTTTGGTGCAAACAGCACATGTAACAAAATAATCCAACTTAAATTAAGAAATATATTATTTAAATCAAAATAAACAATACCTGCTGCAAAATTAAATTAAGACATAAAGTTTCATGCCAATTTACATCACGATCACCAACGGAAGGTTTATTCCGACTTTGACGGCGAAATACTTGCAAATGACTAATCTTAAAATGCTAAAAAATGTAAATCAAAAAATCTTATGTTAGTCATACATCATTAGTTATTGTGGAAGAGTTGGCAACTTTGGTTAAAGGAACAAACCAAAGCATGTCTAAAAATTGTTAAAGAAAATCAATAAAAAACAAAATAAAAATACCATCATGGTGGGAAGCACAATTTTCATTTGTGCAATGTTCATGATTAAGAATATATTCCTTGAATAGCTTTGCCCATTTGTTTTCATAATGTTCTTTTGTATTTTCTAAATTTTAAAATTTAAAATTAAAAAAACAAATTAATTTTTACCTGTTTGACTTGAAGATGTGAAAGAACGTTTAACTAATTTAGCTGTGTGAGAAAGCAACTTTTCGACACATTCACAATTTGTTGAGCTATTCAAAGAAAGACTTGGACGAGGAATGGGAGCAGCTATATCATGTTCTGTTGACATTACATCACAAATAATAAATGCATAATATCTAAATTTATAAAGATTCTGTTACTTTCTTGCTGTTAAAATTTTTTTTCAGTCCAAAAAATCCGGGATCGGGAGACATGAAATGAAAATCTCATGCTTTCCCTGTTCGGCTGGGGTCAGAACCGAGAAATCCAGGAATTTCCGATCCCGTCCCTTATTCAAAGTTTAGGGTAGGGGACGACTCAGTATCGCCGATTCAGTCACGCTGTAACTTTTTTTGTGATCATCAGATCATATCGGGCCAATTATGAAAAAGATGTCGAATCTCGATCCTTTCGAATGATGTGAGAATTATTCGGTAGGTAGTGAACGACAAATCAACGTTTTCGTTGATTCGCGGCGAATATCAACAATTATTCGCGAACAACTTTTTTTTAAATACATAACGCCAGAACAACGTTAATATCAACGTTTTGCGCCAAACAACTGCGAATCAACGTTTTTGTATCTTTTTTTCTCTGCTCTGCCATTATATTTCTCTTCTTTTTTTCTGTTAATTTTCGTTCGTGTAGTCTCTCCTTTGGAATTTGCAATTTTCCATTTTTATAAATGTTCAGTCCCTTTTCTGTAATTTTTAGGGATTTTTCCACATATATTCTTACTAGATGGATGAATTTGAAAATGAATTAAGAGTCGCATTCGAAAGCGGCGATCTCGAAGAACCTGTGACACCGTCATCGAAACGTCGAAAATCCGATATCGTAAAGGGATTAGATCTAGGAAGTCCGAAGAGTAGGCGATCATGGAATGAAAGTAGAATATTCGGAAGGTATTAGTAAAACATTCAATAAATTTTATTAGTTATTTTAAGCCATTTCGATTGTGTCATAGACGATAAAGAAAATTTAACGAATCTTGTGGTCTGTAAAAAGTGCAATTCGATATTCAATTACGCAGGCACACATAATTTGAGGTATTTTTATTATTTAGCTGAGATTTATTTATTTTTTTAAGAAATCATATTGAATCGAAACATGGAATTCAATTACCAGCTAAAGAAAAACAAAAGATGATGGAGGATGCTCTTGTTGAATTTTGTGTTACAGATGCTCGACCGTTCTCTTTAATTAATGGAAAAGGTTTTATTAGTTTCCTAGATGCTTATTCTGAATTGATGTAAGTTTCCCGAAATGAATATTATTAATTTAATTTATAGAATTGACAGACACTTAAAAAACCAAACTACAACGTCGAGCCTCATCTTACCTAATGAAAAAACCATAAGTCGAAAGGTGTTCGAGGTGCTAAAATCTAAGCAACCAGAACTTAATTCTATTTTTAATGAAATGAGCGAATCTGGGTTTTCTATTTCGCTCGATTTTTCTCAGAAGTTGGGTACTGATTATTGCGTCATGGTGGCACACTACATAACAAAAGACTGGTAATTGTTTAGCATATTTATATAATGAATTTTATTAATTTAATTAAGGATTTTGAGACATTTTGTACTTTCGTGTCTTCCAATTCCAGGAGACATTTCAAAAACCAAAGAAAATATATCTGATTTAGTCAACAAAAATCTTACCTATCTTGGGCTTGACATGTCAAAAATCGTTTTTATCACTGATGAGGGATCCAATGTAAATCACCTTGGAGGAGAAAAACACCACAGATGTATTGCTCACATTCTACTTCTTGTGAACGCATATTTTCCCGTTTTTCTCCTTTAGTATATGATTATAAACGAAATCGTTTTGATCCGCATACTATTTCCACACTTATTTCATTACAATCATTATTTAAAGATGAATAAAATTTTGTTGTTTTATATATTTTTTTCAATTTTAATAAAAAAATTCTACTCGTAAAATTATTTAAAATTCCAAAGGAGAGACTACACAGAAGAAAATTAACAGAAAAAAGGAGAGAAATATAACGGCAGAGCAGAGAAAAAAAGATACAAAAACGTTGATTCGCAGTTGTTTGGCGCAAAACGTTGATATTAACGTTGTTCTGGCGTTATGTATTTTAAAAAAAGTTGTTCGCGAATAATTGTTGATATTATTAAATCAACTTTTTTTTCTTAAGAAAACGTTGATTTGTCGTTCCCTATCGGTAGGGGACATTTCAGTCCCGCCATTTCAGTCCCGCCGTTTCAGTCCCGCCATTTCAGTCCTGCCATTTCAGTCCCGTGCCATTTCAGTCCCAGCCGTTTCAGTCCCGCCGTTTCAGTCCCCCCTATATGGGGACATTTCAGTCCCCATGTGAAAAAATAAATAAAAATTCTTTAGAAATAAGAAAATGGAATAGAAAATAATTATTTTATCACACAAAGAACATCTTAAAAGCTACCGAGTCTTAATTCTAGGCTTTTCTTGGGGTTTTTCTGACTTAGGATGAAGTTTTGGTCTCGACTTTTTTTCTCCAAGCAACAAAATTTTTTAAAAAATGAGTCAAATAAACAAAAATTTATCAAAAAAAATAAATAGAAGTCAATGCCTCGTTTCACTTATTAGATTTGTGGCCCTAAAGAGGGCCGTTTGGGGTAGGTTGTTGAAGGCTGTGCCTGATATGTCTTAGCAAATCCGTCAGCAGAATCACCTCAGTAGCAATCTGCTCGACACACATAAAAAAAATTCCAGGACTGGATTGCCTTGAATTAAAAAATTTAAAAATATGCTCCCCTAAAAATATGCTATAGCTCCCTCTTGAAATGGGAAAATAAAAAAATTTCAAAAAACTAAAAAATAAACCATGTGTCAGTAGTAGAAACATTTCCATTCAGCGTAGAATTCTCGCAGTCCGAAATTTTAAAGAAAATTGAAGAAATTTAAGAATTTTAAAAAATTAAAAAATTTTTGATTTTCTATTAAAAATTTTTTTTTCGTTACTAATTGTTGTTGGTTATTGCTAATTGTTGTGGAAGACCACCTAAAGAACCTAGAAAATATTTAAAACAAAAAAATAAACAATAACAATCATTGGTACAACAATAAAAACCATTGGGGACTGAAATGTCCCCATATAGGGGGGACTGAAACGGCGGGACTGAAATGGCTGGGACTGAAATGGCACGGGACTGAAATGGCAGGACTGAAATGGCGGGACTGAAACGGCGGGACTGAAATGGCGGGACTGAAGTGGGACGTTCCGGAATTATTCGAATCGGTCGAATATCAGGAAAGTTATGGCCATATACTGAATCGGCGATACTCAATCGTCCCTTTCCGCAAAGTTCAAAAGATAAGAAGAAGATCATTAGAGTCTAACTATTATTTTAATACTTCACGTTAAAGTTTTTTCTTTATTGTCAGTCAGCTATTTCGACATGTTTTTCTCTTCAACAATCATTTTACAAAAACAACATTTGTCATAAAAAATGACCTTGAATTTTGCAAGTCCTACGGGATTGTCTTTAATGCTAACATTAAAACTTTTATTTTTTCCTTCTAAAAATCCCAACAGTATTGTCTCACGTTGACACACTTTTTCTTTTTTTAAAAATTTGCAAGTCAAGAAATAAAAGAATCAATATTGTACTCATAGTTTTATTTTTTTGTTACAAAATGAATCAACAAAAATTTATAAATAATTACTTTTCCATTTTTTTCAGATTAAAAAGAAATCTTCAAATTTCTATCAAAAAATGTCTGAAAATACCCCAACTTCCTCTTCTGGTGATTCCCCAATTGATGTTGACGAGTTTATGACTGCAAGTTATTTAATTCCTGCTCGAAAATCTGTGGTAGAATTGTTGGAGGCAGACAAGGAAGATGAAAGCCTTAGAAAGTTTGGAGATATTTTTTTAGATTAAATTTATTTTTTCAGATATAAAGAGACTCTTTTGCCTGCAGAAGATGGGCCGATAGTTGTTGATCCGAGCAATCCAAATAATGTTATTGTCAAAAGAATTTCTTTGGTAGTTGATGGAGAAGTTAAACATAGCATGGATTTACCTGGTTTTCTTTGAAAGAATTTCTTTTTTGTTATAAAATTTTGTTTAGCAAGTACTGATTTTACATTTTCTGTAAAAGAGGGTTGTGCCTATAAAATTCGTTTTGAATTCCACGTTCAAAGAGAAATAGTTTCTGGTCTAAAATATTTACACAAAGTTACCCGACTTGGAATTGCAGGTTTTTTGATCAAAAATTAATTTAATAAAAATTTAATTTTTAAAGTAACAAAAGAATGTTATATGCTTGGATCTTTTGCTCCGAGACATGAAATTTATTGGTAAAATTTTGTGTATCTTTTGTAAACCTAATGTTAAATTTTTAGTTGTGATACTCCATTAGAAGAAGCACCTTCAGGTCAGTTTTTAAGTTTACAAGTGTGTTTGGGGTGGAGATATAAATTTATTTAAAAAAATTTTGCGACGCCTTTTGACAACTAATTCTCCAGGGGAACGAAAAAAATTTAGAGATATTTTTTTAAATATTTTTGAAAATTAATTTTATTTTTAATATTTTTTTCAGGTATAATAAGTAGAGGTAAATATAGAGTTCGTTCATTAATTTCTGATGATGACAAAAATCGTTGGCTTGAATGGTCGTGGAATATTGATATTGACAAAAATTGGTGAAAATTAAAAGAATTAAATTAAATTGACACTTCCGGTAATTTTTTAAGGGAAAATATTTGTAAAATTAAAAATACTTAAATTGCTTTTATTTTTATTATATTTTAAATAAATTCCTTAAAAATTTTATTTGATCATGGTAAAGTTTAGAGAAAGATATTTTTTAATTTTCTTTAAACTTTTTTCTTTTTTTTTTAAATAAACCTTCACTTTTTATTTTAATTTCCTTTTTTATTATATTTAAATCACTTTATGTTTGATATTCTAATTTGATGGATTTAATAAATAATTATTCTTAAATTGTTAAACAATTTTAGATTATTTTTCTTTGAATTTTCAAAATAAATTGTTAAAAAATTTTACAAAAAAATATTTAACATTAAATTTAATAAATTACTAAAATATAAATTATAGAGAAAAAATAAGAAGAAAACTTGAAAAAGCTCAATTAATTTATAGACATTTGAATAATTCCTAACACCTACTTTTAATTAAATAAATTAAAATAAATAAAAGTAATTAAAAATAAAAAATAATTAAAATAATTTTTAGTCGAATAATTAATTCCAAAATATTCCTCCTCGTGATTATTTTTGTCATTTCTTTTATTTCTTTCAATTATTTCCAAATTAAAAGAAAGTGGATCACTTTCACCTGCTTGATTTCCGGCAACAAAAATAAATTCATATTCTGTAAAAGGCTCTAAACCAGCAATTTCATATAAATTATTTAAATCTTTTTTTTTTAAATTTAAATTAATTATTAGAATTTATTTTAAATTTTTACTTTTTCTCCTTCTAACTCGATATGTTTGGATTGAAATTGTTGTATTTGATAATAAATTAGACAAAGTGGTAGTTTCTTCTATTTTGTTATTTATTTTTAATGAATTATTCTAAAAAATGTAGTTAAAATTATTTTAAGAAGTTTTAGAAGAAAATAAAGGAAAAATAGTTGGTGTTTATCCAAACTTGGGCTAGGAGACTGGTTAAGTAATTACCTAATCACAATATCGTTTATCTCGCTTACTTACGTCGCCTTTAGAAACTAAATATTATTCAATACCAACATCTCTTACTTTTCTAAAAAATGTTTCTAAAAAATGTCTCTAATACAATTTTTTGTTTAATTATTAGAAATTACTTTAAAATTTTAATTTTAAATAAATTTTTTACTTTAAAATAATTAATTTGTTGTTGTTGTTGTAATCTTTTACTAATTTGTTTATAAACAATCCAAAAATAAGCAACATTTAATTGGTTTTTATTTTGTTTTTGTTCTTCTATTCTCCAACTAACAGAACCATTACTACTTACCCAATCAACAAAAACTTTTGGTTGTGAAGGAGGCTCTAAATAATTTTTGTTTTTTGTTCCTTTTAATTAAAAACAAACGTGTAATAACGAGTGTTTGTGTTTGTTGGGATTCTAATATTCCATTATGTGCTGTTAATGTATAACGACCATAATCTTCATCCTGTACATTTTCTATCTTTAAAATAATAATTTTTTTCTATTCAACTTAAATTCCAAACCAAAATAGCAAAAAAAGGTTTTGTTGTTTCATTTAAATTTTGGATTATTTTAATTTTTTCTTTTTCAATTAAAATTTCTCCATCTTTATTTAAAGTCCAAATTTTAACTGGAGGGTTAGATTCTGTAATAGTCCAACGAAGTAATTGTTTAGAGCCGGGAATTGCATAATGACGGTGATTGGAAGAAGAAAAATGATCGTCAAATTTTGGGGGAACTTTTGGAGGGGAATATTTAATTATTTAAATTTAATTCCAAACTTACTCCAAACATCAATAATTAAATCTAATTCATCTGTATGTACAGAATCAACAGAATTTATATCCAAATCTTCACTCAATCCCAAATTTTTTAAATTTATTGGGCGAACAGCAACACAACGAATCTATTTAAATTAATTATTTTTTACAAATTATTTTGAATTATTTAAAAAAATTAAAAACAAATCTAAATTTAATTAATTCTTTAGTTATTTTTATTAAATTGAGGATTTTTTTAATTATTTTTAATAAAGTAAAGCGGCCGAACCAATCCCAAAAAATAGAAAAAATTGAATGGGACTTGATCCTGAAAACTCTACAGGACAAATGTGTTAACCGATTCATTATTGCTCTACAGACGGGAAGGAAGTATCCCCGCTCTTATAAATAATAATTATCCACTACTTATTCAAAATAATTTTAATTATTTAAATATTTACTTTTAATCCTTTATGTTCTTTTCCAATTTTAGTTAAAGTAATTTCAGCCCCAGTAACCACAACTTCATCCAAAACTTCTTCAATAGCCCTTCCTTTCGAATCGAGTATTTGAATTGCCTCATCTGGAATATTTTCTGCCCCACAATTTATTGTTAATGGTTGCCCTATTTGTGCACCTATTTTATTTGTTTTTGTTTTCCATTCCAAATTTTCTTTAAAAAGGGAATATTTTATTTAAATTTAAATTTAAAAATTAATTTACTTAAAATAAATAAATTAATTGTTTTTTGTAAATCATCAAAAAATAAGCATTTATATTCTCCAGAATTTTGTTCAGTTATTTTTGGTATATAAAGTGATTGACGAAGCCAGCGACGTTTTTCATCAATTTTTGGTTGTGTGTATATACTTTTGAAATTTTAAAAATAAATAAAAATATTTTTATGTAGAAGGAATTAAAATTAATATTGAATAAAAGTTAATTTAAATAAAAAGGGGAGGGGGGGGGGCAGGGCTGTTGCGTATAGCGTAAAATTGCGTCATTAACGGATTGCGTTTGCGGATTTTAAAATTAAAAATTTTTTTTCAATTGCGGACAGCCCTGGGGGGGGGGGGGGGGAGACATATAAACATTACTAAATTAATTTAAAAACTCCAAAAATACCTCAACCAATTATTTCCAATTTTCATTTTCCCCCTCACCCACTCCAAAGCATTAATATCCTCTATATCATCAAAATCTCCATATTCAACTTCACAATCTAACTGTAAAGGAGAATTTAAACTTAAAATATATATTGAATTATTCTTTCCAATTCCTGGTGGACGAATAGAGATTTCACCTTTAAATTAAAATTTTTTGAATTAAAAAAATAGTTATAATTTACCATTAATTAATTTAACTAAAATAATTAAATAAATGATGAAGAACATTTTTTAAAAAAATTTTTGTTAAAATTATTTAATTATTGCAAAACTAAAAAAGGAAAAAAAAGAAAAATTTTTAATTAAAAATATATCGTCGATTCTTCGTTTAATAAATTTTTATATATTTAATTTAAAAATTGTCATAATAAATGTTTTTGTTGGAATTATAATGGGGGTTAAATGAAAAGCTTTTTACATATCTCAACAAAGATATGTTGTAGAAAATTAATTTAATTTTAGCTTGATAGAATAAAAGTAGCTTTTTCTTTTAATAGATAAATAAAAAATTTAATAATTCTATAAATTTTTCTTCAAATTTGTAAATTTGGCTGGCAGAAAAAAGTTATAGAGAATTTTTTAGATATTAAATATATTTATTATATTATTTGAAAAATTCACAAAATTTTGACAAATGTCTAATAAATAATAAATTAAAACTAAAAAAAGAGCGGACTCGAAATATATTCTCAACTTTCAGATTCTTTGAAGTCATCGAGGGGTAGAAATAAAAAATTATGTAAAATCGAGTAGATTTTTGATTTTAGAGGAAAATTTTATAGGAAAATCTGTTTTTTAATATTTTTATTTCTTCGTTCTTTACTCGAAGTTACTTCTTATTTTCCTTTCCTTTAAATTAAATTCTTTTTAACATTTTTTGTACTAAACTCGTAAATAAATCTTTAAAAAAACAACAAAAAATCTTTAAATAACCAAGAAGGGATATAAAATAAAAAATAAAAATCCTCTCTTTTTTTCGAATTTCTCTCATCTGCCAATCCTCATCATCAGTTAGAAAAGAATGAAGAAAAAAGACCAAAAAGTGTTTGGAGGGGGGGGGGGAGGGGGGAGGCAGGGGGTAAAGCTTTAAGAGTGGCCTCTTAGAAAGAAAAAAATATAAGAGAATATCCACACTTAACTTGGCCTTTTTTGAGTGAAAATTATTTTTATAAAATTAACTAAATTGGCCTAAGGATTTTTATGTTTTTATTTAAATAAATGGGGAAATTTAAGAAGTTTTTAATAAAAATAAATTAAATTAAAAAGAAAAAAAGTTTAAAATAAAAAGGTTTCTACAAATGTTGAATGAAAAAATAAATGAGAGTGACAGAAATAAAATGATTAATTAATTATAAAAAGGATTTTAGAATTATAAATTAGCTTTAAAAATTAGTTTAAAATCAGAATAATTAAATTAAAGATTTAAAATAAAATGAATGTGAAAAAATATGTAGTTGGATTTTTTACTTTAATCTAAGCATTAAAAATTAAAAATAATTTATCTTGAAAATTTATACCAAATTATTTAATTTTATAAATAATTTAAATTATATAGCATGTCTATAAAATAAATAGACTGAAAAGAATTATTCCTTAAAATTTTTTATTGAAAGGTTATAAATAAAAATAATTTTAAAAATATTCTCACAAAATAAATAATTTGCACAAAAATTTAAAATTTCATTTTTAAAATTCTTCCTCATTTCCCTAAGCGGTAGTGGCCAATTGGTTTGTAACAACAAAAATGAGGAGAAGAAAGGGGTGGAAATTGGAAGGGAATCAGAAGAAAAGGGGGAAGGGAAGGGGAAGGAGAGAAGCTTTTCCCAATTTTTAAAAGGAAAGGAAGGTTATTTTTGTGTTGTTATTGTCCAATCGGTCTTTCTAAATTTTTATTTGTTGGATAAAATTGGCCAAAGTTCCCACAGGGGATGAGGGAGTGTAAAATGGAGGAAATCTAATCGAAAATAAATTTAAGAAAATTAGAAAAGGAAAGGGAAGAAGTATATTTGGGTGGTTTGGATGGAAAGGGGGAGGAGGGGGGGGGGGAGGGAAGGGGGATCCTCTTAAATTTAAAGCTTTTTATTAAAGATTTTATTTTACTACTTTTCTTTTTTTATTCTTCAATTTCCTAATTATTTTAGTTAAAGAATAAAAGAATTTTTTGTATAAAAATTTGTTAAAATTAACAAGAAATAAATTTATTAAAAAATAGTAGACTTAACACTAAATAGTAGTTTTCGTCTTTATAAATTGAAAAATACATTTAGAAATTCACTAACATTTTTGTATAAAATAAAGAGAAAAAAGCTAAACTAACAATTAGCAATTAAATGAGTGACAGAAATTTGTAAATAAAAATAAGGGGGGGGGGGGGTTGTGTTGTTTTTGAGAACAATTAAGAAAAGGGGGGGGGAGGGTAAATTATTTATTTTTTATATAAAATTAGTACTCTTAATTAGGGAAAATAAATAAATTAATTTTTAGACTGTTAATTAGTATGAGAGAAAGAGGAGTTGATTTTGGGTTATAAATAGTTTTAAAAAAAGATGACAAAAAAGTGAAGGAAATTGGAAAAATTGAAAAAATTTTATTAAATTAATTTTTAATTTTAAACATAAAATTAAAGTAAATGTTGTTCTCATTTAATAAATAAAATTACTTAAAATATAGGAGGTATACATATATTCAAAAATGAAAAATAAATATAAATCAAAGGAATAATTTGAAATATAACCTCGGCAATAATAATATACATTTTAATAGCCATTACCCCCCTTTTATAACATTGAGAGAAAAAATAAAAAAAGCAGATGCTCAACTCTCGATAAAAATGATTTTTTTACATTTTAAGTTTCCGCCTATTTATTTGCAAATGAACGAACCTTTTATGAGTAAATATTGCTTGAATATGAATGACAAGGAAGGATATATGTATTTATATGGGTAAAATAAATAAATATTTAATTTAAATAAAATTAATTAAAGTGGATATTTAAATTATAATAAAAGAAGTGTTTTTGTTATATTAAAAGAATTGTTAAAATTGTTTCAAAATATTTTATTATAAAAGCCAAAATGTTTTACTTTCCAATTTTAAACCAACTTCAAAGTTTAAACTCCTCTACCTACCTGCCTACAACTTTGTTCATAAATGTCAGGTTGCAGTTCCTCGGTATTTTTTGTTTTTCTTCTTTAATTTCAAAATATTTTGTAGACAAACGTCACTTGTGACGGCGAACCAAATGATGTTGTAGAATGGCCAAAGTTTCTTCTAGTCAATGCAGATCCTCGTGGATTGTTTGGGAACAACCCTAGGTTTATGGGAACAGATGAGCATATTTTGGGTATTACTTTGGAAACAAACGAAGAAGGAATGTTGACTGGAAGTTCGAATCGTGGGGATATTTCTGTGCAATTTGAATTGAAATATGTTGATTTGGTCTTCAAATATGTTGAAGGAAAACATTCTAAAGGGGAAAATGTCAATCCAGAAGTGAATATTTAAATAAAAATTTAAAATTTTATTTTTAAAAATTAAATTTTAGGACTATTTCGATACTTCTGTTGTTGTTGTCCCTCAAGTCCGAGTTTCTGGTGCTAGCTGGAAGGCTATTGTCCAAGCTCGTTTCTATGTTTCCGAAAATTTTGATGAATTGAAGCTTGCATTTTCGGAAATTCTTTGTTTGAGTAATGATTGTTCTTCTAATCTTTTGACTTTAAATTTTGGACCAAATGTTATTACTATGAAAATGGAAATGAGATATATTTATGAGGTGACTTCCAAAAAAATATTTTAAATTTAATTTCTTTTAACAGAGCTATAATGAATTGCCAACATTCTATAAGGGAGATATGAGTGTTTACTTTTCTCCGTTCAGTTCTCCAGCATTAATGGATAGAGCTCTAATGGCTTTGTATACTCCAAAATTGGGTAAATAAAAATTAAAATTTAAATTATTCTCTTTTTAAAGTAATGTCTGGTGAAGTTATGCCTCCCTGTACTTCTTTCTTTCCTGATTATAATATGGAACGTGAAGAATTTATTCAACTCTTATATAGAATCTATCGTTCAAAATGCCCCTTAAATGTTGAGAATTTTAGGGCATTGTGTTCTGCTGCAAGTAAATTAGGGAATGAATTGTTGCTTTGGCCGTTATATAAAAATATTGTTAATGATACTTTGGTAAATTTTTTGAGAAAAATTCTTTAACTCTTCTCATATTTTCAGTTAGATTTCCCTCAAAGAGTTAATAAAGCACTTCAATTAGGCCTAGATTATGCAGCTAAACAAATGTGTTATAACGCTGTTAAAAGTGGGGAATGGCAAAATCTTCAAGAGAAAGGGTTTAATGCAAGAGATTATTTTGGAGATATTCCTTACTATAAAACAGTTATTCCAACAATTATTGAAGTAATTTAAATTTTGAAAAAAAAAATAATTATTTTTAAAGGCTATTAGAGACCAATTAAGTTATGACCCAAAAGTTTATGGCTGTTTGTATGAACAAAAATATCCTCACAAATTACCTACTTTTGACACTCCAACAGATGCAAACGATCCAAATAATGTTGGGATGTTAATTGAGGGAAAGATAATTTTTGTGAATATTGGGATTTTGAGAACTTTTAGCCGTTTGGAGTGTTTTTATTATGAAAATGGTAATTCTCAAATTAATTCTCAAAAATTCTCAATTTTTTCCCCAAAAGGTGTTTATCATCCAAAAATTTCGAATGATTTGAAAGAAGAAATGAACAATCAAAATCTTCGTTTAATTCAAATAGTCCTTCCATTATTCCAACTTCTTTACGGCGTCAATAATTATGTCCAATCTAATTTAGTTAGGGCTTGTCTTATTTTTGCTAATGATCATCAAATGAATGAAATTGTTGGAGAAATGGAGGAAGTAATTTTTAAGAGGAGAATTTTCTTTTTTAATTAAAATTATTTTTTTAGTTATTAATTAATGAATTAATTGACAGTCCAGAAAAGTTATTAAATCATTTGAAATTAGCTGAAAAGTATGGATTGAAGAATTTGGAACGGAAAAGTCTTTGGCAATTAGAATGTAAAGAATATCATAAATTTGGTCTGGCAATGATTAATTTGCCTGAATATCAAAAATTGAGAATTAGAAATTTTGTGGAGGAACGTTTGTGTTGTGGTTGGGCTGTTGAGGATGAGGGGTTGGCTAAAAAGTGAGTAAACTTGAAATAATTGAAATAAAATCTCGATTTAGAGTTTTTTGAATGGTGGACATTCGAGAATTTTTCGGTTACGATTTGAATCATTTGAAGGAATTATATGTATTTGTTATTAACGAGGCCCTTAATAATAATAAGTAGGGTTGCCGTTTTTGAGTCGGGCCGACGGTAGAGGCATTTTTTTCGGGCTCGTTTTTATCGAGTCGGGCCATAAGCGTCACTACCCTAATAATAAGACACATTTTTGATTGTCCACCTTTCTAAAAAATGTAATACAAAAAAATATTTTTTTTTAATTTTAGAGAGCCAACACTTGTGAGTTCTTTTCTGCTAAACATTGATCAAAATAGTAAAGTGGTTGTGAAATCTATGGCTAATTCTGACATCATATCAGTTAAAGATAGTTGCATTTCTGACGAGCCAACATTCAAGTCTGTCTCTCAAATATCGAGTACGGGAACTGCTATGTCAAATATGGCGGTAACTGCAAAGTCTGCGATGGCACTATAAAAGAAATGGATAATAAATAAATATAAGAATAATGTATGTATTGTTAATATGTAGGGTATAAATAATAATATTGTAATAATTAATGTATGTATATATTGTAGTTGTTTTTAATTGTTATAATTATTTTAAAATAATGTATTTTTTGTATAATAAAGGTTTCGTTTCTAATTTTTTAATTTTCTAAATTTCGTTTCTAAAATTTTCGCCTTTCTTTTTTTCGCTTTTACAATCATTTCGGTACACCCTTGACATAATTTCAAAAATAAAAAGAAAAGATCAAAATTTAATTTTTGCAATACTTATATGTACCTATTACCTAACTTTTAAAGTAATCTTCTTATAATCCTCATAAATATACTAGCTAATACGACACATTTCGGCGCAGGTTATGGACATTATTGTCCATAGATTTTAATCAGAAAGCAGTTCAAATTTCTTAATTTATTTTATAAATTAATTTTTAACAAAAAAATGATATCAAAATGTTTATAAATTATCATTTTTTGGCTTTTTAATTGGAATATTGCCTTCCTTCTAATGACTTCAACATATAGAAAATAACTTTAATCTTTAAATTTTGTAAGACTACAATTGGTTAGCATTTTAGAATGATAAGGAGAGTAAAACGTCCCTAAAACCCCATCCCAGAAAGATTGGGGTTTATAAAGAATAAATTTAAAACTTTTTTAGGGAATGTTTATCCGTTCACTTTCAAAAGAATTTGTTGATGCTTTAAAGCTTCCATTTATTATTCATTATTCACCATTTTCCCATTGTAATAATTCTCTTTTATCAATTAATTCATCTCTAAAATATATTCGATATTCAAGTAATTCTTCATCATCAAATGAAAATGTAAGAGAATATTTTTATTTTAATTAAAAAAAATATTTATTTTTTAGTATTTAGGCCCTGATTATTTTGAAGGACTTTATTTTGATGGAGAAATCCCTAAAAGTATATTTATTTATTTGTTTAATTTATTTCCTTTTAAAGACAAAATTTTAAAGAAATGGACAAGATCTAGCGGTCCTGGAGGGGCTAATGTAAATGCAAGTAATCTTTTCTTTGTTTGTCCAAAAAGAATAATTTCTCTCTATTTTTAGATTCAACAAAAGCTGAAATTAGATTTTCCCTTTCGGAAGCCGATTGGATACCCAAAAAAGTCCGAGAACGTTTACAACAAAAATATTCGGGAAATATAAATAATAATAAAGAATTCTTTCTTACTTCAATGCGGACAAGATCTTCGGTTATTTTTAAATACTTAAAATAATTTATTTTTAGGTAAACAATATGGATGATTGTTTTGAAAAATTACAAGAAATTTTGAGAGAAGTTAGTTTAGAATTAGTAACCGAAAAACGTCGAGAATTTGTTTCTGAAGAATATTTGGAGGAAGTTGAAGAAAGGTTTTTTGTTTTTAATTTTATAAAAATTAAAAAATAAATTTTAAAGAAAAGAACTTGCAAGACAGGCTAGATTGGAGGCTAAAGAACGTATTTCTAGTAAAAAGAAAAGTCGGAAAGGGGGAACCTATTTTTAAAATTTTTTTGTTAAAAAATAAATATTTAATTTTTAAAAATTTTTAAAAGAATTTATTTGGGTTTTTAAACCAAAATTTATATTTTTTAATTAATTTTAATTTAATTTTTATTTATAAATTAAAAGATGATTTCCAACGACAATCTAATAAACAGGGAAGAACAACAACCAATTACAATTACAAGTGTGCATTATGTAGAAGATATGGATGGAGATGTTGAGAAAAATAGAAAGGTTAGTAGATTTATTGTTTAAATTTTGGGTCTTACTTTTACTGGTCCCTAGAAAAAAATGTCGAAGAACTGCTTTTTTGATATTTTTAAGGTTTCCAAGTCGAATATGTGGTAAGAATTCGAAATTTTAAAATTTTTTGTTTAACCGGAACCAGTAAAAGTAAGGGTTACCAAATTTTGTTTATTGGAAAAATGTGTTTTTAGTAAATCTAATAATCCTTTTGTTATCAGAACGATTAAAGCAATTTAATTTCAGAATCAATCCAAAAAACTCAAAACTTGTGGACAACAACAATCTGATAAATTAAATAATGAGGCAATAAACACAAATAACAATTGTGGTGTCAAACGTAGTCCTTTTGGAATATTGTCTAGAGCAAATCGATTATTAATTATGTTGGGAATGACTTTCTTTTATTTTTTAATCGAGCTTGTTTTTGGTTATGTATCTCATTCAATGGCATTAATTGCTGATTCTTTTCATATGATGAGTGATGTTATGGCATTAACTATTGCTTTTGGATGTTTAAAGGTTTTTTCTAAAAGATTTTTTTTGAAAATTAATTTTGTTTAAAAAGATTGCCGAACGTAGTAGAAGTGCCAAAAATACATTTGGTTGGGTTAGGGCTGAAGTTCTTGGTGCTTTGGTGAATGGAGTATTTTTGTTAGCTCTTTGTTTTACTATTTTTATTGAGGTTTTTTTAATTTTGATGAATATTTTTAAAATTTATATTTTTAGTCGATTCAACGCCTTCTAGAGCCCGAACCAATTAAAAATCCATTATATGTGTTGATTGTTGGGGTTATTGGTTTTTTAATAAATTTAATTGGGATGGTTATGTTTCATGGACATATTGGTTGGTTTCTTTTAAATTTTAAATTTATAAAAATAATTTTAAGGGCATTCTCACGGTTCTCATGGAGTTGAAGACATCGCCAAATCAACGCTTTTAGACAAAGATTGTGGCACTATTGATGGGACAGAGTCTAAACATTTATTACACTCCCATCAAGATAGAGCTATGGTAATGGCTGAATTGGAAGCGGTTGAAGAATCTTTAATGATGCATACTCCAAAATTAAAAAATAATTCGAGTAATAAATTTTTTGAAAAATTTTAATATTTTTTTTGTTTAGACAAAAAAGGAGGAGGGGACTTTTTAAATATGAGAGCAGTTTTTCTTCATGTTTTAAGTGGTAATTAATATTTAATTTATTTCTCAGAGATTTCTATTTAAATTTAGATGCTGTTGGTTCTGTTATTGTTATTGCAACAGCACTCGTTTCTTGGTTAATTGAGGGATATGATTGGCTTAAACTTTATATGGACCCAACTTTAAGGTTTTTTTTATTTAAATATTTATTTTAAATTAAATTTAGTATTTTGCTTGTTTTGTTAATGGTTTGTACAACGGTGCCTTTGGGTTTGTTTTTAAAAGAATATTTTGTTAATTTATTTTTAGTCAGAGAAACTGCACTTATTTTATTACAAACAACTCCAAAATTTGTTAATATTGATCAATTACAAAAAGAACTTTTAAATGTAAATTTTATTTTTTGTATTTTCTGAAGAAATTTTTGTTTCAAAGATTGAGGGTATTGTTGCTGTCCACGAATTTCATGTTTGGCGTTTAGTTGGTGAATGTATTATTGCTACTGTCCATATTCGTTTTCGTACTTTAAAGCATTATATATTGGCTGCTGAACAAATTCGTTCACTTTTTCATGATAATCACATTCATTCGACAACAATACAACCAGAATTTGCTGAAGTAAAATTTAAAGAATTATTTTAAAAAAATAAAATTTAAGATGGATACTTCAGCAAATAATTCAGAAGTTGAATGTGCTTTTGCTTGTTTACCTAATAATTGTAATGTACAAGAGAGTGCTTTAGTTACTTGTTGTAGTAGAGAAAAAGGACTTAAAGAAAAGAGAAGTCCACCAAAAGTAATTTTTAATTTATTAAATATGTAGTTGGGATATCTTTGGGAAAATTTTAAAAATTAGACCAAAAATTTTGTTGGAAATAGATTATTCTAGCAATATATTTTTGGAGGAAATAATTGACAAGGAACCATTTATACCATCGTATAGAGCGGGATCGGTTTCATATTGCCAGTTTTTTTCTTTTTCGGCCCTACCCCCAAATCGGAAAGTTATAGGGCTTCAAAGTTTTCGACTTTTGGAGCGGTTATTTTTCTCTCTTTTCAATTCTTTTCTCTTTCAGAAAGATACAATAATTACAATAAAACAACAACAAGAAACAACAAACCCAAATTTGTCAATTACCCCAACATCTACAGTTGTCAATATTGTTGAATTAGAACAGTCTGGTAGTAATTATCGAACAACAGACAACACATAATTTTTGTATATTTTTGTGCTTTACAATGAGAGGGGGGGGTTTTCTTTTTGGTTTATTTCTTTCACAAAATATATATAGTACATTCGCTTTTTGTGTTAATCAAGCCTTTTCCATTTTTATTCTGGAACGAAATTAATTAAATTTTAATAAAATTTAACTGCCTTATTTTGCTTTAAAAAAGTTTTTAGATTTTTTGATTATTTGAATTTTAAAAATTAATTTTTTAAACGCAAAATTAGGCTTGACTTTTTGATTGTCCCAAAATTTATTTCAATTTTTGGCATTTATATTTAATTTTTTTTGGTTTTCTTGTTAATTTTTAGATGATTTTATAAATTTAATATTACAGAAATAATTAATTTTAATTAATTACAAGAAAAACAAAAAAAAATTTTTTTTGGTTATCGGATTTATTATATAAAATATATTCTTTTTTCAGTTGCAAAAGGCCCTTTCATTTTAATTTTGACCCCAAACTTTCAAGTTTTTTGTTATGTAGTATATTAATTTGTTGGAATATTTTAATAATATTTTTTTAAAATAAAATAATATACTTAAAATTTCAATTTTTTTCTTTTTTAAACTTATGTTAGAGTTAGGAACGAGATTGGAGGGGAGGGGGGGGGTGTTTCCCATTCCCCAACTTTTTTGGATGTGCTTGGATCAAACCAAAATAGAGAATCCCGATTTTCTGCCTTTAATTTTCATTTTCCGTCCCAGTATTTTTTTCTAAATTAAAATTAATTGCGGAGAAATTAACAAAAATTAACTCTTTTTAATGTCAGCTTTATATTTTTCTTCAAAACAAATCTCAAACTTTTTCAGCAAAATAGAAATCTTACAAAAATAAAATTTACAAAATTAATTTTTAAAAATTATATTCTTGAATATTTCCCTATAAATGCATTACAATTTGGACACCTAAAAAATATATTTAATTTTTATAAATTATTTAAATTAATATATTTACCAATGTTCAGTATCCTGAAATAAATAAATAAAAATTAAAAAGAATTAAAGTTTTTTCAATTCAATTACCTGGCATGATTGCATACAAAAAGGTAATACACAACAAGGCCAACATCCAAATAATGCTAAAGCCCCACAAATTAACCAAGAAAGGAGTCCTGGACGATTTATCTAAAAAGAATTTTCCAAATTATTTAATTTAAATTCAAAATAACCACTCTAGTTCGGATTGTTTGTTTACAATTAAAACATTCCATATTAGCTTCGTGAGGACCTAAAGGAATTGAATAAATAATTTTTAGTTGAGGAGGTTGTTGTTGTTGTGGTGGTCTTTGTTGTTGTTGTGGTTGTTGAATATTTGGTACTACAAAACTTGGTTGTTGTTGATGGAAGGGGGGAACTGCTAAATAATTTTTTTAATTTGAAAAAATATTTAAAAATATTTTCCATTTTTAATTACGCCGTTTTTATTCTTTTAAACTTTTAACATTTTTTATCAAAATTTTCTAATCTCAATTAATTTATTTAAACAAACCCCCTGGAGGCAATAAATGAAAAGGAGGGGGAGGATTAATATTTTGAGGAATTTGTTGTTGTGTTTGTTGATTAAAAGGAATATTTGTATATTTATTGTTGTTATTTTGATTGTTAGAAGGAGGAAAATTAGAAGAAGTTGGTGATGATGATGATTGTGTTGTTGTAAATATTTGTTGTTCTGGAACTTTAAAAAATAAAATAAAAAAGAAAATTTATATTAAAAAATTACCAGAAGGGCTGCTATATGGAGGGGGAGGTTCTGGAATATTAAATGGGGATGTTGGTTGTTGTTGTTGGTGAATTGACATTTAAATTTTACAAAAATTTAATTTATATTAAGATGGAAAGGTAAAATTGTTCTAAATATATTTAATCTGTTATTTAATTTAAAAATTAAAAAAATATCCAAAATTTAGAAGAAAATTGAGTACTTTTTAAGTTTAACTATAAAGTTTATTTCTATTTAGCTTTAACTTACATAATTAATAATTCCATTAATTATTTAGTAAATGTGTAATTTAAAAATTAAATTTTAATATTTTATATCCAAACTCTACACTTTTTTGTATTACCGGAAAAACAAAATGATTTCACTTGCGATGAAATTTTTTTAAAAATTATTTAAAAAATTTTTGGAAATAAAGGTAAACAACGATTGTTTGAATGGAAATTTTTGAAAAAAACGAGAGGATATATAAGGGGATTTTAAATTGAATGAATAGGGGAACGTGGAATAAATAAACTGTTTAGTGTTAGTTTTCATTAAAAAAATTATTTTTTAACTTTTAATTAAAACAAAATAAAATTTTGTCAGACAAATTTAAATTTATTTATTAAAAAAATATTAATTAAAAAATAAAAAAATTTTTTTCAAAAATTTTTTTATTTTAATTTTTAAAATAAAATTCTTTTATAAATCAAAAATTTATTTAGTTTTTGTTCTCTCTTGGTTACGGGGCAGGTTTTGTTGTTATAGTAGTTAGGTATTATTTAACGTTGTCAAGGTTTTATTCAAAATTTATGATTTTTTGTTTGTATTTAATTTAATATGAAGCCTTTCATTTTTTTCAGAGAAAAGTAAAAAAAATGAGGGAAAATATTTTTTTAATATTAAAAAAATAAATCTCTAAAATAAAGTACCTAAATTAATTTTAATTAAAATTGGGAAAAGGACAGAGCTTCGAACAGGGTTCTCAAGGACTGTAGAATTGAACACGAAAAAAATATTTTTTTCAATTTTAAATATGAAAACTCTGTCTTGGTCAGAAATTTGCATGTAAATATATCCAATGGAAAGTTAGTAATTTGTGATAAAATAATAATTTTATTTTTTTAAATATTTTAATAGATTAAAACTTTATTGAATCATATTTGGAAAGAATTTTATTTAAAAATACAAAATTAAATAGATAAATTATTTCATATACACAGGCGGACAAAAGTAATAATTCTTTGACTATGAAAATTTTTAAAAAGTATTTCGACATATGTAGAAAGATTAGATTTTCCCCAAATTTTGTGATATTCTCTCAATTTTATATTAATAATCCTCAAACATTAAAATATATTTAATTTTTAAATAAAAAGTTAGAACAATGTGGAGATATAAAATAAGAATATTGAAATTTTGTTAAATAGAATTTAAAAAAATTAAATAAAAATATTCATTTTTGATTAAAAATAAGACAAAAATAATATTTTGAGGAAGATTTTAGAAAAAAATTAACTACAAATTTTGTATGGGATAAAAATTGATGAAACTTTGAGAATATTCGTAGATTAGTTAATTGAATCAACTTACAAAATTTCAAAAAGATAGGTACATTAACTTAACACCGGAAAAAGTGAAAAATCAAATGGGGTTATATCTGTTCAATATTTTAGAATTCTCTAAATAATTGGGTACTTTCTTTCAAATTAAAGTACTATAAAAGCCAAACCATTTTTAATTCCAAACTTTTATTTCTTCAAAACAATTTAAAAATGTTTTTATTAAATAATTGCTTTGTTCTTTTTCTGTTTATTTTGTTTGTGCCTTTTTTAAATTCTGAAGAAGTTGTTGGTTATGGTAGACACACAAAAGAAGGGGAGAAAATTACAAAAATGGGGGTAGCTCAAAGGATTGTAAACAAAAATAAGGATTTGGAAGGCTATGGAAATGTTGAGAATGCTTGTAATGTTTCGATTGATGATGGAGGGAATATGTAAATTTTGGAATTTAAATTTAAATATATTTTTTTATTTTTCAAAAAGTATTTTGCATTACACAAAAGAAGGAACAATTAAAGAGAAAGGTTGTGTTGTGGATATGTTGACAACAAAAGAATGGAGTGATCGTTTCGAGTTTATTGCTACTGTAATGAATGACCCCGAGGAATTGGGAAAATGTTTAAAACCAAAGTTGGAGAGTGGAATGAATGAAAATACGTAAATCTAAAAATAGCAGTCTGGTAGTAATTTTTATTTATTTTATTACAAACAACCCCAAAATTTGTTAATATTGATCAATTACAAAAAGAACTTTTAAATGTAAATTTTATATTTTTTTTTCTAAAAAAATATTTTTTCCAAAGATTGAGGGTATTGTTGCTGTCCACGAATTTCATGTTTGGCGTTTAGTTGGTGAATGTATTATTGCTACTGTCCATATCCGTTTTCGTACTTTAAAGCATTATATATTGGCTGCTGAACAAATTCGTTCACTTTTTCATGATAATCACATTCATTCAACAACAATACAACCAGAATTTGCTGAAGTAAAATTTAAAGAATTGTTTTGTTGTTTAAAAAATAAATTTTAAGATGGATACTTCAGCAAATAATTCAGAAGTTGAATGTGCTTTTGCTTGTTTACCTAATAATTGTAATGTACAAGAGAGTGCTTTAGTTACTTGTTGTAGTAGAGAAAAAGGACTTAAAGAAAAGAGAAGTCCACCAAAAGTAATTTTTTAATGGGATATGTTTGGGAAAATCTTAAAAATTAGGCCAAAAATTTGTTGAAATATTGAGGAAATAATTGAGTAATTAATTTTTATTTTCTATTCATTTTCAGAAAGATACAATAATCACAATAAAACAACAACAAGAAACAACAAACCCAAATATTTCAATTACCCCAACATCAACAGTTGTCAATATTGTTGAATTAGAGCAGTCTGGTAGTAATTATCGAACAACAGACAACACATAATTTTTTGTATATTTTGGTGCTTTACAGAGAGGAGAGGGGTTTTTCTTTTTGTTTTATTTCTTTCACAAAATATATACATTCGCTTTTTGTGTTAAGTAAGCCTTTTCCATTTTTATTCTGGAACGAAATTAATTAAATTTTAATAAAATTTAACTGCCTTATTTTGCTTTAGAAAAGTTTTTAGATTTTTTGATTATTTGGATTTTAAAAATTAATTTTTTAAGCGCAAAATTAGGCTTGACTTTTTGATTGTCCCAAAATTTATTATTTCAATTTTTGGCATTTATATAATTTAATTTTTTTTGGTTTTCTTGTTAATTTTTAGATGATTTTATAAATTTAATATTACAGAAATAATTAATTTAATTAATTACAAGAAAACAAAAAATAATATTTTTTGGTTATCAGATTTTTTTATATAAAATATATTTCCTTTTTTCAGTTGCAAAAGGCCCTTTCATTTTAATTTTGACCCCAAACTTTCAATTTTTTTTGTTATGTAGTATATTGTTGGAATATTTTAATTAATGTTTTATTTAAAGTAAAATAATATACTTAAAATTTAAATTTTCTCTTTAAAGTTAATGTAGAGGTAGGACCGAGATTGGGGGGGGGGGGGTTTTTGTTTCCCATTCCCCTTCCCCAACTTTTTTTTGGATATGCTTGGATTAAAAGGGAATAGAGAATCCTGATTTTTGGCCTTTAATTTTCGTTCTACGTCTCAGTATTTTTTTTGGATTAAATTAATTGAGGAAAAATCACAAAAATTAGACTCTTTTTAATTTCAGCTTTATATTTTTCTTCAAAACAAACACAAACTTTTTTCTGCAAAATAGAAATCTTACAAAAATAAAATTTACAAAATTAATTTTTAAAAATTAAATTCTTGAATATTTCCCTATAAATGCATTACAATTTGGACACCTAAAAATATATTTAATTTTTATTAAATTATTTTTAAATTAATATATTTACCAATGTTCAGTATCCTGAAATAAAATTAAATTTAAAAAATATTCTACTTAAAGTTTTTCCAATTAATTTACCTGACAAGATTGCATACAAAAAGGTAATACACAACAAGGCCAACATCCAAATAATGCTAAAGCCCCACAAATTAACCAAGAAAGGAGTCCTGGACGATTTATCTAAAAAGAATTTTCCAAATTATTTAATTTAAATTCAAAATAACCACTCTAGTTCGGATTGTTTGTTTACAATTAAAACATTCCATATTAGCTTCGTGAGGACCTAAAGGAATTGAATAAATAATTTTTAGTTGAGGAGGTTGTTGTTGTTGTGGTGGTCTTTGTTGTTGTTGTGGTTGTTGAATATTTGGTACTACAAAACTTGGTTGTTGTTGATGGAAGGGGGGAACTGCTAAATAATTTTTTTAATTTGAAAAAATATTTAAAAATATTTTCCATTTTTAATTACGCCGTTTTTATTCTTTTAAACTTTTAACATTTTTTATCAAAATTTTCTAATCTCAATTAATTTATTTAAACAAACCCCCTGGAGGCAATAAATGAAAAGGAGGGGGAGGATTAATATTTTGAGGAATTTGTTGTTGTGTTTGTTGATTAAAAGGAATATTTGTATATTTATTGTTGTTATTTTGATTGTTAGAAGGAGGAAAATTAGAAGAAGTTGGTGATGATGATGATTGTGTTGTTGTAAATATTTGTTGTTCTGGAACTTTAAAAAATAAAATAAAAAAGAAAATTTATATTAAAAAATTACCAGAAGGGCTGCTATATGGAGGGGGAGGTTCTGGAATATTAAATGGGGATGTTGGTTGTTGTTGTTGGTGAATTGACATTTAAATTTTACAAAAATTTAATTTATATTAAGATGGAAAGGTAAAATTGTTCTAAATATATTTAATCTGTTATTTAATTTAAAAATTAAAAAAATATCCAAAATTTAGAAGAAAATTGAGTACTTTTTAAGTTTAACTATAAAGTTTATTTCTATTTAGCTTTAACTTACATAATTAATAATTCCATTAATTATTTAGTAAATGTGTAATTTAAAAATTAAATTTTAATATTTTATATCCAAACTCTACACTTTTTTGTATTACCGGAAAAACAAAATGATTTCACTTGCGATGAAATTTTTTTAAAAATTATTTAAAAAATTTTTGGAAATAAAGGTAAACAACGATTGTTTGAATGGAAATTTTTGAAAAAAACGAGAGGATATATAAGGGGATTTTAAATTGAATGAATAGGGGAACGTGGAATAAATAAACTGTTTAGTGTTAGTTTTCATTAAAAAAATTATTTTTTAACTTTTAATTAAAACAAAATAAAATTTTGTCAGACAAATTTAAATTTATTTATTAAAAAAATATTAATTAAAAAATAAAAAAATTTTTTTCAAAAATTTTTTTATTTTAATTTTTAAAATAAAATTCTTTTATAAATCAAAAATTTATTTAGTTTTTGTTCTCTCTTGGTTACGGGGCAGGTTTTGTTGTTATAGTAGTTAGGTATTATTTAACGTTGTCAAGGTTTTATTCAAAATTTATGATTTTTTGTTTGTATTTAATTTAATATGAAGCCTTTCATTTTTTTCAGAGAAAAGTAAAAAAAATGAGGGAAAATATTTTTTTAATATTAAAAAAATAAATCTCTAAAATAAAGTACCTAAATTAATTTTAATTAAAATTGGGAAAAGGACAGAGCTTCGAACAGGGTTCTCAAGGACTGTAGAATTGAACACGAAAAAAATATTTTTTTCAATTTTAAATATGAAAACTCTGTCTTGGTCAGAAATTTGCATGTAAATATATCCAATGGAAAGTTAGTAATTTGTGATAAAATAATAATTTTATTTTTTTAAATATTTTAATAGATTAAAACTTTATTGAATCATATTTGGAAAGAATTTTATTTAAAAATACAAAATTAAATAGATAAATTATTTCATATACACAGGCGGACAAAAGTAATAATTCTTTGACTATGAAAATTTTTAAAAAGTATTTCGACATATGTAGAAAGATTAGATTTTCCCCAAATTTTGTGATATTCTCTCAATTTTATATTAATAATCCTCAAACATTAAAATATATTTAATTTTTAAATAAAAAGTTAGAACAATGTGGAGATATAAAATAAGAATATTGAAATTTTGTTAAATAGAATTTAAAAAAATTAAATAAAAATATTCATTTTTGATTAAAAATAAGACAAAAATAATATTTTGAGGAAGATTTTAGAAAAAAATTAACTACAAATTTTGTATGGGATAAAAATTGATGAAACTTTGAGAATATTCGTAGATTAGTTAATTGAATCAACTTACAAAATTTCAAAAAGATAGGTACATTAACTTAACACCGGAAAAAGTGAAAAATCAAATGGGGTTATATCTGTTCAATATTTTAGAATTCTCTAAATAATTGGGTACTTTCTTTCAAATTAAAGTACTATAAAAGCCAAACCATTTTTAATTCCAAACTTTTATTTCTTCAAAACAATTTAAAAATGTTTTTATTAAATAATTGCTTTGTTCTTTTTCTGTTTATTTTGTTTGTGCCTTTTTTAAATTCTGAAGAAGTTGTTGGTTATGGTAGACACACAAAAGAAGGGGAGAAAATTACAAAAATGGGGGTAGCTCAAAGGATTGTAAACAAAAATAAGGATTTGGAAGGCTATGGAAATGTTGAGAATGCTTGTAATGTTTCGATTGATGATGGAGGGAATATGTAAATTTTGGAATTTAAATTTAAATATATTTTTTTATTTTTCAAAAAGTATTTTGCATTACACAAAAGAAGGAACAATTAAAGAGAAAGGTTGTGTTGTGGATATGTTGACAACAAAAGAATGGAGTGATCGTTTCGAGTTTATTGCTACTGTAATGAATGACCCCGAGGAATTGGGAAAATGTTTAAAACCAAAGTTGGAGAGTGGAATGAATGAAAATACGTAAATCTAAAAATAGCAGTCTGGTAGTAATTTTTATTTATTTTATTACAAACAACCCCAAAATTTGTTAATATTGATCAATTACAAAAAGAACTTTTAAATGTAAATTTTATATTTTTTTTTCTAAAAAAATATTTTTTCCAAAGATTGAGGGTATTGTTGCTGTCCACGAATTTCATGTTTGGCGTTTAGTTGGTGAATGTATTATTGCTACTGTCCATATCCGTTTTCGTACTTTAAAGCATTATATATTGGCTGCTGAACAAATTCGTTCACTTTTTCATGATAATCACATTCATTCAACAACAATACAACCAGAATTTGCTGAAGTAAAATTTAAAGAATTGTTTTGTTGTTTAAAAAATAAATTTTAAGATGGATACTTCAGCAAATAATTCAGAAGTTGAATGTGCTTTTGCTTGTTTACCTAATAATTGTAATGTACAAGAGAGTGCTTTAGTTACTTGTTGTAGTAGAGAAAAAGGACTTAAAGAAAAGAGAAGTCCACCAAAAGTAATTTTTTAATGGGATATGTTTGGGAAAATCTTAAAAATTAGGCCAAAAATTTGTTGAAATATTGAGGAAATAATTGAGTAATTAATTTTTATTTTCTATTCATTTTCAGAAAGATACAATAATCACAATAAAACAACAACAAGAAACAACAAACCCAAATATTTCAATTACCCCAACATCAACAGTTGTCAATATTGTTGAATTAGAGCAGTCTGGTAGTAATTATCGAACAACAGACAACACATAATTTTTTGTATATTTTGGTGCTTTACAGAGAGGAGAGGGGTTTTTCTTTTTGTTTTATTTCTTTCACAAAATATATACATTCGCTTTTTGTGTTAAGTAAGCCTTTTCCATTTTTATTCTGGAACGAAATTAATTAAATTTTAATAAAATTTAACTGCCTTATTTTGCTTTAGAAAAGTTTTTAGATTTTTTGATTATTTGGATTTTAAAAATTAATTTTTTAAGCGCAAAATTAGGCTTGACTTTTTGATTGTCCCAAAATTTATTATTTCAATTTTTGGCATTTATATAATTTAATTTTTTTTGGTTTTCTTGTTAATTTTTAGATGATTTTATAAATTTAATATTACAGAAATAATTAATTTAATTAATTACAAGAAAACAAAAAATAATATTTTTTGGTTATCAGATTTTTTTATATAAAATATATTTCCTTTTTTCAGTTGCAAAAGGCCCTTTCATTTTAATTTTGACCCCAAACTTTCAATTTTTTTTGTTATGTAGTATATTGTTGGAATATTTTAATTAATGTTTTATTTAAAGTAAAATAATATACTTAAAATTTAAATTTTCTCTTTAAAGTTAATGTAGAGGTAGGACCGAGATTGGGGGGGGGGGGGTTTTTGTTTCCCATTCCCCTTCCCCAACTTTTTTTTGGATATGCTTGGATTAAAAGGGAATAGAGAATCCTGATTTTTGGCCTTTAATTTTCGTTCTACGTCTCAGTATTTTTTTTGGATTAAATTAATTGAGGAAAAATCACAAAAATTAGACTCTTTTTAATTTCAGCTTTATATTTTTCTTCAAAACAAACACAAACTTTTTTCTGCAAAATAGAAATCTTACAAAAATAAAATTTACAAAATTAATTTTTAAAAATTAAATTCTTGAATATTTCCCTATAAATGCATTACAATTTGGACACCTAAAAATATATTTAATTTTTATTAAATTATTTTTAAATTAATATATTTACCAATGTTCAGTATCCTGAAATAAAATTAAATTTAAAAAATATTCTACTTAAAGTTTTTCCAATTAATTTACCTGACAAGATTGCATACAAAAAGGTAATACACAACAAGGCCAACATCCAAATAATGCTAAAGCCCCACAAATTAACCAAGAAAGGAGTCCTGGACGATTTATCTAAAAAGAATTTTCCAAATTATTTAATTTAAATTCAAAATAACCACTCTAGTTCGGATTGTTTGTTTACAATTAAAACATTCCATATTAGCTTCGTGAGGACCTAAAGGAATTGAATAAATAATTTTTAGTTGAGGAGGTTGTTGTTGTTGTGGTGGTCTTTGTTGTTGTTGTGGTTGTTGAATATTTGGTACTACAAAACTTGGTTGTTGTTGATGGAAGGGGGGAACTGCTAAATAATTTTTTTAATTTGAAAAAATATTTAAAAATATTTTCCATTTTTAATTACGCCGTTTTTATTCTTTTAAACTTTTAACATTTTTTATCAAAATTTTCTAATCTCAATTAATTTATTTAAACAAACCCCCTGGAGGCAATAAATGAAAAGGAGGGGGAGGATTAATATTTTGAGGAATTTGTTGTTGTGTTTGTTGATTAAAAGGAATATTTGTATATTTATTGTTGTTATTTTGATTGTTAGAAGGAGGAAAATTAGAAGAAGTTGGTGATGATGATGATTGTGTTGTTGTAAATATTTGTTGTTCTGGAACTTTAAAAAATAAAATAAAAAAGAAAATTTATATTAAAAAATTACCAGAAGGGCTGCTATATGGAGGGGGAGGTTCTGGAATATTAAATGGGGATGTTGGTTGTTGTTGTTGGTGAATTGACATTTAAATTTTACAAAAATTTAATTTATATTAAGATGGAAAGGTAAAATTGTTCTAAATATATTTAATCTGTTATTTAATTTAAAAATTAAAAAAATATCCAAAATTTAGAAGAAAATTGAGTACTTTTTAAGTTTAACTATAAAGTTTATTTCTATTTAGCTTTAACTTACATAATTAATAATTCCATTAATTATTTAGTAAATGTGTAATTTAAAAATTAAATTTTAATATTTTATATCCAAACTCTACACTTTTTTGTATTACCGGAAAAACAAAATGATTTCACTTGCGATGAAATTTTTTTAAAAATTATTTAAAAAATTTTTGGAAATAAAGGTAAACAACGATTGTTTGAATGGAAATTTTTGAAAAAAACGAGAGGATATATAAGGGGATTTTAAATTGAATGAATAGGGGAACGTGGAATAAATAAACTGTTTAGTGTTAGTTTTCATTAAAAAAATTATTTTTTAACTTTTAATTAAAACAAAATAAAATTTTGTCAGACAAATTTAAATTTATTTATTAAAAAAATATTAATTAAAAAATAAAAAAATTTTTTTCAAAAATTTTTTTATTTTAATTTTTAAAATAAAATTCTTTTATAAATCAAAAATTTATTTAGTTTTTGTTCTCTCTTGGTTACGGGGCAGGTTTTGTTGTTATAGTAGTTAGGTATTATTTAACGTTGTCAAGGTTTTATTCAAAATTTATGATTTTTTGTTTGTATTTAATTTAATATGAAGCCTTTCATTTTTTTCAGAGAAAAGTAAAAAAAATGAGGGAAAATATTTTTTTAATATTAAAAAAATAAATCTCTAAAATAAAGTACCTAAATTAATTTTAATTAAAATTGGGAAAAGGACAGAGCTTCGAACAGGGTTCTCAAGGACTGTAGAATTGAACACGAAAAAAATATTTTTTTCAATTTTAAATATGAAAACTCTGTCTTGGTCAGAAATTTGCATGTAAATATATCCAATGGAAAGTTAGTAATTTGTGATAAAATAATAATTTTATTTTTTTAAATATTTTAATAGATTAAAACTTTATTGAATCATATTTGGAAAGAATTTTATTTAAAAATACAAAATTAAATAGATAAATTATTTCATATACACAGGCGGACAAAAGTAATAATTCTTTGACTATGAAAATTTTTAAAAAGTATTTCGACATATGTAGAAAGATTAGATTTTCCCCAAATTTTGTGATATTCTCTCAATTTTATATTAATAATCCTCAAACATTAAAATATATTTAATTTTTAAATAAAAAGTTAGAACAATGTGGAGATATAAAATAAGAATATTGAAATTTTGTTAAATAGAATTTAAAAAAATTAAATAAAAATATTCATTTTTGATTAAAAATAAGACAAAAATAATATTTTGAGGAAGATTTTAGAAAAAAATTAACTACAAATTTTGTATGGGATAAAAATTGATGAAACTTTGAGAATATTCGTAGATTAGTTAATTGAATCAACTTACAAAATTTCAAAAAGATAGGTACATTAACTTAACACCGGAAAAAGTGAAAAATCAAATGGGGTTATATCTGTTCAATATTTTAGAATTCTCTAAATAATTGGGTACTTTCTTTCAAATTAAAGTACTATAAAAGCCAAACCATTTTTAATTCCAAACTTTTATTTCTTCAAAACAATTTAAAAATGTTTTTATTAAATAATTGCTTTGTTCTTTTTCTGTTTATTTTGTTTGTGCCTTTTTTAAATTCTGAAGAAGTTGTTGGTTATGGTAGACACACAAAAGAAGGGGAGAAAATTACAAAAATGGGGGTAGCTCAAAGGATTGTAAACAAAAATAAGGATTTGGAAGGCTATGGAAATGTTGAGAATGCTTGTAATGTTTCGATTGATGATGGAGGGAATATGTAAATTTTGGAATTTAAATTTAAATATATTTTTTTATTTTTCAAAAAGTATTTTGCATTACACAAAAGAAGGAACAATTAAAGAGAAAGGTTGTGTTGTGGATATGTTGACAACAAAAGAATGGAGTGATCGTTTCGAGTTTATTGCTACTGTAATGAATGACCCCGAGGAATTGGGAAAATGTTTAAAACCAAAGTTGGAGAGTGGAATGAATGAAAATACGTAAATCTAAAAATATTTTTTCTCAAAAAATTTTCCTTTTCAGACTTCCATTTGCTTTTAGTATTAATTTGGATATATTTAAAGAACTTTCGGATGGTCCCCAATATAATTATGTCTCTTGTGCCTTCTGTGATGTTGTTGCAGATAAATCATGTATGGAAAGGACTTCATTGGAGTTTGCTTGGAGTATACATGATAACAAAGTTAATGTGCATATGGGGCCGAGTAAATAACGATTTTTTTGTTTTAAAATTTAAATTGTTTTTTAAAGTTGGAGAGCCAAAAGAGTGGGATAAAAGACACAGTAAAGATATACCTTCAAATAAACAATCAGAGATTAAAGTGACAATTGAAGAAGAAAAATGGTTTAAAATTGACGAACCCTTAATTTTTTATGGTGAAGGAGAAAACCCGAAATGTTATACAAGAGGAAAGAGAATTAAACCGAAAGCTTGGGAAATTGTTGGGGGAGAATATGAAGGAGGATTTAATTATTTATTTGTTTTTTATTTGCTTCCACAAAAGGCTACTTTTAAACATAGCTGTTCTCTTGGAAGTTGTAAAGGTATTATTAAGGAATCGCCTAATGGACCGAATTGTAAAGAAATTCAAATTAAATTTGTATGTGTTTTTAATTTTAAATTTAAATTAATTTAATTATTTAGAATGGCTCTAATTACAAACTTTTAATGAATGGGGAAAATGTTGAACAATCAACAACTTTAAATATTTCAACTTTCCTCTCAACAACAAATATTCCAATTAATTCTACAAATATTCAAACAACAAATATTTTAACAACAAAAGAAGAGGAGGGGGGTAGTGCAAAATGGTTGTTAATTGGGGGAATTGGTGGAAGTATTTTAATGTAAATTTTGTTAAAAATTTAAATCTAAAAATTTTTTTAAAGAATTTTAATAATTGGAGGTGTTATTTTATTTATTCTAATGATTAGTAAAAATAATAAAGAAGGGAATAATGAGGAGACAAAAGGGGAAAGTAATGTTGTTAGGGGAATGTCAACAACAAATGTTGGAATGACTACAACAACAACAAAAAACACAACAAAAGGAGGAAAGACAACAACCACAACAACGAAAGGAGAAGAAAGTAAAGGAGAAGGAGGGGGGAAAAGTACTAAAAATATTAGTAGTAATGCTAGTACAAAAAAGTAAATAAATAAATATTTATTTGTGTAATTATTGTTGTTGTTGTATGTTGTGTTTAGTTCATAAAAATAAATTTAATAGGTATTTAATTTTTTTCAGTTTTATTTTGTTGTTTTTGTGGCCATCCTTCTTTCCAATTCCAATTTTCAAAATTAATTTTTAATTTACTCCAATCATAATTAATTTCCCATTTAGTAACCTTTTCCTTTTCATTTCCATATTTACTCGGATCTAGTAAAGGTAATCCAAATATAGCCCCCTCACAAGAAGCAAAAAACATTCCAACAGAATTTTTATTTATTAAACTCCTATTTAAATAAATTTTATTTTTTATTTAATTAAATCTAAAAACCTTTCGGGTATTCCAATAAAACGGGGTTTTGTTTGGTTTAAAATTAATTCATTAATTAAATCTTTCATTCCATCACAGTAAATATACTGATTTCTTAAACGATCCTTTTTAAATATTTTTTTATTTAAATAATTTGAGAAAAAAAAACTTTAAAAAACTCCAAACATCCAGCAGAAATATTTAAATTTGGACGGTCAATAAATCCAATAAGGGCCGCCAAAAAATTATAGCCATTAAAAGTAAAATTTGATAAAATTGCCCTTCCGTAATATGTTCGGGGGGCTATATCTGGTTTTGTCCAAAGTATTTCAAAGTCCTCTTTAAGCGATAATTCCGGTAATTTTGTTGGCTTTTTAAATTTAAATATTATTGACAATTTTAAAGAAATCCCCCCTTTCTTTTTTTAAACCTTTACCTTAGCCCCAACAATTTTAATTTCCAAATTTTCACATTTATTACCAACAAATGTCCGTATAATCGGATTAAATTTAGTATATCCCAATTCTTCTCTTTTTAAAAATTCTTTAGGTCTTAACCACGCCCACTCTAACGGTAATTGCCACAAACCCAAATTTTCATCTTTAAATGCCTTTCCATTCCTTAATTTTTCCATTTTTGGGCGAAATTCTTCATCATTTAATAAAATATTTTTTCCATTTTTGTCAGAAGAAATTAAAGCTTTTAAAGGCGATTTAAAGTTTATATGTAAATAAAATGTTCTGTTTGTTGGTAATTCAAAATTATAAAAAGTTTGACTGAAAAAACATTTAAAGTTTTAGTTCTTTTTTTTAATTTATACTTTTTATTTCCATAAGAAAAACGTAAACTAACATTTTCTTTTTTAGTTAAAAAATCTTTTTTAAAATTAAATTCAATTGCATGCCAAAAAGTTTTCCCAACACCTTTTAATGTACATTTTGAGGCTAGTTGATTTCCATCACATTTACGATTTTCAATCTTTTATTTTTAATTAAATTTAATTTTTAAAAATTAATTTACTTGATATATTGGATTAACTTTAACAAAATTAGGGTCAAGTCGACTGACAAAACAAATAATAAATCTTTAAAAGAAAGTCAAAATAAATAAATTCTTTTTTAACAAAGAAACTTTTCACAAAACAAATTTTCGGGTAAATAAAAACGTAAAGCAAAATTTCCATAAGAATGAGAACATTTTGGTGATTGGGTAGTAATTATTGAATCAACAAATTCAAGTTTGTTAATTTTTGAAAGTCCTTTTTCTGTTTGACTTAAATTTATTTTTAAGAATTATTTTCTGAATTTTTAATTATTTTTAAATGCCTTTTAAAACTTTGTAAAATTATTACAAAATATTTAAAAATATATTTACAATTCAAAACTTTCTGTATCGGCAAAACAAAAATTTAAATAAAAAATAATACATAAAAATAAAATTTTAATAATCATTTTTTAGTGAAAACTTAAAAAACAAAAAAATAATCTATACTTTTGAATTTATTTTTAAATGATATTTAGTTGTAAATATATTATGTCAGCAGTTTAGCAGTAATTTAATTAAAAATAATTTTTAGATTAATATTTTCTCTTTTTTCTAGTCGATGATTAATTTAAAAAATGATTATTCATTTAATTAAAAAAACAAAAATATTTAAATATGAGAAGAAAAAACAGCGAGACCCGTGTCTCTACTATACAATAAAACTGAAATAATTAAATTTGTTTGGAGCAAAAATAAAAATACTTAAATTGTAATTAAAGAGAGAGATAATCAAAAATAAATTTGAGAGTATTTTTTAAATTAAAAAAATATTTATATATTGCATATTTTGTTCATTTTCTTCTTTTTATTTTCTTTAATATTTTCAGTTATTGAGAAGTTCAACGCTGACATTCTTAACAAAATTTATTTTTATTTTTTAACAAAATTTTAATAAATACCCAATAAATTAAAGCCAAATTTTAGTTAAAAATAAGAAATTTGGATAACATTCCAAAAAATATGTTAAGAAATTAATGTTTACTTAGAGGGTATTAAAAAAGGACTTTTCACAGTATTTTTCAATTCCATCTATTTCATTAAAAAATATTTTGAAAACAAAATTTCTTTACAAAAAACCCCCTTTCAATAACCCCTCTCTTCAAAATTTAAATTAAAAACATTTTCAGCCTTATTTTCCTCCTTTTATCCCAAAAATATTAAAATTTAAATGGCTTTAAATTACTCAAAATTATTTTTAAAACATAAAAAAATAAATAATTTAATGAAATAAACGTCTTCTTGCTTTATTAAAATTCCAATTCGAACCTCCATCATAGTCATCATCCATAGAACTCCCCAAATTAACTGTTGGTGAATTTATTTGTTGAGTTGTTGTTTTTAATTGATTTTGTTGTCTATTAACAATTCCTCCTTTTTCAACTCTCATTTTATTATTTAATTGAATATTCCCATTATTATTTGTCGTAGATGGACCGGCAATATTTTCTTCATTCGGAATTGGTTTATAAGCTGATGAATGGATTTTAAATCCAAATAATCTTGAATTAATTTTGTATTTTTTTAAAAATTTATTTAAAAAAAATACTTTGGATGATAACTTTTAAATGGCGGTCTTGGACGTAAATGAGGATGTACAAAAAATAACATTTGAGGAAATCCAGTCCCAAAATAAGCTCCATCCGCTCGACGTTGTCTTGTTGAACGCGGTAAATAAATATCGCAACAACGAGGACAGTAAAGACGAACAGAACCTTCACCAACGATATCTGACATGCCTCAAATAAAATTATTTTAAAATAAATTTTACAAAATTAATAAAATTACCAATAGGCAGTACAGCCTGATTTTCACAGAAAACACGTGGACAATTGCCAAAATCCTTAAACAAAGAACTTTTAAAGAAAATCTTTTTAAGTAGAAAACCTCATTTTGCCATTTTTCAATCATTTGCTCAATTCCCTAAATTTTTGTTTATAATTATAGAGAAACTGAAGAAAAACAAACTCGATTTGTAAGAATATAACGAGCATGAATTAAACCATAAAGCAACTAAAAGGGGAAAATTAAATTTCTTAAATTGTAAATACATACATATGTAAAGAAAAAATATTCAACATAACAAAACTTAAAAACCTCAGCGGCCTGCTCAACTAAATCAGCCTGTGCATCGTCATGTTCCTCTTCTTCAGGTTCCAAATCAAGAATCATATCAAGTGCTTGACGAAAATAAGGAACTTGTTCAACCAAACCAGTCAAATTAAATCGGTCTTGAATATATTCGTCATCAACCTTTCGAAAAATTTTTAAGAAAGTTTTCAAAAAAAGCCCTACCTCACAATAAAATTGATTTCCACGTAATCCACAATACCAAGTAATCCAAGAAATTTCCTCTGAACTGTTGCTCATTATTTAAAAATAATTTTTTTTAACTTTAAACTAATAAAGAAAATATAGCTTAAATTTAAAAAAAAATAAAAAGGATAAATATTCAAACTCAAAAGAAAATAATTATTTGAAAATACCATTTAATACCCAAAATTAATAATAATAAGCATAATAACAAAACAATAGAAAATATATTGTGACATTAAAATAAAACCAAAACAAACATAAAATAATTATCGAAAGTCAATCAAAAATTTTGAGAGAAAACAAAAGAAGATTGAAAACAAATTTAAGAGCAGATAAATGGTCAAAAAAGGTACCAAAAAGGAAACCCATTTACCTAAATAAATCAAAATTAATTGATGAATGAGAATAATAAAGAGAATTGCCAGATTTTGTAGTTTGCGTTAATTACTTTGTAAAGGACTTAACAAAAAACGTGGATTCTAATTTACTTATTAAAAAATAATTATAAAAATTTTTTAATCCGGCAACCCAAAGTAAAGAAAACAAAAAAATATTATTTTTGGAATGGTTACTACAACCAACATTTTTTACTTAATATATAAATAAAAGTCAATTCAAAGTTCTTCCTTTTTATCTTCTTTGGTGTCAACTTCTTTCTGACCTTCCTTCTTATTATCGTCAACATCCATTTTCATATCAGTTCCATTAATCTTTGAAGCCTCATCATTTTCCATTTTCTTCTCCTCTAATTTAATACCTAAAAAAATAAAATTTAGCTAATCCTCAAATTAATTCTTTACCGTCTTCTTTCTTCAAATCGCCTTCCTCTTTCTTTGTCTCCTCCCCTTCAGGACTAATTTCAGCTTCTATTTTCTCTCCTTCATCTTCACCAGCAGCAACAGCCTTTGCCTCTTCCTCCGCCTTTAATTTAGCTTCAGCCTCTTCTGCTGCCTTCTTTGCAGCACGTTCAGCTTCTTCCTTTACGCGAAGAGCAGTGAGAACTTTATTGAAGAGAAATTTGGTTTCCCGAGTTAACAAAGAAGACTGGAAGTTTGAAAAATAATTATTTAATTTAAAAATAAAAACTTTAGTTTTTAAATCATCAGTAGAGAAAGAAGCATCTTTATTATCAGGCAATTTCTCAACTTCCTTTTTGGCAGACTGGAAGAAATTCCTAAGATCAGCAATTTGTTTACTATAAGTTTCCAATTCTCCTCCAATAAAAACTTCAGTCATATTACGGAAAACTAAAAATTGTTTGTCTGCCTCGTCCAATGAAGCCTCTAATGTCTTCATATGTTGAGGACGTTCCTTTAATTGTTATTTAATTTTTACTTTGTATTAAATTTAAAAAAACCTCCTTTTGCTGTTTCCTTTTCTGAATCTTTTTGACAGGTTTAGTCAATTCTCTCTTTCGATCTTTAAACTGTTTAGCATCAGTTTCAGAAGGAACATCTTCGAGCCATTCACGTAATTCTGCAACTCTCTTTCCAATATCTCTAAGTTCTTCTTCAGTTCCATATTTAATAAACTCCTCTTCATTTTCATCAAGTTTTGAGGCATAATCGAAAACTGTAGACTCCAAAGAATTTAAGGCAACATCTCTCTCAACTTTAGCCTTCTCGCGTTTCTCAAATTCTGTTAAACTAAAAAAGAAATTATCAAATAACTTGAAACTAAAAATATTTCGAACAGTTTTTTCGCTTCAGCAATTTCATTGTCACTCGCTTGCTTTGGCAAAATTGTTTCATCAACTTCCATCTTTTCTTCTTTTTGCGCTTCATCAGTTATATTCAAAGGCTTTGATGGTTGAATGTCAAAAAGATCAAAACGGCGTTTGATAATAAAAACTTTGGATTCAAGAGCAGCTTGATAAATGGCTCCAAGAGCAACAGCCTCATCAGTATTTAAATTACGGCTTAGTTGTTTACTAAAATAAGTTAATTTAAAGATAAATTTTTCAAATAAACCGGCTTATCCCAAAATATTACTCAAATTATTTACAATAAAATTTACCCATCAAAGAATTTTGTAAGCATTTCTTGAATTTTAGGAACACGTGTACCAGCACCCATTAACAAAATTTTGTCCAATTTGTCTACTTCAATTTTTGCCATTTCTAATCCACTTTTAATTGGTAACATATAACGCTCTTCAAATTCGGCGAACATTTCTTCCAATTGTTCTCGAGTAATTTTTGTACGAAAATCAAGGTCTTGAAATACACTTTCAATTTGAGCAAAAGTTTCCGTGTTGGCTGATAAAACCTTTAAAAATTTTCTAGAAAAAATTCAAAATTATCTCAAAACCTGTTTAACTTTTCCAGCCTCTTTCAATAACTTAGCCATAGCTTGAGGATTTTCAGCTATATCATCTTTAAGATTTGAATGTTGCTTTCGAAACTGTTCAATTAAATAATCCCGAACTTTAAGTGTCAAATGCAGTCCTCCCAAATTAGCATCAAAACCATGGCCAACAACTTCCAAACGAGGTTGAGGCTCTCCAGAAGTTTTTGTCGTGGTTGCAGGCGCCGTTTTGTTCGTTTCAGCGCTAGATGTTTCAGTGCTGTTGGTCTCCTGTACAGGAATCTGCAACGATTCGTTGTAGAGTTGGAGACGAACCAAAGTTGATTGAACTTTCGTTGAGCCAACATCATAAATTAAATGTGTCTAAAAATTACAAAGGAATCAAATAAAAATTTAAAATAATAAAACATACACTAGGCTGTTCAGTAATATCTTTAAAATGGAAAACTCCATAATTCAAAGCAGCAGAAGCACCAGCACTCAATAAACGAATTAAATTTATTCCTGCTATTTTGGCGGCTGCTTCAATAGCTTTACGCTCAGAAATTCCAAAGAAACCAGGAATTGCAATGACTGCATCTTTAACTGGATTACCAGCATATGCCTCTACTTCGGCACGCGCATTTGTAAGAACCATGGCAAGTAAAGTTTCAATTGGGAGTTGACCAGCGCTAAAAAAACAATTTTCTAATCTTAAATTTTACGAAATATACAAACTCAGTAACAAAATCAACACCCCCTCTCTGCTCATTCTTTTTCAACACCAAGTGAGGAAATCTCTTCTGATAGTCACTAATAGCAGGATCTTCAAATGGCTTTCCAATCAAATCCAAAAAGAAGAGGAATGTGTGCTTTGGAGCAGATATTGCCTAAAATTTTATAAATAAATTCTAAAAATATTTAAATTAAAAAACTTTTTTCAAAGCTTCATCACCAAAGAAACGTTCATCATTTCGAATAGTCAAAGCAAAAGGTGTTTTCCTTTGGGATTCTCTATTTAAAATTGTCTCCATAGGAACACCAGGTTTAACTAGCGCCATTTTCATAAATTCAACACCCAAATCAATAGACATTGCACTGCGAACCGAAGCATCTAAATTTAATTAAAAATATTTTTTAAATAAAAGTTCTTATGTACCTGACATGGTGATCAATCCAAATATTATAAACAATAAAATCATTAAATTCTTCTATTAAAACCTTTAAATAAAAAAATGTAAATGAGGAAAAATTAAGAGAAAAAGAATATAAATATTCAAAATAATTTAATTGAAATGGATAAATCAAAATTAATCAAAAAATCTATAAACCTATGCCAGCCTTTAAGAAATTTCAAAGAAAAATCTTTATCGCTCTTAAAAATTTGGCTCCTATACAACTCATCTAATCGTTAACTCATCTACTCGTTAACTCATCTACACGGCCAAAAAGAGTTAACTCATCTAATCGTTAACTCATCTAATCCTTAACTCATCTACACGGCCAAAAAGGGTTAACTCATCTAATCGTTAACTCATCTAATCCTTAACTCATCTACACGGCCAAAAAGTGTCAACTCATCCAATCCTTCGGAACGAGACTATTGAGTACCGGCCGTTTGAGTCCATGGCCAGTAGAGTACCGCCGGTTGAGACTCAACTGGTCATGGACTCAACTGGCCATGGAATCAACTGGTCATGGACTCAACTGGCCATGGACTCAACTGGCCATGGACTCAACTGGTCATGGACTCAACTGGCCATGGAATCAACTGGTCATGGACTCAACTTACCAGAGACTCAGACGGCCAGAGACTCAGACGGCCAGAGACTCAGACGGCCAGAGACTCAAACGGCCAGAGACTCAGACGGCCAGAGACTCAGACGGCCAGAGACTCAGACGGCCAGAGACTCAGACGGCCAAAGACTCAAACGGCCGGTACTCAATAGTCTCGTTCCGAAGGATTGGATGAGTTGACCCTTTTTGGCCGTGTAGATGAGTTAAGGATTAGATGAGTTAACGATTAGATGAGTTAACCCTTTTTGGCCGTGTAGATGAGTTAACGAGTAGATGAGTTAACGATTAGATGAGTTTACCCTTTTTGGCCGTGTAGATGAGTTAAGGAATTTTAGCCGTTTAGATGAGTTGAACGTTTTTGGCCGTGTAGATGAGTTAACGAGTAGATGAGTTAACCGGACACGAAAAATTTTTCTAGAAAATAATTATCTCTGCGTATCACTTAATTGTTAGACGTCAGACATACATAAAATAAAAGTTTTCGCGTCAAAACAAATTTTTGCTTATTTCGAAAATTGATCTACCGTACCTCCGGAAATAATTTCACGAGATCTCGTGTAAATTCCATCCTAATAAATATATTTTTAAAAATATATTTTTATTCTATTAACAAACAAAAATTTTAAAAAATCATCAAAATATATACAATAAGGATTTTCTTCTATTTCTAAACAATTTTTGTATAAACAACTCTTGTATGTTCTAAATATCCTAGTCTAGGGTGTGTTGCTGTTCTCATTTCCAAAATTTGTTCCATATAGGTATCATCATGTTTAATAAAAGTTCTCCGAAGCTTAAAAATATTTTTTAAAAATTATTTTAAACAATTCTTTACATCTTCTACTGGTAAATCCCTCGAAAATGAAATCCTTCCAATATCTTTTAAAGTTAAAATCATTTTATTTCTAGTCACTTCTCCAACTTCATAAGTAGTAAAACCTTTAAATATTTTTAAATTAAGATTATTTTAAATTAAATTTACCGTTATTCCCTGCCGTCATTAAAGTTGCATTCCCATTTGGTTCTACTGTAATAAATCCCCATTCATCGTGGAAATGGTCTTTTGTGGAATGTGACCAGGCACGAGCACTGAAATTATTTAATATAAATATTAAATTTGCGGAAGTGTTATGATAACATCGTCATTGTTTTTTGGCGACTTTTAGAGTTTTTAATTTTGTAAATTTATCCAAAAATTTAATAAACAAAAATCCTTCCTCCCACCTCCAATTAAGGAATTGTACCCCAGAAGTTCCAGCCATTGGAGCCTCTTGTATATTTAATTCTTCTCCAAAAGTCATTGTTGGAATACTTGGCCAAACAACTTTTCCAGAAAATTCTGAACGCCATTTACCTTTTTTAGACAAAATAATTTTAATTATTTTTTTAAAAACTATTTTACCTACCAACAATCCAAGAAATTTTTTCGTTATTTTTACTCAATTCAGCATTTATTAATAAAGAAAATAAAAATAAAGAAATAAAAAATAAAACAAAATTAATTAAAATAATTGTTATTCTTTTCATTTTAACGATAAATTTTGTACATTTTTTATCTCTAAAAATAAATTTTTTAATTTATGAAGGTTGATTGTTAATTTTAAAATTTAAATATTTTAATTAACTTTCACTCATTTCCATAAAAAATTTAAAAAATTCCTTTAAAAGAGGAAAAACAAAAGAAAAACAAGTTAAAATTAAAATATAAAAGAAGATAATGAGCATGGACGAATTAAAAAGAAAAAGAAGATTTAAAAAGAAGATCGATTAAAAACTAGTAGCTTTGCGTGGAATAAAAGGAAAGGAACTCCTCACACAAAATCCTGCTCCGAAAATCAAAAACCTAAAAGTAGAGCATTAATTGGTTTATTTTGAGGAAAGTTACGCAGTCAGGCTTTAAATAGAACAAATAATAATAATAATTGAAATTATTAGACAAGTTTTTTTCTACGACGTGTAAAAAGTATTTAACAGAATAGGATAATAATTTTAAAAAATGAAAAATAATTCTTAGAAATACTTATATGTTAATTCTGTTCAATTTTATAAAATACTAGTTTTAAATTAAATTAATGGGAATAAAATTGTTAAAATGTGAAACTGAAATACAAACGTTGAAAAGTTTGATTTTTATTTGGGAGATTTTTTTAGTAAAATACCCATAAATTGAAAAGAGAATAAAACTCTAAAAAAGTTTTAGGCTCAAGTTTATGCCAAATAAGAGTATAGAAAGCCCTTCCCTTTAACATCTCATTGCTATTTAATATTTTAATGTTTTCTATACACTTTTATCATTATTTTATTTAATTGTTTGGAAAATACTAAAAGCATCAATTAAAGGTATTCTTCACACCAAACAAAATAAAAACCGTTCCACCTATTTCCTTTCTTTTTTTATGTCCAAAGACTTGAAGAAAAAAAATAAAATTATTTTTGTACTTTTTATTGTTCTCTTAAAAAATTAAAATAATAAATTTTATTTAAGATATTTAAATCTAAATAGAGAAAGAGAATAATCACAATACATAAAGAATATATTTTTTAAATAAAACTCATTTAAAGTTTCAAGGAATAGTCTTTATTAGAAATTATAAAATAGGAAAAAAATTTAAAAAAATGGACTAGTAAAATAAAAATAAGTTGGTATTGGGGACAATTTAATATAAGTATTTTATGATTAAAAGATTACTAATATTTAATTTGTAAAGAAAAGCAAGGATTTGGGGATGCTGAATATCAAAAGATCAAAGAAAGTTTAATGTAAAAATAATAATTATTGTCCAGTTTTGATGTCAGCATCCCCATTAATTTAATAAAAACTAAACAAGGGAATAAAATAAAAAATTTGTAAATTTAAAATTAAATTGAGCTTAATTATTGTTTATTAGTTCAACTCACAAAAATTCACACAACTTCGTTGAATATTGATAATAAATTAACACGTAATTGTTCATATTCATTAACATCACCTTGAATATGAGTAAATGCTGCTCGGCTAATATTTGGCGATTGATCTATTCTATATAAAATTAATTCAAGAATTGTTGCTTTATTTGATTCATTCGATGGAGGTGCAACGCGAATACGTACAGAATTAACTTTAAAAATAAAAAAATGTGAAAAATAATTAGAAAAATGTTCAAAAAAATAAATTAATTAAAAACTACCTATCTGTGTTGATGCCTCCTTTTGCTCGTCACATTGAACTTCGCACAAAAGTTGATTATTTTTAACATACTTTTCAAGTCGTTGGGTTGCTGTTTCAATACAAACAGGAATATAAACAAATTTTAATGGTTGATTAGTTCCAATATCAGTTGGAGAATTAGTTAAAGATATAGAGTTTCCAATACCTCCTGTTGCAGAATAAACATTTGGAAGTGTTGGAGGGTCGGTATTTGGCTAAAAATAAAAAGTTAATCAAATAATATAAGAATAATTCTGTAAATACCAAAATCGAATTCGATTCCAAAGATAAAAATGCAGACTCAACATTTTGATTATTTTCATCAGTAATATTGATAGTTGGCATTTGTTGTTGTTGTTGCAGCTGTGCAAGTGCAGACTTAATAAATAAAGCTCCAGGATCGACATTCATTAACCCACTAAAATAAAAGATTGGACAAATAAAATAAAAAAAATAAAATTTACCCCACAAGTAAAGGATTTTGTGTATTAACAGCAGCCGAAGATGTTCCTCCTACACCACCAGGACCAGGGGAACCTTCTTTTGTACTTGCATATAATTTTTGAAATTCTAACTGTAATTGTTGAACACCTGAAAGGGCAGACGAAGCAGATGCATCAGAAGATGAAGCTGCGGCATTTGTCTGAGCGATTGATTGTCTATAATTTGAACAATTTATTAGTAATATTTAAGCAGATATCTTTAATTTTAATAAAATAAACTAGAGTAGCAACCCGAACCTAAAATCCCGATGATTTTTAGGCAAAACCCCGACCTGAACCCCGAAGTGTTTAGGGTTGTCTTCGCGATTAAATAAAGCCCAAAATAATTTTAAAAATGGTGGATAACAGGTAACCTATATAGACGCTCAAGTTGTGCTTGTTGTTGAGCATTGATGGCCAATGCAGCTGCTGTGGCTGCTACAGATCCAGAAGTAATCGGGGCAGAGCAAGAGGATGCCCAACTACTTCGTCGCTCATCACCCAAAATTTGTTTGAAGTAAGGCATTGTACGACTATGACGCTGCAGAAACGAAGTTCCTGGAACCCCTGAAGAACCAGATCCGGTGCCTCCAGCAAAAATAGGTAATCCACCAGTAATTGAATGAACCCAAAATTTAATCGATTAAATTAAAATTTTATTTGTATTTTATTTACCGTATTTCTCTTGTTTGCTCCTCTTTGCCCAAGTAAATAGCTCTCTCCCTCTTCTTCAACACTTCGTCTTGGTTGTTGATGGCAAGAGGAACGATGAGGCTGAGTCTGAAGCACCTGTCTTGGACTACTGGAAGTTCCTTGACTGGAAGAACAACGAGTATCTGGTCCTCCACTTCCATTTCCTCCACCACTTCCAACACCCATTGTAGAACAAGCAGCCAACAAATGAGCATAACTGTTCAACCCAAGCAAAGCTTCATTTGCTGAAGCACGACGTTCTTCTATAAAAATATAAAATGTACTACAAATTCTAAAATCTTTTACGATTTGGAACATGTATCATTCTTGCATAGTCAACAAATGGAAAATTTTGCAATGAAACCAAATTTAATGCTGCTGCCTGTTGTAAAGCTGCAGTACCAGAAGAACTTCCACCACTACTATTCTGTTGTTGAATTTGCGAGGCAAAAAGTGCTGCAGCTGCGGCTGCATTAGCCTTAAAAAATACATTTTTTAAATAATAATATTTTTCATTTAATAATACCCATGCTCTTGTCGTGTCAACAGCAAATTGTTGAGCAACCGCATTAAGTAAAGGGTTTAATTGATGATATTCTAAAGCATATGGAAAACGTTGTCGTTGTTGAAATTGTTGTTGTTCAATTAATTGATGTTGCTCATTAGTTGCTTGATTACGACGATAAACACGACGTCTAGATTTATAAACATTAGGAGAACGCTGCTGTTGTTGTTGTTGTTGTGATTGAATAAATGGAATTGATGAAGATAAAGAAGTAATGTCATCATTAGACATAGAATCAACTAAATCATTAGCACTGTCACTATCGTCGGAATCCTAAAGTTTAAAAGTTTATAAGACAGTTGGGAAATTATTTAGGTTTTATTAAATTGAGATTGCCCAAGGTAAAAAGCACAGAACAGTGCAAAACAAAAATAATCTCACATAATCTGGACTAGTAGAAAGACTCAATTTGGCCAAATGATGTGTCGGAATAGTAGCACATTGTGTTGTTTCTGTTGGAGTTATATTTGCTTTGCCAGAAATGATTGAACCTCTAGAACCACGTCGAGTATGTTCATTCTCCATAAAAGCAAAATTAGTTCCCATTCCAGAAAATCCCCCAGTATTCGTTGAAAGTGCTGCGGCTGCTTCAGCACTTCGAAACTCTGAAAGACGAGCAAGTAAAAGTTCGTAAGTAGCAAATATAGGTGATTCATAGTTATGAGAGATAACTTCCTGAAAAATAAAATAATTAGATAAATAAATTTTATATCAAAATTTTAGAAATAATTTTCGAATACTCAGATGGCCCCTGTGCCAAAAACTCCTCAGAGATTTCTCTCGCAAAAGAGAAATGGATATCGTGTGATCAGTAGGCACGTTATCTTCATCGTATTAAATATTTAAAATTATCGACTTGTTTAAAAAGAACCTCGGAAATCTGATCATCTGACCAGCCAGTGTGTTGTTGCATAAAGACGAGAACTTAAAAATTTAAACAAAATTTAATTGTGGTTTAAATTTAGAAATAGATATTAAATATAAAATCCAAAATTGGTCTAATTGTGGGTGGTATATATAAAAAAGTGAATAAATTAAAATGTTTCGATGTTTCAGAGAAACCCTACCCTCTGGTTATAGTAACATTTATTGCTTAAAATGCCAAGTAACTTTTACACACTACAAACCAAACCTGGTCACGGATACTGATTTTGGTATCCGTATCCGGATATTTACGGCGGATACAGGCGGATATCCGCAGGCATCTTGATATTATCTGTATCCATATCCGTATCCATGACCAGGTCTGCTACAAACTATAATTAAATAGTTATTTTAAACCTGTTGGATCCAAAATTGGTCTAATTGCGGGTGGTACATTAATCGTCTCATCAGTTAATGTTACTAATTGTTCTTTATTCACAGATGTTATTAAAAGCATTTTTATTTGTTCAGGCATTTTGCCAGCAGAAAACCAACGATGTTGAATTACTTGCTGTAAATTATATCGTTTTGCTGGAGAAATTGTTAACATTTTTCTGATTAAATCAGCACATTCTAACAATTTAAATTTTAGAAAATTTTTAAAAATTAATTTAAACTAACCAACAGAAACCCAAAATGGAATTTTTAAATGATCACTAAGAACTGCTCTTTTAAGTTTTTCAACAGAATCACCAGGAAAAGGAAAACCAGCAGTAACCAAAATATATAAAATAACTCCAAGACTCCAAACATCAGATAAACGTCCATCATATTCTTGAGCTAAAAGTAATTCTGGAGCAGCATAAGGTGGTGAACCACACCATGTGGACAATAATTGTGATGGTTGTTGATAATTACTGAAACCAAAATCTTAAAGGAAAAATTTTAGAAAGTCAATTAAATTTAAAAAAACCAATAATTTTTATATTTCCTTTTTTATCAAGTAATAAATTTTCAGCTTTCAAATCTCTATGAACAATTCCACTCGCATGACAATAAACAACTAAAATTAAATGTCTTTTTTCTCAAATTATTAGCAAACCTGCAGAAACAATTTGTTGAAATATTCGACGTGATTCAACCTCTGTTTGCCGTCCACCATCCATTAACATATCTATTGAAATGAACAAAATTTGAAATAAAAAGAATAAATGCAACTAGATGAACGATCAAATCTCAAATAACTTACCAAAAAGTTCTCCATTGCTTACATACTCCGTTACAATATACAAAAAACGATTGGTTCGTATTACTTCATATAGCTTTACAATAAATGGATGATTAAGTTTTTGGAGTATTTGAATTTCACGTTCAATTTTAGCTAAATTTTCAGCATCCAAGGAACGTTTATCAACAATTTTCATGGCCACCTAATATTTAAATTAAAAAATCTTTTAAAAAATAAAAACCTTAGCATTTGCAATTTCATGATAGGCTACTCGTACTTGAGCAAAATTTCCTCTTCCAAGAATTCGTCCAACTCGGTAAGAACCAACTTTTTCAAGTCTAAGCCTTCTTTCTCTCTTTGCAATCATTACACTCGCTGCTGAACAACTTGACTCACCGGTAGCAGCTGACGAGATTGTCGACATATTTGTACAACCAAATTGTTGTTGTGAATCGCCAAATTGTGAATCAAACATGAAATTTTGAAGTTACAAACCCGTAAAGTAAAATTATTCTCGAAGATTATTTAATTGATTAATTGCTGTTTAATGATATGTGCATTTTTGTCAGGCGTTTCTTTATCTATAATTCTAAATAAAATAAAATTAAAAAAACTGTACGTAAGAAAGTGAATAATCTAAATAAATGTATTATGTTCTAATCCGATATTACATACTGCACAGAAAAATTAATAAATTAGCAAAGCTATTCCTTGCTGGGTAACACACCCAAATGATCAACACTTGTGGCTGTCAAGTGTTGACTAACTGGGTTGACATTAACAAAAGCTTTTTTGAGAATCTTTTTAAATAGTTTTAAATGGATTCACTTGAAAGTTTTTAAAATAATTTCTTTAAAATAAATTATCAAATGTTGAAAATACATTAAATAATCAAAAACAAAAAAAATAAAATTTTATTTAAGAAATACATATATGTATTCTGTCAGATCACGGAATTTATATCGTGAGATTAGCGAGAATCACAAATTAATTCGAAAAAAAACAATCCAACGGTCTAAATATATAGATGATTTTTAAGATTATAAATAATAAATATTCTGACAAATAAATACCTGAAAGGCTTTAAATAATGTCAAAAGTGAAATACTTAATTTTAAAGTCATAAGAATTTGAATAAAAAGTCAAAAGAAAGGAAAACATCTAAAAATACCTTAAAATAATTTAGAAAGTGAAAATTCCAAGTTTCGTCATGATAAGTCGATTTAATCGTTCAGCCATTTGACGCGAATTTTTCAAAACAAAAGCATGGTCAATTTCACTCCTTTGGTCAATTAAAACTTGGAGAGTTCCTCTTGGTGCACGCATCTTCATTCTAGCTGCAAATTCCACCGGAACCCAACCATCCTCTTGCCCATAGAAAAACATAACATAATGTTTTTGAGGTTCAGCGAGGAGCGAGTCGTCGAAATTGCGTACCTTGAATAATTAAAATATCTATTCTTTTCCTCTCTTTGTAAAGTAGTCATTGTTTAGAAACTCAAAATCTTTTACTTCAAATCTCTATCCAAAATTACCTTTGATTATGATACTAAAATTGAATCACGCCTCACTGTCAGCTTTTGCAGTTTCGATTGTCTATTTAACTATTATTCCTTATTCTCTCTATTTTTACTCAGATTTAAATAAAAAAATAACAAACTTGTTCGAGTTCATGAAAAACCATGTGTACAATATTCCGAACAACAAGAGGATTGATTAATTCAACACCTGCTTCAACATTGCTATTAGCCATAAGTTCGCCAAAGTTTTTCCTTACAACCCATCTTTTAAAACTTTGAGGGATAAACCAATTAATTAAAGAAAAAATCCATTTAAAAATTGAGTCTAAACGATTGATAAACTAAAAAGAGGAAATAGTTAAAATTAAAATTTTTTCAAAATTACTTTAACAATAGGGCCCATACGAATCCCATTCGGTGTCAATGCCATATCCTCAACCGTAGGAAAAAGACAATAACAGACAACACAATCCCATCCATCGTTTAAAAGTTTTGGGAGAAGTCTATTTTTAAAAAGAAAGGAAAATTAAAGACTAATAAATTATTAAAAATATTTTCAAAAAATTATTTACTTCAAAGCAATATAAGCACCAATGGAATGTCCAATAAGAAAAATTCTTGCTTTTTTCGGGCCTATAATTGTATGTAAATATTCGTCAATAAATCTCATTTTTATAAGAATTTGTTCGTCCAAATTGTATCGTCTATTACATTGCGGGTCATTTTCACTAATTCCTAATTTAAATGGTTAAAATTAAATATAATTAGAATTAACCTGGCGGCAAAGGAACATGATTAGCATGAGCAATAGAAAAAAATTTGATATGCTTGTAAGCTGATCCCAAAGCAAAAGCTTGCAACAAAAAACCCCCAAACACTTGGTAGAATTGGTCATTTCCTGGATTTCCTTAAATTTTTAGACAAATTAATGGCATTGTCAACAAATTAAAGTCATTGTCACTAATTGTAAGTCAATTTAAAAAATTTCAAAAATTACCTGGAATGCATAAAAATATTGTCTGATCTTGACTTGCGTCAAAATTCCCTTCAGCGTCAAAATCATCCCAATTAAATTCCATTTTTGTAAACCGAACCTTTACACCGCAACCCAGCGTAACCCATTGGGTAAAAGTCTCAATATGAGGCAATGAAGACATTTTCAGACAATTAATAATTTGTTTACCCTACAATCTTTCGCAGTTGTCTTACATTTAAATCTCAATTTTATTAATTTAAAGTAAATTATGCAGAAAAAGCAAATAAAAAAAGGTTAATGAAAAATTACTAAATAATTTTATCAGAAATTTATGATTATAAAAATTAATCACAAAAGACACGATAGCTTTAAATAAAAACTAAAATTATGTAAAATCTAATATTATCAAAGTGGTCCACAAGGCATATGACCATTATTTGCTTTCTTCAACAATTTAGTTCCAGTCTGGGTAAGAATAGAAAGTGCACTAGATCCTGTCGTTGATTCGTTACCTAAATAAATAAGGTAAATTAGTGATTGATAAAAATTTCTATTTTTTAGTTTCTTCAGTTTTCAAAAAAACATTTACCTCTATTTATGTTAATATTTTGTCTTCTCCCTTCTGTTATTGAAACATTATCCAAAGAAATTGGGAGGCTTTCAGGTATTGATTGAGGAATAACAGCTGCTGAACTAGCTCTTCTACAATGAACAGGAGATGACAACGGAGGAGTATTTGAAGTGTCACTTAACATTAAATTTCTACTAGATCTAAAAAATATATAAAGAAATTAAAAATAATAAAAAAATTAAAGCACCTATTCAATCGCAAATGACTCTTTTCCAGCTCTCCTTCATTACACTGCGATGCAAGCAGTGAAAGCTCACCAGCTAAAACAACACCACAAACAATTCGTGCGAGACGTTCAGAATTTTGACCAGGCTTTAAAATATCTCGTCGACAACCAAGAATCTAATTTAATAAGATTTTCATAGAAAATTTAAAAAATAAAAACCTCCAAACATTTGCTTTGAGGACTTAACATAGTCCCACCACCAATAGCACCAACTTCTAAACAATTCATTGTACAAGAAATGTGTAATGCACCATCTTGTGCCCGTTTGTTAAGCTGGGTCATACACATACTGCTACTAACAGTTTGAGCAGCATCCTATAAAAATATTTTCTCAATAAAATTTAAAAAAAATACTTGTCCAGTAGCAATGAAAAGGGAGGCTACAACATTTGCAGCATGTGCATTCCAGCCACCAATAGTGCATGCAGCTGAAGATCCGACCAATAATTTTGCATGACCAATTGCAACCATTGAATCCTGAAAATGTTTTTATCCAAAACTAGATTATTTTAGATTATATTTAGATTAAAACTAGATTATACAAGTATTCAGAAATTTTGTATAACAAAAATAACATACAACATTAGTTTTTAACACACGTTCAACAATTTGCGCTGGAATAAAGGCTTCGGCAACAACTGATTTTCCGCGTCCTTCAATCCAATTTAATGCACTCGCTTTCTTATCGACACATAAATTTCCGCTAATGGATAAAAGTCGGGCTTGTGGAAAAGCTAATCGTAGACATTCAATTGCTTTACCAGTACCTCTCGTTACCTAAAATTTAGTTGTTAATTTAGATTTTTTTATATCAAACCATATTCATTCCCATGGCGTCGCCAGTAGTTGCCACAAAACGTAAGAACAAATAATTGCCTTCAATTCGGGGGTCAACCCTTTGAAGATTTGCATATCTACTTGTTTGGTCGAAGTGCAATTTCATCTTTTCAAATGACTCATTTTGACGAACCCATTGAAAACAATCACTAAAAACTCAAATATTAGGAAAAAATAGATTACTTACTAGCAATCTTTAATTGAATCAAATTCAAGAACAGGAGCTCGACTCATTCCATCACGTATTACTTGAGTGTAAAATGCATCTGCACCAAGCAATTTTACAGATTCCTGTTAAAATCAAACGTATTTTAAAAATAATAAGGTATATACATTAAGGCAGAGACAACCGCGACTAACAGAAGCAACAAGCGCTCCTTCAGTAGTTGATAGTGGAATAGGTACCATTTCGCCATCAAAATATAAAGGACCGGCAACACCCGTAGGAACAGGCATATATCCTATTACATTCTCACAACAAGCATTTTTCACCTTTTTAAAATAAATAGGTATAAAAAATAAAAAGGATACAAACTGTAAATAACTTTGTCTATCGACTAAATAATAGTAAAGGTATTCTAAACGATCAAGCTAAAGTTATTTATTCACTATTGCATCTACCGTGAGGAAAATGATGTGAGAGCAGTCAAATACCTTGATTATAGATGCAAATTACCTACACGTAACCAACTTAACCAAAGAGGATTTAACGACAGACACAATTAGTGTTAATAAACTGACATAATGAAAGGACCGGTAACACCCGTTCTAACAAAAATTTTCCCGTAAATATTTATTATAGATTTTCAATTTATTTTAAAAAATAAAAAGAGAAATACCTCATCATAGTTATAGTTCTCATAAGGAAGAACTTCCAAAGGAATTCGATAGCGTTCTTCCAAATGAATCCGTCTTAATTCAACACTGAAAAAGGCGTGACATTACTTTATAAAATAAAAACTAACGCTTTAAGTGAACTACAACAATGTTGTTCTAAGTTACGATGTTTCAGTCGGCCTTCTCGCATTTCTCTAAGAAGGCGAAGATCAACAGCACTTATAGATTTTGCAATAGAGGAATTACTCGTTAGTTCTTGATCTTTAGGAATTGTTAGCGAAGTTGCCGAAACCGTTGAAAGTTCGGAATCTATAAATAAAAAATTAATTTAAAAAAAGCGATGGCTAAATATAAGATTCTAAAAAATTAAAATTAATATTTTTGGAATCTTTCTTTTGCCTAATCCCTGTTCTAGTTCTCCCGCTACCCCTCTCCAACCTACCCTTAATTGTTACTATTTAAACCTATAAAATGTTACTCTTTATTTATTATTAGCGAACTAGTGTTAATATTACATTGTATAGAAAATAATTTCAAGAAAACTTTAGTTACCATTTCCCAAAGCAAATTCAAGTTTGTTAGCTCCACCACCACGATTTTCTTCAAAATATTTGTTGGCCAACAAGAGAACTTTATCCCGAAGTTGCATCTTCCATTGTTCAAAAATGCCTTTGACTTGAATATCACGAGTAATTAATGACTCAAGAAAAAGAATAAGCTCGTCAGTGAATTCATCAAGAAAAATCATTTGCTAATTAAAAAGGAAAATAATTGACACTGAAGCAGAAAAATAAAGATCTTAAAATACTAAATAATCAAAATAAATTTTTAGACTTTGTTTTTGCTAAATTTACCAAAATTAAAATTATTTATTTTAACAAATTAGAGTGAATTGGAGAAGAAAAATAAAAGCTAGAAAGCGAGTCACCCACATGACCAAATGAAGTCTGGCATACAGCATGGGTAGAAAATCAATACAATATGAGCCTCCCCAAATGTCTCAGTTATTGCAAAAAAGAATAATATGTATGAAAATAAATTTAACTACCTAATTCACTCTAATTTTATTACAAAAATTTCAATGAAAATATTCACTTTTAAAATCATTTAGAGAAAATCAAAAATTCCAAAAATATTTGATCATTGAGCATTAAAATTTTATTACAATCTTTCTAGTTGGTGTACAGATCCCTTATTTGACAAAATGTTTCAAATAATTTGTAAAAAATGATTGATTATACATTTAGTAAAAGAAAAACATATACTAATTCCATCTCTTTTATCAGAAAAAGTTTAATATAAAATACTTTATGTTACAATTTGCGAATAAAATTTTTTTGGTAGAATCTAAAAATCTTTAATTTACACAAAAAATAAAAAAAACCATTTAATACATTCGTTGAGAATAAATTCTACCTTAGAATCTATAGACAAAAATACTTTTCTTACAATTAGTTTATGATATAAAGGCAATCTTAAAAACTATATCCAAAATTTTTTGGAAAATCATTTATCTCAAAAGATAGAATATACGTATATTTTGAATGAATCTTTTGGCCGTATCTGAAATTAATGCCGCCTTCCCATTTTTCCTTATTCCTGAAAATGGTTAATTTTCTTATAATTTTCCCTCTTTTTTTTGATTGTTGACTCGAGGCTATAGACGCGAAAGGATTATTTTTCTTTAACTTTGAGAGCATTTACTTTTTTTTCTGCCCGAATTTTGACTGACCGATGTGTGAGCGTTTTCTGTCTGTCCGAGTTCGTCCGTGTTTTGTCAGTCTGTGACCGTCCGTGTTTTGTCAGTCTGTGACCGTCCGTGGTCTGTGACCGTCCGTGTTTTGTCAGTCTGTGACCTTGTCTGTCCGAGTTCGTCCGTGCCTTGTCTGACGAACTCAGACAGACAAGACACGTGCCTTGTCTGACGGACTCGGACAGACAGAAAACGCTCACACATCGGTCAGTCAAAATACGGCAGAAAAAAAAGTAAATGCTCTCAAAGTTAAAGAAAAATAATCCTTTTGCGTTTATAGTCTTAAGGCACAAATCAAAAAAAGAGGGAAAATTATAAGAAAATTAACCATTTTCAGGAATAAGGAAAAAATGGGAAGGCGGCATTAATTTCAGATACGGCCAATCTTTTTTTCTACCATCACAAATTTTTGATGCATGAGGAGATCGCCCTTGTAATTTGTTTGATAAAATCAAGGAAATTTAAGATTATTTCATAGGGCACTAACTCCAACATGCAAAAAACTGATTGTGAGTCAAATAAAAATAAATGTGGAATAACCTGTTTTCGGACTGTATACATAATAACAAAAATTATCAGAATATACATGGAAACATAGATTCTCCGTTTCGATAATTATTGTCTTCTTTTGTTACAATTGTTCTGCAAATAGGACAGGTATGTTCACGATCAAGCCAAGTTCGAATACATTCAGAACAAAAAATATGCGAGCATTTGAGCTTTATTTAAAAAAAATTTAAATTTATAAAAAAATCTATAAACAAGATTAAAACTTGTCTAGAAAATTTTAGAAATACCAACCTTAACAGGTGAAGTATATTCGCTAAAACAAATTGTGCAATTCTCATTCTGTTTACATTCAGAAGGAGTTGGTGTAGTCCCAAGATGGGTAAAACGAAAAATGCGAAGAGTTGTCAAAATCCAACCCCAAATCATTGCAAAAGAAAGTAAAATCTGACAAAATTTAAAAAATTAATAAATAATTTTTAAAAGAAAAACCTTAATTCCGCCATAAACAACAGTCCACCATAGAGCTCCCAAATAAGCATTCCATTGAACAAATGGGAGCGCAAAGCGATAAAGCGCCCCACTATATTCTAACCATTGATATAATCTTCGTTTATAGACTGTAGAACATTTTGGTAAATTTGCCACCTAGTTTTTCGAAAAATGAGAGAATAAAAATACAAAAATACCAAAAGTTTTGCAGCAAGTAAACAATCCAGAACGAAATACTCAGTAACCAATACAATATACAGCGTTGACCAAAATGATGGATTATTAATAAATGAAACAGATGTTTCCCTGAACGTCGCAGCTGGAAAAACAAAGGATGATTGTCCAAGCACTTGAAGAACCATAAATTGACGAAGTGCGATTTTGCCGCCAATAAACCATCCATTACCCGTACCAGAGATATATCTTAAAAAATAATTTTTCTAATAATTTTAAAAATATGTATTACCTTTTAAAAGCCACCACATCTGAATAATGAAAGAAGCAAAATAATAGTGCAAGGCAAGCAGTAAATTCGATAGTGAAAAATTGGAGTAGAACAGATAATATCACAAGAGTCCAGCAGACTAGAACACCGAATACATACAAGCTGGGAAACTAAATAAATTTATTTATCTACCAAACAGTGGCCGAAATGATTCATAATTTTTTAAATCAGCTTACTTCTCCCATTTGTTGAATAAAATTTCTCAAAATTTGATGTCGCCTTCTAAGTAACTGCCGAAAACGGTTCCTCAAGTTGCGAAGTGTGGGATCTTCATCCTCATCAGAATCACCACTTCCCCCACTTGCGTCAGATGCGCCTGACGCAACTGCAACTGTAGTGACAACATTTTGATCATCCCCTTCTTGTCTTGTCCCGGTAGCTGCATTGCTTGTGGGAGTACGTTGGGTAAGTTGGGGAGAGAATGAAGGAATAACACCATTAGATGAAGCAGCATCATTATGCATGTTTCTTAGAGGAGATGAAGAACGCCTTCGATGGAGTTGCTGAAAAATAAATTCATTTAAAACCCTTTACCGACTTTTAACTGACATTGGTTACACGAGACAAATCGTCTTCCATGTTTATGACAAATGAGCTACCACTGCCATTGCTTGACCCATCACTGGAGTTTAACGCAGCTGGTGTTGAATGTGCGCGCCCGTGGGTTGGAGTCACCGAAGTCGGACTTTGTGGTTGCTGAAGCGGTCTTTGCTCGTCTAAAGATACATCTGTAACGGCAGATAAAGCAGGCTGATGTTCACCTTGTTGAGTATTATTAGTCAAATGTTCCATAAATGTTGTTAAGCCACTAGGTAATGGAAGCGGTGGAAGATGAATGTTCAAAGGACCATGCATAAGTTCACGCGTTATTGGAGTCTGTCAAGACGAAATATTAGTTAAATACAATATAAAATTGTCAAAAAAAACTCACATCGACAAAAACCTCACAACGCCAGCTTCCTGCGATTGGTGGCTGCTGTTGCTGACCACTTCCAGAAGATTGGCGTGTTGATGTTGAACTATTTTGGCGAATTATGCCAGCATTCGAAAGGTTCATGTTTAAAGAAAAATAAATCTATTAAAAATAAATGATTATAATTAAAATAAATAAAAATATTAATTGAAAACTAACAAATTAAACCAAAAAAATGTGTAAAATTAATTAAAAATCAGTTTTAAATTAAAGAATATAATAAAATTGGGATGAAAGATAACGGGTATGAAAAAGAAAATATTTAATTAAAGGCAGCATTATTAAAAATTTAAGATCAGAAGATTAATCGGTGTTATGTAGTATTTAAATTATTTTTTTGGACGGTAAAGATGCAAGTTAAAAATTTATAAGTAGAATTGTCCAGGCAAGCAGAGAAAAGATTTTCGTAAGGAGAGGAAGATAACTCTTAAAAATGTTGAACTCCCTTAACTATTTGCCTGACAATGTAAGATATAAAATAAAAATTAAATGTAAAAATAAAAATTAAATACAAAATTTTGACTTAGTTAACGAAAGAAGTATTGCAAGGTAAAATATGATAAAAGAAAAGGTAAAGCTCTAAAAAATTTAAAAATAGTAAGGATGCTTCCTTTTGTCAAATTTGCTGAAATTAGGTTGATATTCCATTTGTTTGCGAGCACTCGCCTTCGCAAATTCCTTACGACGCATGGCATTAAACACCGAACGATTGTTTGATTGGTGGACATCAAAAATCATTGTTAATGAAAGAGCAATAGCTACTAGCTAAAAATGCAAAGAAAAAATAAATATAAAATCTATAAATTCGAAACCTGGGCAAATACAACAATGGAAAAGACCGTCAACGATACAGAGAAACCAATTCGTAATGCAATCCAAATACGATAATGGCATCCATCACATCGTAGGTCACACGTCCTTGGAGGATCCTGACGAAATATTCGAAAATCGGAACAGCCGGCATTTCCTGAAAAATTAAAAAAATTTTTAAATAATTTAAGACTTTAGAGACCACAACAGCGAAATGCCTGTTGGAGTCGATCCAAGCTCTCTTGTACAATTCCTGGGCCCTGATAGTAGTGTTGAACCATATAATTAAGAGCATCTGCTAATTCAACGTCAATCTAAATAATAAAATCCCAAAATTAAATATCAGAATAAATTATAACCGAATCTTTAGTGTAGAAAATATAAGCACCACAACTTAAAGTAAAAATAAGCAAAGCAAATGTGCTTGCTCCATAGATTCCAATCAAAAGTTTAGAGTTAATAGCAACTCCATAACATCCAAAAATTGTTGAAAGAATAAGAGCGCATCCCAGCACAATCAAAATATAAGAAAAAGCATAAAGAGTCGGCGCCTCCCAAAAAGCCTCATGAACGGCCTGACGATAACGCTCACTTAGAAAACCACGAAAATGACTGTCCGTCCTTAGCCAAATGCCTGTTACCAAAACAATGCAACCGACAACCTAAAATTATTAATTATGAAGTTGAGAAATTTTTGATAAAATTTGATACAAAAATGATAATAAGGTTTTGAATATATTTTAATCAAAGAACTCGTCATAAAGCGTATACGCATTAGTATTTTTAAATCCTCCTGGTCATTCGGTTCGAATTCAAAGAGCAAATTCGATCGATCAAAATTTGACTTACACATGAATTGCGATTAAAATAATACATACAAAAAACAAAGCTTACCATAAAAATAATATTTGCCCCAAGTATCGTGTACTTTGACCATTGATGGCACTCATTACTTTCAGAAATTGAGCTGTTAAATAATAAATAAAGATAAGGAATGCTGTAAAAAAGATTGTAAAATAAAAACTGATAAGAACCTAGAATAAGATGAGGGTTCGAAGTAAGCCCGCCTGTTATCCAAACGCCTTGTCTGGTCCAAAGGTGAGTAGTGACTGATAATTTTCTCAGACTTGCTCATCTTTTACATTTTTTACAATGAACTAAATAGGTAGGTATATAAAATCTATGTAAGTTGTTTATAGTACATATTGAAATAGGAAATTTACACAACTTCCTCTTAAAACATTACGTAACCAACCTCATATCACAAACAATACAAATCAACATGACTAATTGTAAGTTATCTAATAATTGATCAAACGAGAAATATCCAATTTCATTTAATTATTCAGAAGGCCAATAATTAATGCAATATTTAAAAATATTTTAATTGAGTCTTGATTAGAAATGCAGACTTGATTGATTTTAAAAATCTAATTTCATTTTCTTAAACCAAGCCCTGGTTTTATAGGAAATGCAGGGTTCGCCCTGGCTGGAATCGAGGCTCTGATCCATGTAAAAAAGAAACATGATTCAGTTTAAATTCTGAAATGTAATATTTACAGAGATTCTAGGACTCGAATGGACAGGAATTAATTAAAATTTTTTAAAATTTTATTTTTTTTCAAAATAATTATAGGAGGTTTTTCATCAAAATTTAGAGTGATATTTTACTTTTATTCAAAGAAGTTTAAATGACTACATCGATATTTTTTGCTGCAACTGAACACTTTCTATATCTTACTGCTCTTCTATTCCCCCCTGTTTTCTGCATTGTCGGTTTAGTTATTTTTCTGGCTACCTTCGGAAAATCGCTTGGACTACGAGAGCGTTATGTTAGCATTCTGTTGAGAATTTTTGAGGTTTTATTTTGATTTTAATTTTCAATTTATCAAAAATTCCAGTGGGGTGCCGGTGAACTTCAAACGTCTCAGGATGTTACTAGAAGTATGTCTTTTGACCTTGGTGCTGCAGAAGGTGATGAAGATGACTTGGAATATTTTGAGAATGTTGATGCTGGTCATTACTGTTCTCTGGACTTGAGTTCAACACAAAGTCCAACGGATTCTGGTTTGATACTTGACTCTCCATTGGCTCGTTCGCTAAATTCTTTACCAAGTCTTCGTAAATCTTCAATGCACAATGGAAGTTCAACAAGTATATCATTTTTAATTTTCATTAAAATATCTCTCCCTTTTTCGGTCTTTGTTCCTCATCTAGTGCTCGTATGCGGAATGGATCTGCTCAATCAATTATTATTCGCGAGGCAGCGATACATCTGGACGAAGATGAGCATTTGGAAAGAACTCTAGTCAATTCACGGGGTTGGCAAGTTATTCGTGATTCACTCTACTTTATGAAGGTAATTTCTTAATTATCTTGTTTTATCTTTTGAATATTTTAGGCGGGTATTGAGGCCATCATCGAGGATGAGGTGACTAGTCGTTTTCGAGCTGAGCAACTTGCTTCATGGAATATGTTGACGCGTACAAGTGTCAACTTTTATCAATTCGTTAAGTAATTAAACAAAATCATTTATTTTCTATAAAAGTTGAAAACATTTTAGTTGGAAGTTGGCAATTCTTTGGGGTTTAGGCTTTTTATTCCGCTATTTCTTTTTGCTTCCTATGCGTCTAATTATATTTTCTGTTGGACTTATTACTGTTATTTTTGGAACTGCATTTATTGGACTTTTTCCTGGTGGGCGTCTAAAACGTTGGATGAACGAAAAATTAATGAAGGTTTTAAATACATCTTTTTTTGTCTATCGATTATTTAGGTTTGTATGCGAATTGGCTCACGTGCCTTCTCTGCAATTATTTACTTTCATGACATCGAAAACAAGGCCACGAGTGGAGGTAATTAAACTTTATCGCTTTTAGCTTATCGTTAGTTCTGATATTAAATAGGGTTGTACCTCTTCACGAAAGTCGGGGAATTTGAGACTTTGAAAAAACGATTTCGTCAGACTCAATCCACCTGTTATATTAACACTGTAAACATGCTTTTATTTTTTAATTTTTTCAAGCATTTAAGAATTTTTTTCGAGATTTATTTCTTTTGTCAACTTGAAAATTCGTTCTTAAATTTCCATTTCAGGCATTTGTGTTGCAAATCATACTTCTCCTATTGATGTCATGATTTTAGCAACAGATGCTGCTTATGCTTTAATTGGACAGAGCCATGATGGTTTTCTTGGCGCTATTCAGAGGGCGCTAAGTCGGGCGAGTTCACACATCTGGTTTGAGCGTTCTGAAGCAAAGGATCGTTCTTTAGTAGCAAAAAGGTTAGCTTTTCTTCTAAAATAAACATGAACTTTCTGACATTTTAGCAATAAATTATTTTATACATATGTTTTATATTTCAGACTGCATGACCACGTTAATGATCCAACAAAGTTACCAGTTCTTATCTTCCCCGAAGGAACATGTATCAATAACACTTCTGTTATGATGTTCAAAAAGGGATCATTTGAAGTAGTTTATAACCAGAAACATTAGCTTTAAAAATATTTTCCCAGGTTGACACAAATATTTATCCAATAGCCATGAAATACGATTCACGATTTGGAGATGCCTTTTGGAATTCAAGTGAACAAAGTTATTTTGAGTATTTAATGCAAATGATGTCATCATGGGCATTAATTTGTAACGTTTGGTATTTGCCAGCAATGCGCAGAAATGTAAAGATTTTTAAATTTAAATATAGTTACATTATTTAGCCGGATGAATCAGCTATTGAATTTGCAAATCGAGTAAAAAAAGCAATAGCCGTACGTGGTGGTTTGGTCGATTTGGAGTGGGACGGGCAATTAAAACGATATAAAGTTCCAGCAAAAATGCTCGATATGCAACGAGAAAGGTTCAATTTAAATAATTTTTCTTCCAAATATTTTGTTATTTTTTAGATATTATCAGCGTTATCAACGTTATACTTCTTTGTCTGAACCGTTTCAACCAGACGAGGCCGAGGAATTAATAAGATCTTCTTCCGTTGATGTAATAGACGATGAGGTTAATGAAGCTTTTTCAAACCCTTGGGATCAAGATGTTTTAAGAGCTCAAAAAATGTGTGAGGATAAAGACAATAGGACCGCTTGTGAGAACGTTGTTCATTGACTTTAATCACTCACTTCCATCCTTGTTTTAGGAAGAAAATAGTTTTAAAAGCAAGTCAATTGATTTTAAAAATATTTTTGCTTAAAATTATTTTTAGATCATTTCGACCCATTTAATTATTTATAATAAGGAAATTTAAAATTAATTTTTTTTGTATTTCTAGATATACAGATTCTGCTTTATAATTTAGATAATTAATTATATATATAAATTTTTAATTAACTTTATATTATTTCTTAAATGTAATTTTGATATACTTTTTTGGTAGGATTCTTTAAGAAAATTAAATCTTATAAATATTTTTGTTTAGATTTTATTGTAATTCTATAGGATATCTCTTTATATATACAAAAATTCTTTTCATTCCAAATTAAAATGTTTTGAATAGAAAGCGCTTCAAATAATTGAAAATGTTCTAAAGTTAAATAGAAAATAATAGTGAAGCGTTTTTACCGGAATTTCGGGTATTACATTGACCTTTTTTGTTCTTCATTTAAAAAAAATATTGTCAATTAATTAGTTATATGATTTTTAGTTTAAATTTTTTTGACCTAAAAACAATTTTAAAAAATGTTATAGAGATCGGCTTGATTTGATTTTTTTTTCGATTTTCTGTGTCGGTATTTAATTGAAAAATATCGGCATTTCCGGCCGGTCTCTAATTAAATAGCATATAACTTTTTTAATTTTGTAGGTAATTTAAAATTTATTAGAGATTTGACCCAATTTAATTGTTTAACCATTTAATTAGGCAACTTCAAATATTTGGGCATTTATAATTTCAAGAGTTGATGGTTCTCTTACTTTTGCCATATTTTTTAAACCTTTTATTTATCAGCTTAAACCAAAAACTTGATATTTTTATATTTTTTTATTAGAAAATTATTTTTATAAAGACTTTGTGCCCACTACTTTTTTTATTTTTTTTTTGGTAAAATAAAATTGGATTATTATATTTGATTATTACTTTGAATTACTAACCGAGAATCTGAAAATAATTGCCTATTAAATTACACATTTTCCATTACACCCAAGGAATTAAGATTTTTAGAATTGTTCCTGGCACTTATTTGCCATTTTTCCATTTTTATACAAATCTGGTTACCTGGGAAATTTGGCGACGGTTTTGTCTTTAGCGCGCCTCCTTATTGAGAATTTGTTTGGATTTTATCTTTTCATCCAGCTGCTTTAACTTGAGAATTTCTCATTTGCCAATTATTCGGAATTGAGGAATAATGTGTACATTTTATTTTGCGCCTGACTGAACAAACGGCACGCGCAATAATTTGTATGTGGGGGCAATTTGCCTTTTCCAGCCGTCAAATTTCCCTTGAAAGTGAATAAAGTATTGAGTGGCACGGGAAGAAGGGTCTAACCTTAATATCTGGCCTTTAATTTTTGACAGTTTAAAGATACCGTAAATATCTTTATAGAAGCCCTGAGTATTTTTCAATTAAAGTCCTCCCCTTGAATAATTTTTATTTAATATTTAGGTTGCAAATTAGCAACAAGGGGTAAATACTTGGAATTGCGGCCAATAAATGAAAGGAAAATTAATTGAATGGCTGTTTAAAATGAATAAATTGGGAAAGAAAGGGGGAAAATGCATTGAAATGTAAAGGTGGCAATAACCAATTTACCTGCGTATGCGTGGAAGGATTGCCAATTATTATTACCTTTTTACCGCTCCTTATGCTTTTCCATTCATTCATCCATACATATACTAAACAAAAATTAAATCCAGTGTATAATTGCCAGCCGTGGGAGGGCAAAAACATAACCACAATTCTTTTATTTTTTACATTTCTTTACTCAATTTAAGTTTAGATAACAGATATAAAGTAAAAGAGCATTTTTAGTAATCTTTGGTTTTTATTATAAAATTTTTAAATCAAAATTTATTTATTTTTAAAAAATATTTTAATTATTAAATTTCTGTTCTTATTTAATCCAACTTTCTTTTCCTTTGGTGGGTAATTAGTAGAGTTTCACCGGAAGTTCCGGTTCCGGTTCCGGTTCCGGAAAGTTCCGGTGTTTTTTTGGTTCCGGTTCCGGTTCCGGGAACCGGAACCCATATTGGATCCGGTTCCGGTTCCGGCTCCGGTTTTCAAATCGGTTCCGGGCAAACCGGAACTTTTTTACACCCCTAAAGATTGATTTTTTTTTAAAAATATTAATAAACTACTCGTACTCTCATACTTAAAATAAAAAAAATCGAAAGAAATATGTTTATTTTCTTTCAATATCATTCTGGTGAGCGGGTGTCCGAGTGGTTAAGGGTTTAGGCTTCACTCAAGGCGTTAGTGATTTTAAGTTGGGTTCGCTTCAGGGTGGCCCTTTTACCCTATATATAGAGGATTTTCCCTATTTTTGACCTTTTCGCCCTATTTTTTTCCTATTTTCTCATTTGCCATATTTTTGCCCTATTTTTAGCATCTTGTAAAATTTTAAAAATTCTTCGGATTTTGTAAAAAAACGGTAAAAATGAAGGATTTCTGACTTTCTGGGCATCCAAAATCCTCAAAATTTTCGCCTGCGGCGCTAAAAATGGAAGAAATTTGGCTTCTTGTCCTCAAATATTCTAAAATTTTTGCCTGCGGCGCTGAAAAAGATAGTTGAATGGTATAACGGATGATTTGGATGGATCAATGTGGATTTTGAATTATATAGTGTGACATCAATGGGCCTAATATCCTTCTTTACTTCCTTATCCCCATAAAACGTATTTCGCTCCTTCTTCCACTGATATCCCTTAAACCCCCTTACAATTCTGAATCCTTATATCGTCCGATATCAAACACTTATACCACCAAATCCGTTCATACACCACTCTCTAACCCAAATATATCACTTATCGTCGACGATTTTCGGTTCGGTTTTGGTTAATCAAAAGTCTCGGTTCGGTTCGGTTTCGGTTAACCGAAGAAGTTGGTGAAAAGTCAACTCTACTTAAACTACAAATTTTTTAAAATTTGCTAGCAAAAATTTTTTTAAAAGTTCCGGTTCCGGTTCCGGTTCCGGGCCGGAACTTTGAAAAGTTCCGGTTCCGGTTCCGGAAACCGGAACTCAAATTGGATCCGGTTCCGGTTCCGGTTCCGGTCAAAATTTCGGTTCCGGTGAAACACTAGTAATTAGGGAAATTTTTCCTACATTGGTTTCCGATAATAAATTAAACTTCATTTTTTCCCTAAGTAAATTTCTGCGCAATTTCTGGACTTACTTATCTACATATAATACTTATCCATTATAAATTTTTCTAGCCAAATAGAAAGTTTTACATGGACCTCATTTAATAGGTATTAAATAAGGCTACAAAAATACACAAAAATAAATAAAGGCAAAAGAAATTTTTTTGAGTAAAACCTAAAAAAACTTGAAAAGAAAATTTTTCCCTAACAAATAAGTAACTTTCCGCCATTGTGGAAATTATATTTTTTTATTTAAAAATAATTTAATAAATAAATTACTCTTTCCTGTTTTTTTTGGTAAAAATCTCTTTTTTCTTTTCATCACGGCCGTTTAGGAAAAATTAGAAATAAGGAAAGTCAAGGTCAAAAAACGGACAAAAACAGGAAGAGAATATTTTCTTCAAAATACGTGGGGGCACATAATCATCAATCCAAGGAAAAGAAAAAGAAAAATTAGAAGGACAAATTAAAATAAAAAAAAAGTTTTGGGAAGGCGACAGAATAAAATGAGAAAAACGCGCAAAATTAAATGAAGAAAATTGAGAAGAAGAAGAAGAAAAAGAAGATGAAGTGCAAGTAAAAGGAGAAGAAGAAGAAGAAGAAGAAAAGGAGTTACCGACAATTGACAGACACTCTCGATTAGATTAATTAACTTTTACTAATCTCCCTTCCCCTTTCAAATAGCTCCTCTCTCTTTTTTATTTATTCTGTAGATCGGCGCTGATTGTGATGCCCATTTTAAGTAAAATTTCAAAAGTGGTTGCGCAACTTTGAAATTTTTTGGTTAAAATTTTCCTTTCATTTTTTATTGGAGAATAATTTAAATAATATTTAAATATAAACTCAAAATAATAATTCTAGAAAAATTTTATCTCGAATTACGGGGGGAGAAATTCGGAGAACATTTATTCAAGTTTATGAAGGGAGACTTCACCTTTCTGTATTAAAACTATTTTAAAATAATATTTGGAAGACTAAATTAATTGGATTTTTTATTGTTATATAATTTAATTTTACTATATTTCCGTTAAAAATTTCTTTTAAAAATTAAATCCAAATATTTCTCCAATAACAAGATATCCTTTTTGTTTCAATATAAGTATATCCCTGCTGTTTTCTAAACTAAAATTGATTTAATTTAAAAAAAAAACTTTTAAAAATCTCTTCTCGTTTTTCTTAAAATATTTACCTGAATTGGCACCCCACAGTTTTTGTTGTTATTCTTTTTCTTTCCTTTCTTTTGAAGGTGCCATCCTTAAACAAAACACTTCTTGCTTTAATAAAAGTTATTCTTATATTTTTCTTTGTTTCCAAATTTGTTTTGCTTCTTCTGTCTGTTTGCGCAAGTTATTCAAAAAAATACTTTAAAAAATATTTTTTGAATTTGTTTTGACTAGAAGTTCTACCTCTACGAGAGTTTTGTTCTAAATCATTTTAAATACCGTATTTACTCAAATACCGTAAATGCTCTAATAGAAGCACACTCTCTGAAAGAAGCACACTCTCTAATATAACCACACCCTACGAGAGGATCGAAAAATAAAAGCACACTCTCTAGCAGAAGCACACTCCCTAATATAAGCACACCCCTAGTATACCGGCTGAATAAAGCACCAATAATTTTTTTGCCTACAGTAAATAGGCATATATAGAATTAGGTACTTTATATTAAGTTTATTATTTTTAAACTGTATTTCACTTCCGGTTTAGAAATTGAACTTTTTGTGGACACAATAACAAACAATTAGAGTTTAGCTTTAATGGCAGCTAAAGCGTATGATGGAATTCTTAAAGAAATTGTTAGGAAATCTT